TGGGAGATGTAGACGGTCATAGGGCCTAGGGTTCAGGCCATCACTGAAGCGGCCATGGGCTAAGAGCTGAGGATTGAAGCCTTCAGAGAGGGAGGGGATCTGATGGAGCCCTCCTCTCACTGGACTCACAATCTTCTTGGATAACACCTTCGAACTGATTGACTTCTTATTTCTCCAACAAGACAAAGTGGATATAAACTTACGAAGAAATTCTCGTGTTTGAGAGATCTTCCCCAAAACAAAGAAATCCAAGAATCAAGATCTGAAAAGAAGTAAATCAAGGAGATACAAGAGAGGCCTCTAGGCCACCAGTCTTATATGTATTTCGGGCCCCTCAGTCCGGCCCGAGAGTGTGAGGCCCGCTTGATCCAGACCCCTATGAGTTGGGTCTGATTCATCTCCATTGAGCTCATTAGAATTTGGGGCTTATTTCCCAGCTGTTTTAACAGTCCCCTGCTTCGTCTTTTTCCGGTGAATGTTGTCTTATAGGGACTGATGTCGCCGCAGAAGAGCAAACAGGCCAACAACATGCTGTGCTACAAGGCGATAGCCTTCTGCCGCCACCTCGGCTGACGACGGCGGGGACTCTGCCACTGAGGACAGGATTGTAAGACTCATTTTTTAGGATGAGGGTCGGCCGAGGCGTGACCCAGCGTATCTCCTGGAAGAGGGTTCGGTGAGTGCTCGACCGTGAATGGAGGTGCAGCGAGCGTTCAATTAATGGCTGGTTGTGAAGGACGGAATGCAGCCAGTCTCCAGGCGAATTCCTGATCTTAAAGACGGCTCCTCTGTGCTCGTGAAGGAAGACTGTTCGATGGCGATCCAATCCAAGGTGGGAGGTCCACCTCGCTCATCCCCTTCGCAGCCGCATAAGAAGTGGAGCCGTCCCGAATGGCTCTCCATGCCGATTCTCCATATAGCTTCCACATCGTCATTAAACGACGGCCACTCCTCCGCCGCTGACTGCATTCGAATGGGCGGAACAGGGCCTGGCGCGGCCTGCGATACGGCCTGCCCGCGCATTGAATGGCTTTTGCCGTGAACGGCACCCAACCAAGGCCTTGCTTAAGTTTTGACGAACGAGTCGGTCGTCACCTTGCGACGACCAATGGTTTTGCTAGAGTAATATTCCCGGCAGAGAGGAAAGGAAGAAGTGAAGATTCGGCGGGGTGGGGTGGGGTGGTGCGGGTGGAACCCTGCTCGATTGACTCCGCGATGTTCGCGTGGACTTATCATTACACCACTATTGGTTGTGGCCCGAGCCGAGCGAGATGAATAGAGTGGTGTGGTCGGGAATGGTGGATGGCCTCGCCCGGACCTTTCTTCACAGAACATGCGACGGCCGGGGTCAAACCAACTAAAGAAAATTGCGCGCATCCTTTCTCTTGTCCCTAACCATAGCGCTGAAGGATACATCGAGGGATCTCGGGCAAGGGTTGTTTTGGGATGCCGTCGGGCCGTTCCATTGCCACCCTTGCAAGTAAAAGAGGACTTTTCCTTCCCATCGCACCGGCCCTACTCCCTGCATGTTTTCACAAACCCCGCCCCCGCTTTTACCCCGTCTCCTCAGCAAACCCCCCAACCCCCTCAACACCAACCCCCCCCCCCCAACACCCGGTGCCCCATCGTGCTGGAAATCTATCGCTTTATCTTCCGAGGAACTTGTTGTACCGGTCTGATGAGAGGGAGTCACATTTCTATCACATGATTGGAAATCTAGCGCCTGCCGCCCTGCCTCAGGCCTGTCTTCGGCAGAAGCGCGGACGACAGTGGGTCGGGTTCTCTCACCTTACGACTTTCGCGACTGTGAAAGCATCTAGTTGGTTTTCGGGGTTTTCTGTATGATTCGGATATTTGTTTTCACACGAGAAGAAGACGAGGGATCAGTTGTCCGCTTATTTTCACTGGGTCGAGTTTTGCTTCCGGAAGACCCCGCTAGGGGTTCTGCAAGAGATCTGCTAAACGTCGGCTGTTCCTTGTCCTTCTGTACAAGGTCGCTTTCGCCGAAAGAAAAAAGCGGTTGCAGATCATCTCTGTAGCGGAAGAAGGCCGTCAATTTTTTAGCTGGCTGAAATTCGTACACATCTTTTTGTTAGCGTGTCAGAGCTGCGTAGAATGCTTCTATCCGGAGTAATACGCTCCTTTTTTCTCTGTGCAGCTTCTCTATATATTCATCAAACTTCCTCCTTTACCCTTTTTTAGTTACTCTAATGTGATTTGGGGCGTGGGTTTGGGCTTTTTCATGAAGAATTCCTTCCTATTGTCTCCCTGGCTGTTCAAAGAACTCCGGGTGATTCGTTCGATGCATGGTATTGACGCTACATATGATTGGGAATGGACTATTCTGGTTATCTTTCATCATGAATAGAGTTTTTATGATTGAAAAAGATGGGTGGCCTAATCTTCGATGATGTAGCCAAATTTTCTCCAAAATTGACAAGCTAGATTCCTTGGGCAGATTGCTCATCTCTTCTGCTACATTTGATTGGTTGGATAGTTCAAGGTAGTAGAGTTTACCTCATTCTCTAGCATGTCCAATTATCTCATCAACTATCTTGTCAAAAAATAGACAAGTATTAGAATCAAATGAGACATTACCTAAGTTTCATATAAGTTTGCTCACTGAAATTAGGTTAGTCATCTATGTAGGAACATGAAATATATTATTTAGAATAATAAAAGTTCTTATTCTAACAACTGTGACCAAAGAGCTCACAACTATAGTGATTTTCCTACTTAGAGAAGGAGAATAAGTGGTAAATAAGTCTGAAGAGTGGGTCAGGTATTCAGTGGCTTTTGAGTCAATAATTCATACTAATGATTTACTATTATTTGAGGCACTTAATTCAATAAAGTTGGAAATTTACTTAAACAAGCTAGAGAACATGAGGTTAGTGCCTCTTGGACTTATGTATTTTCTTTTATGATAGGTTTTGCCCTTGGTCTGTTGTTTTTTGGACAGCTACATCATGATCCGTGAATCCCTTTTATCCCAAGTTTCAAATTTGGATCTCCAAGTTTAGGTCTTGAATTTAGAAAATGATTAAACAGTCCTTACCTTTTAAGAACAACTCTAACCTACTGAGACTATCCAAAATAATTTGACCATCTACATGTTCTATTTGGGGAATAATAGGTAGGTTCCATAATTTTGATTTTGATCAATCCCTATGACCCGAGATTGTCCTGAATTTAAGGTTGCTTCAAAACTTTTAATTGCAAGAAACATGTATGCTTGAATGTAAAGAGTAGGTCAGTTGATAGAAATCCATCTTTACATCACAAATTTCTCACAGGCCAATCGAACCAGCTGTAAGAAGATAAAGATTCCAAATGCGAATCAAAGATTTGTGTTCCAAGAGCCAACCGAGCTTGATTCTTATACAAGCAATATACATTCAGCACAAGAACCAGCGAGCTTGTGTCAACCAACTCATGAATCTATTGTTCTCTAAACAAGAAAACAAATATTACTAAAAAAGAGATCAATGGCAACAAAGGAGGATAAATGGATCACTGGAGATATCACACTTGATGTCTTGATACCATGTTAGTCAATGCTCTGGCCTCTAGTTGCATCCTATCTTTTTCATTCGATTGTCTTCCATAGTGGCGGCAGGAAAAAAATGCAGAGAGCAAGGAGACATTTGCTGAAGCCCTAAAACTTCATTCTCAAGAAATAATCTTACATTAGGCCTGGGCCAGTTCTGTTCATGACTTTATCTTACATTAGGCCCGGGAAAGAAAAACGGCAAAAAAGAAAAGAAAGATGACACAGATGAAAAATAGAAAACAATCAATTCATATTCCAACAATTACACAGTGGTTTTGGCTGGATTGTGACATCAAAATTAGTGGGTCATGTATTCTCACTGCCATCTCCTTCATCCTTGTGTATTAAAGTTGTTGTCAGGTTGATTGGGGGTCAACTGCACCTTACATTTCTTCTCTTGATTAGATGCCACTAAAAATCTTAACTTCCTGATTGCATTGGTTGTCTTTTAAGAGTATGCATACATATTCACATGTTTTAATATCCACGATTTATCTGAATTATTGAGAAGGATTATTGCCTCGTCTAAAAGACTAATTTGGCAGCCTTCTTCTCTCTGGCATTTAGAATTCATTAATTGTTTGAAACTTTTAACCTTGCCTTCATCCATCTAGTCAGAACTTGGGAAAGGGAAAAGTTACACTGACTATTACGTCCATCTGTAGAATGGTACCCCTTTCATGTCATAGAAAGTTCCGAAGCTAGTTCAATGAATCTATCGGTAGTAAAAGTATAGTTCGTGCCCATTCAGAGTTTAGCACTCAATATTATTTCATTTTCATAATACATCGAGTGGCAAATGCACATTGCACTCAGGTCTTGCTCAAGACTCCAGGCTAAAAGAAAATCAAAGTATTTTTTATAGAATATTTTGGGCATTCAATTGGCCATCTATGGGACATTCACAACTTACTCAAGATGGATGATTTTTCCAATGGTAAATACAATTCGCAGGTATCAATTTTTCATACTCTGATAAGTGTTTGTATGCCCTGAATTCATAATTTTAGTTTCGTTACTCTCCAGCAAAGTCAATTTTTGCCTGACAAGCAAGTATACTGCATATGTCGACATATATTTAGGGCTAAGGAAGGAAATCTTCTAATCGTTAATACGTTTGGCCGAAGTGATAGCGATGATGACCCATAATAATCAAGTGCATGCAAAAGAACCATGAAACGGAGCCACATATTACATGAAACTGACCCTTTGATAAACGAAATCTGCTATCAAAATGTTGGGTGTGATGTTTATTTCCATCGAACAGTATTTTTTTCTCACAAGAATTACACTTTCAATGCATCAAAGAGAATGTCTACGCAGATGACCATAGATTTGGGACCATGGCATACTTGCTGATAGGCAGTGACGAGGCCAATCTGCTTATTGAGAGCATTCGCAACTGATGCAGGCATAGAGCATTCAATATTGAGTGATCTGGATTTACTCACGGGCATCTCTTGAGGAATGTCTTGCATAATACTATGAGCAGATCTTGATCTGCTTGGCCCGTTTGAAAACTTTCTAATGCCTCCTTTGCCACTCCATCCTGGAAAAATGAAAGGCATCAAATCCAGGTCGGGAAGTGGAGGAAAATCATTGGTACAGTCGCAGGAGGAAATGAAATGAAAGGTGGTAGTTCGGTTTCAAACATCATCGGCCACACAAGGTAGGAAAGCAAAACCATCAGGAAAGTTATTTCCCTTAATAGGAATAAACCGAAACTCTGTTTTGAGTGTTAAGGTTGAGATGAAAGCATGACTGAGCAGAATACGATTCATGGAACGACAAATGGGTGAGAAAACAGCAATGTTGAACACAATGGAAAGAGCCTAACAGTTCAAAGTAAAATCAATGAAAAATTCTCTTCAGAGAAACCACTATCTTAAATTGTGATATCTGGCAACTTATGGTTGACGAAGGAAAAGATGTTAACCACATTGAAGTTCAGAGATGTACACTGATAATTTTCCTGGAAATGCGGCTATTTATTAGGTCTATCATTACATCCTCTGAAAATTCAGGATGACATTGCATGCCTAGAACATGATCCCCAACAGCAAACATTTCAACTTTTGTTCTCTCAGAAGATGCTAACTGGACAGCTCCTGGGGGAGGAATTAAGACCTGAAACATTTGCAACAAAATTAGTCATGCGTAGTTCAGCATCCATCAAAACGATGCCCATTTTTCTTCGTATGAAGATCATTGTAGACCCCGTACACCATTCAACGAGAATATGAATAAAATAAATGCAAACCCTACTGTGCAACTGAAACCGGTGTAAAGAAACACATGCATCGGAGCTGCTGCCAATCGCCGAAAAAATCCTATTTACCCAAAGCAGTAAGAAGCATGCTAAAAATACTTCATCTAGATAGCACATTTCTTGACTCATTTTTCTTTAATTGTCAAAACGTCTAGGGAATCACCACTGAGATTATTCCACTGGAATACAAGCACGAGACATCTGGGTGTAAAAATTCCCACACAACGAGTCGCTCAAATGTTTGGACACTAGATCTTCTATTTAAGCATTTAAAAAAGGGAAAATATAAATAATACATATAAAATTGATGAAAACAACTGAACGAAAAATTAAGCGTAGATGTAACAACATTAAAAGGGAGGGGAAGAAAATAAGGAGTCCTGGGCAGCAGAAGTGGATGACCGAGCGACGAGTTGTACTGTACACATTTTGCCACAGGGGAGCGTGAGGCAGGTGCCTCAAATTTAGACATATACTGGATAGAGGAAACGGTAGTTGTAGATGATCTACGATTTTCGTTACCACGCAGTGAGCATAAAGTATAGAGCATAGAAAAATTTGAGCGCAATTGGAAAGGAGCGTTTCATTAGCTTGGAACAGAGGCGTCACCGTTTGGTGTGCATACATAAGTTGAGGAACGGGATGTCACCTGGTCCTGGTGGCTCTCAATGGCACGGACTGTAGAAGGAAATGCCAACCCGTAGAGATGGGATACTTTCTCAGAGTCAACTTGTAGAGACTTTACTCCGACCTCCCAACCAACCTCAGCCCTTCCCGTTTTGCCACCGAGTGCCCGTGCAAGAATCTACGTTGTTTTTGCACGAGTGAGGTTCCCAATTGAGTATTTCGGGAATCCTCGACGACGACGGCGGCGGCGGCGGCGGCGGGGACGAGCGAGTGACAGAATGTAACGCCAGTTAGAAGAGGAAGGCGAATGTGGAAAGAGGAAAGGAGGGGAGATCGAGGACAGGGCGTGATACCTGGTGACCGAAACATATGCCGAGCAGCCTCTTCCCCTGGCGATGGAGGAGGACGAGGGCGTCGCAGAGGCAGTTAATCCAGTCGACATCCGTTGCATGGGCGTCTGCGGCGCTGCCCGTAATGACGTAACCATCGTAGTAATCGTCCCCGCCATGTTCCAGAAAGGAAAAGTCCCCCTCGATCACTGAGAAGATGTCCCAGACCTCCCCTTCTCCCTCATCTTGGTCCCTGAGAAGCCTCGCAATCATCTGGGCGTAGCCCCCGTAGGCGCGTTCCGTGTAGTCGGAGCCGTGCCCCGTCTTGAGCACGGCGAAGCGTCGCAGCCGGTGGGAAGATACACGAGGATCCGTCGATGCCATGGCCCGCCCACGTTTGTCCGCGGGACGGAGATCGGAGAGGCAGGCAAATGGAGAGGGAGGCCACATATGGTTTTTGGGATAATCCTAACAAGCCAGTGGGCGGGGGGGGGGGGGCGCTGTCAGGCGTTGTGCAACGGGGTCTGGCGGGCTGCCGGCCAGTCAGTGGCGTGCCGTGCGGCAGGAACTCATCCGGCATCAGGGCCGAAAGGCCCGTTTGGGCCGCCCGGCGGCCGACTGGGCTCGCTCCATTAGCCGTACTTCAAGATCGGTGCTGTCCGTTCGGCACCTACTTATTTACACACGCCTCTCGCACGTGGGTCCGGCGAAGCGAGTCCGACAGTGGCTCATATTAATCAGCTTCGGAGAAAATGATGTCAGATCGGTGTTGGGAGCCTGCCGTCGGCTTCGGATAATACCGCCGACGGGGCAGCGAGAGTGCCGAGGCAAGCCAAGCAGGGAATTCCCCCTGTCAGGGGGATGGAGCGACAACCACTCGTCTCGCGGCTAGAAAGCGACGATCTCTCATCACTTGTCCAATGGGAAGTACCCACGCCCGTAGCCGCGAGCTAGACGTGCCTCCCCGACGATGTTTGAAAAGTCTACTCTTGCGCAAGCACAAGCGTACGTGTTATGTAAATTAAATGTACGGGGATTTACCGATTCGCGTTCCCAGGCCGGGTCGACTGCAGACAGTCCGGGCCCAACCCAATCCAAACAAACCCATCCCGAGCCAACCCAAGCCAGCCCAGCCCAGCCCAGCCCAGAGTGTCGTCGCTATTAGTTAGTTCTCAAAAGAGCGCCGTTTTTATTTATCCCACCCCGTACGCGAGCGTGGGAAATTAGACGAACGACGAGAAGAGGCGTGCGATGGAGCAGTAAGAGACTGCCCCCCCTTCTCCTCTCTCCTCTCTCCTCTCTCCGAGAGAAAGTCGCCGCCATCTTCCTCGGCCAAGGAGGCCGCGGCGGAGTTGGATTTCTCCCCTCTCCCTTCCCACGGCGAGTTCGGTGCCTCAACAAGGGCAATTGAACCCTCCGCCCAGGTCGCCCGGCAGAAGGAGGGAAACAGCGCCTCGGTCGCATTTTCGAGTTCAATCACCCCGGCCTACTGGGGAGCATCGTGGGGCGGAGTTGTCCCTCGCTCCGGTACCATTGGCCCGAGGGGCGGTTGGTCTTGCTCCGCCTCGCCGTTGTACCTGATCTTCGCTTCCGTTCTTGCGTCTTGTTCCCCACCCTGTAACCGTTGGCCAGGCCGAAAATATAACTTTGCGGCCTGAAGGAGGGGCCTTAGAGGTGGCGTGGACGCTCAGCAACTCAGTCTTCGTTGCCCTAGTTTGTGCCTTTAGCTCGACTTGGAGACTCAAAGACTCAGAGTTCGGTTCCCTTCTCATTTACTCTATCCCTCTCTCTAGGGCTTTTTTTGTAACTCGAGATTCCCTTCTAGTGTCGCTTTTCTCCATGCAGACTGTCATATCATTCCATCCTTGTTCAGATTCTGCATACACCATCACAAAATTTGCTACTCAATCGGAATAGTTGTAATTCTTAATTTCATGTTGATATTTTTCTAGTCAAACTGCTTAATAATTATAGTCGTCATGATTCAACTGAGCTTCCGTTCCTTTTCAGCTGCAAACAGTGTGGCGTCCACCCGGGTAACACTTCCTAGAGCCAGGCGAAAGGCTCTTATGGACTGGTGTCCCCAAAGGTGACTCATGTCGTACATTATATCCAGCTCAATTTGTTTGTTCCTTTTTCCAATTTTAGACCTATTACAGAACCCTGACAGTTTCTCTGTGTGGTTCGTAGGTTATAAGAGGACGAAGAGATGAATTTGCGTGCAACGGTTTCTTGTCAGATGCCTAACCAAGCTGTACCTCAGCTACCCAGTCTCTCCCCATAGTACGTTAGCACTTTATCGCCAGGGATGCAAAGCACAGGAGCGGTCAGCAATATGGATCCTGAGATGGCAGCACACCGAAAGTTAATGTGTGATAAAATGTAAGTTTCCTTGTTCCTGAATATCTGGTCTCCATTTATTTATCAAATTAGTGTCAATTCCCCCGTCTCAAATTGCATTCATGACCTGTGCAGAAAGGACACACTTTATTTTGAGGCGTGGATTAATCTCTGTGCAGGGTTATATTTAAAGCATTTAATTTGATTGAAAAAAATCCTTTCTGAAATTATAGGCACAGTTGCTTGTAATTGCCAACATTTCATAAGTCTAAAAATATTTCTAATTTGGTGAATTTGTGCAAAACCATGTAAAAAGAACTGGATATCAGTTGTTCTAGAGGACTGCAATTAAGCTACATAGTCTTTTATTGATCTATCTGTTTTGCAATGCTTCGAAACACATAATTATCGCGAATTCTCTTGCATATTAGACATGAAACTGGAATTAATTATGTACACTACACAGAAAACAGTCTAAAAGGGGTAAGATAAGACGAGCATTTGCCTAGTTCCATGTCATGTATCTGCTATTATGGAAGTGACAGTCTCATGCAAACTTTAGCCTATTCTTTTAGTTCCATGTCATGTATCTGCTATCATAAATTCACATGGCAGCTGGTTGATGTCAACATAATTCAACATCAAAGTAAGCAGAACATGAAACGGTGTGGGTGAGTGCAGATTGATATTTTTGCCCTATTTTGGTTAGCCTGTTGTTTCATGTTATTCTTGCTTGTCTCGTAATGTAAGTTGAATCGTTCACGTTTCAGTTCTTCTCATGTAGTACATATCCTATGACCCTTAAGTATATTACTTTGAGCTCACAGTAATGTCTTTCTATGCTCTCTTTGCTGTGTTTTGTTGTTTCCAAGTCAACATATCATTTCCATATCATTTTTTTGTGCCCCATCTACCTGCAGTCATAGTAACTGACAGCAAAACAGGCCAGTATTGGGTCGACGCAATTCCATACACCTAGTAATATGCATGGCATGTACATGTTTTCTTCTCTTTTTATCCTAATACTATACCTCTTGTATATTTCTCTATCTCTTGATAAGTGACCAATAAACATGCATGATTTGTGCTGTATACCCAATATTTTTTAGCTTTTTCATATCATTTCACCTGTGGCTTGTTCATTTAATTAAGAAGTTGTAGGCAATTTGGTTGTTTTTGAGAAATCTAACACTTTCTAGTGCAAGGATGGGCATCTACTGAAATGTATGTGTAGAAAATGGAGAGAAACTTCTATCACAGAGGACAAAGGAGAGAACGATGGAAATCGCTTCAGTTTCCATTCAACTCTTATATCCCTTTATATAGGGAGGAGCCTTAGACAAATTTTCAAAAACACTCTCAGTCTTTTACATTGTTTTCTTACGACGTAGGAATTCCAACACTCCCCCTCAAGATGAATTTTTGAGAAGTTCATTTTGACTAAGTTGTTCACAAGCATTCACTTGTTGGTGATGACGATGATCCATTGTGGCAGCAACTCTCCTTGTGATGATTGTCAAAGATGACCACTGCCAAGGTTGTGGATTCGCCGACACCTTTGGCTCGTCTAATGGTTGTTACACCCTGATCATAGGGGAATGATGCTTTTTGACACTGCCTGAGATGTTGTCAAATTGCGTGGACTGTGGGAGATTCTAGTAGCCGGACTAGGGAAGATGTCGAACTGAGGACAGAGGACGACACTGGACTGAGACAATACCTGAAAGGTGACTACATAGGGATGACATTGGAAAGATACTCAGCAGAGGTGGAAGGCCTCACTGGAAAGCAACACGGCTGGAGGTAGAAACTCTCGCCTGAAAAATACTTGGTAGAGGTGGAAGGCCTCACTAGAAAGCTACTTGGCAGCGAAAAGCCTCTTTGAAAAGTTACTCAGCAGAGGCGGAAGGCCTCACTGGAAGGTAGCATGATGCCAATAGCAGCATGCTGGCAGATGGGGGCAGAGGATGTCGGCGACAACGGCAGATGGGGGACACCAAATACTGCCAGACTTTGGTGGTGGCGGTGATGGTGCTCCCTCAGAGAAGAGATGCTGGGCAGAGATGACGCCTACCAGAGGTGGCAGCAGCAGCAGCACTCCCCCAGACAAGAGACATTGGACAAAGCTGATGCCAAATAGAGGTGACAGCAGTGGTGCTCCCCCAGACAGGAGATGCTAGACAAAGCCGATGAAACCCAAGCGGAATGAACCCACTCTGATACCATATAGAAAATGTAGAGAAACCTTTGTCACAGAGGACAGGGGAAAACGGCAGAAACCACCTCACTTTCCATTCAACTTTTAGACCCCTTAATATAGGGAGGAACCCTAGAATTTTTTTCATAAGCACCCTCAGTCTTTTACATTACTTTCTAATGACCTAGAACTTCCAACTGCATCTTACGGAATGATGATTCGTTTGTCATTATTGATGGGTAGCAGTTGCAAGAATATTGGGCCTCGATATTTATTGGGATAACTTTTCCTGCAGTTTGGCGCGGAGTCCTTAAATGTGCCCTATCAGTTATTCTTGACTAGTACAGGCTTTGATTTTATTTTTTTAATGTGAAATGCTTTTCTCTTAGTTTATTACCATTTCTCTCGGGTAGTCATCATCTGGGGATATTATGGAGATTCGGTTTCTTTCACTGTTTTTAAAATAAGAAAACCTTATTTCTTATTTTGGGAAATGAAAAGAGACTGAGTCACTGGTTGGTTCCTTTCCTTTTTTTCCATGGGTTGACTACGGATTTTGATGCGGCTGCGGTACATAAAATTATGTTGTGGATGGTTTTTCCATGGTTGCTTAAAGAGTGCTGGGTAAAACGTTTTGTTTCATACTCCTGTTTCATTTCATTATTTTGGTGAGAATTGTACCTGACAATTTCACCAAATCAATCTGTTAATGTAAATCCAGTTCATTCAAAGAAAACAACCATTTCTGCTTCCGGAAGCAGTTCCTGCTATTCAAATGTTTGAATTTCATTGCTTTGTGCTAAGGATTTCTTTGTCAACTATTCGAATTCTGTTAATAATCTTTTTCATTTTATTGAAGTAGCAAGTAAAAATTAGCAGGATAGTAATTTTTTTAGTCTGTCTTCTGTAAGTAGTTTCTATTTAAGACAATTGTAATATTCTTTATTTTTTCTTTGATCGGGTAACTTGTGAAAATTTATGTTTCTGTAGAATGTTGTAAGGTCCGTATGGTCCATCAAAAGGCAGCATCATCTAATCATTTTGTTGCTTTGCAGCACGCAGATCTTCCATCAGAAGCGCGCAAGTCTCAGTGCTGAATTTCTCCAGAGGCTGCCAGATATTGTGAGGCGGTTGGAACATGGACTATATAGGGCAGCTGCCACAAAGGTTTATATTTTCGATTCCTTTTTTGGTGAAATTATTTTACCATCAGAGGATAATTACTTATATGACATCCTTTTTTAACTTGTATCCTAAGAAACTTGGAACTTTTCCAGTATACCGAACCGTCTCATTTATTTTCAGTTTATTGAAGACTATTTCTATCAACTTGTTCAGATTTTTTTACTCAGTTTTTACAGTTTCTGCCTCGTTTATTCAATGAAAACTACTTTTTTATCTGAAGGTGGATTTTTTATTTCGTTTTTTCTTTCTTTTTGTTTTAGTGATTCCTGTTTCCATCTCACGTTTTGTCTTGTATTTTGGGTTCAGGATGATTATCTGAACATGGATACTTTGGAGGGGCGTTTACATGCTGTGTTTAGGAGTTTCTCCAGCCACAACCAACCTCCACGTGTATCATCTTCCTCATCTGTGAATACAATGATACCCACACCGGGCATGTCGCACAACAGTGGATCAAAATCATCTGTAACTAGTTACCTGGGCAATGCCACGTCTAATTCTAATGGTTCTGGTAACATAACAGCAACTTCTGCCATCATGGGCAATGTGATGCCCTCTGCAAATGGTATGACTGACGGTGCATTTTTTATCCTTTTCTCTTACAGTTACCATTCCCAGCACAGATCTTTTCATTACTTCTATGATGACTTTCCTTTTGAGCACAATATTTTGTACTGTCTCCCACAGGTTCATTACCTACAGGGTACCAACAGGCTCCTGTAAATGTGTCTCCAATGTTCAGTCAGACCAACACAATGCCATCAATTGGTGCACCACAGCTCTCAACTCAGCTGATGCCTACTCCTGGGTTAACTGTTCGTCAATCTTTTCCCATGAATTCTGAATATAAAAGTGGGGATAGAATTTCTAGTGGTGAATCAACTATTTTAACACAACAGCAGCAGGATCAACTACAACATCAAAGACAGGGTCTCCATAATCAAAATAGTAGCATGTTGCATGGCCTTGGATCCTATGTTGGAGTTAGTTCAAGATCTGGTGTGCATCAGAGTCCTCACAGATTCTCAAATGGAGCTGTTAATAGTGGAGGAGTGCAATTAATTGGTAACAGTGCACAGGTCATGAATGGACCTGCAGTGTCTGAAGGCCTTATAAATGCAACGTTGTCTCAAAGGGCTGTGCAGAACCATATAGAGCCTCATCAACAGCCAATCATCTCAGGTAAATAATATTTTTAACTTTCCCACCATCACTTGGAGTGTTTTCTGGCTCGGGATGATTCACATTATGCGAGAACTATTCATAATTTGATGGAAGCTATTGGATAAACTTTTTTATGCAGTGTCATCATCCCAAAAATTGGCTGGGGATGGATATGGGATGAATACAGGTGGTCTGTCAGGAGATGGGATTTATGATCAGGTGACTGCTGTTGGATCTATAATGAGTAATCAAAGCATAAATTCTATGACTTTGCAGCCTAAATCAAAAATGTACCCTTCTCTGCAAGGCCATCAATCAAATTTTCCCCTAATGCAGGAGTTGTCGCATGCTAAGACAAATTTCGATTCAGTCCATTCTACCGTAGACCATTTAAAATCTCAACAGAAAATGCAAACATTTCGACAACATCAGCAGTTTCAGCAACAACCTAACCAGGCCTATGAACAGTTTGCACAGCTTCAGCAAAAGCAAAGTCAGCAAAATCAACCACTCATGTTGAAGAATGTTTCACCAAGCCATTCATCTCGGACAACCAGCTTTGGGGGCCAAATTTCAAGTGGTCATGGAACTGATGATTGCCCTGAACCTTTACTTCCACAACCACCTGTACAAAACCTTTCGGATTTTCACAGTCAATTCGAGCCAAATATCACGTCTGAAAGTCATTCTGAGGAGAGGTTTAAACATTTTTCAGAGGATCCAGAATTTAAGTCGAATTTTTCACAGGGATTGCAGCAGATGCAGCAAATCTTGAATCTGCAGAATCAGGGTCATGAATCACAAAGTGAACTTAATTTTTTGTCTGCTGTATCGAAGCCTGAGTCGTTTCTGCAGAGTCAGTGGCATACTCGTCCTCTCCAGAAATCTGAATCGCTCAACATGTCATCAGATGAGCAGCATTTTCACAAGGATTTTCAACAAAGGATTACAGGACAGGATGACGCTCAGCGACCTCATGGTTCTGTGGAAGGAACTGTCACTGGATGCGCTGATGCTAATTCTGGCGAGGTAGGAATGAAGTTAACAAGTGGAAGGGATAGGAAACCTAGAAGTTTATTGCGTGAACGACAATACTTCAATCAACAGAGGTGGCTCCTATTTTTACGTCATGCTCGTCGATGTCCAGCTCCAAAAGGCAAATGCCCAGAAGTTAACTGCTTAACAGTACAACAATTAGTTGCACATATGGGGGGCTGTAAAGGGCATCAATGTGGGTATCCTCGTTGTCATCAATCAAAGGCCCTTGTTAAGCATTATTGTAGCTGCCGTGCTGGAGATTGCCCCGTTTGCGTTCCTGTTCGCGTTTACATATCAAAACAACGAAAGATAACTGCTCACCCTTCAACTGTAGCTGATTGTGCAGATCCAATGCATGCTTCTCAGAAAACTATCAATGGTCCTTGTCCTGATGGACCAATTAAAAACAAAGTCATGCAAGCTATTGAAACTTCTGAAGATATTCAGTCTTCTTTTAAACGCATTAAGGTAGATTATCCCTCCTCCTTAATGATCCAGGGTGAAAGTCAGCTGATTTCTGGTTCCCAAATGAACCCATCCCATTCTTCAGAGGATGTACTAGGCCAAGGGCATCAACCAGCAGAGTTAAGCTTGACCTCTAAGTCGGAGACTGTGGAAATGAAGACAGAATCAAGTGTACTTTCTGGATTAGATAATGTTCAGAGTTTCACCCACGTTAATATGGATGATACCATGGATATCTACTCTACCAAGCCTGACCCTCGAACTTCACTTTTAAACGAAGATGATACCGATCCTAAAACAGAAAGAATGCAAATTGATGAACAGACTGTGCGAGACGTGGTGAAAATTAAACATGAAACAAGTGCTCCAGGTGATTCTGTTGCTGGTACAAAATCAGGGAAACCAAAGATAAAAGGTGTATCATTAACTGAATTGTTCACCCCTGAGCAAATCAGGGACCATATTGTTAGTCTCAGACAATGGGTTGGCCAGGTTAGTTCATGAGCTTTAATTTTCTCTCTTTTGTTCCTCTCTCTGTCATTTTTCGTCTTCATTTATCTTATCTAGTGAAGAAAGGAATAGATGTCTATTGACATGGGTACTCGCTCATTGGAATGAGGTTGAATATTCCCTTTTTTATTTTTCTGACTGTGCGTGTGTTCAGAATGGGAAAATAACTTGTTACATTTATTTTATACAATTCTGATGTTTTGATAAGCTTGTGAACATATTCTAGTGTGAATGTGCATTAAAATTCATGTTGTTACTATAGAGGCTTATGTGACGATTGTCTTACCACAAGATCTGTAGTCTACAAGCTGCCTTTGCATTCGTTATATATGCAGGACATTGAACCTGTTCTTCCTATTATTTGCTAATTTTTATCTAGTTATCCTTTTCAGTTGAAAGTTGATAGGTATAATGCCGCTAATTTTGTTTGCCTAGTTAGAATCATTATCATGACATGGAGACAGCTCTGTAGCTTAATGGAAAATTTGAACCAGATTTAGATTGAGCACCCACCCCCTTGCCCAAGTCTCTGGTGAGTTCGGGCTTGAAGTGGGATGGCGTATTTCAGATTGTATGATTTCGTTTTTGTATTCAGGATTGGAAATACCATCCTCTCATTGTAAGCATCTCTCCGTAAATGGTGGTCAACTTAACAGCAAATAGAATGCTCATCTTTTTCTAATTTGATGGTTGATATGACTGGACATTTTTGTTTTAAAAGCTTTTTTGTCATTATATTTCTTCTGCAGAGTAAAGCAAAGGCTGAGAAAAATCAAGCTATTCAACGCTCTATGAGTGAAAATTCTTGCCAATTATGTGCAGTAGAAAAACTCACTTTTGAACCACCTCCTATATATTGTTCACCTTGCGGTGCTCGAATTAAGCGAAATGCACCTTATTACACTATTGGTATGGGTGATACTCGCCATTTTTTTTGCACTCATTGTTATAACGAGACTCGTGGTGACTCGATTGAGGTGGAGGGGACCTATCATCAGAAAACAAAGCTTGAGAAGAAGAAAAATGATGAGGAAACTGAAGAATGGGTGAGTTACTTCTTCTATAGTTAATCTTCTTCTTTAGCATGGTATAGTCTAGAGTGGGTGTGACTCTTTTCTGAGCAGAACACTTTATCTTCAATTTCAAGGGTTTCTAGCTTGGGGAGAGCCATAATTACTGTTTAAAGTGTGTTTTGTCACTGCCTATGGAGTTTACTATTGTACCTTCTTCCTTCTTCTTTTTTAGTTTGCTATCGTCGTACCACCCTCTTTAAAGCAGTGTAAATTTCCAACTGGTTTGTGGAAACCTTTTTCCTGACGTGTTTTTCCCCTTTTGTTTTGCTTGCAGTGGGTTCAATGCGATAAATGTGAAGCATGGCAACATCAGATATGTGCACTCTTCAATGGGCGTAGGAATGATGGAGAAGCAGAGTACACATGTCCTAATTGCTACATGCAGGAAGTGGAAAGAGGAGAGCGTGCCCCTTTGCCTCCGAATGCTGTTCTTGGCGCAAAAGATTTGCCTAGAACATTGCTTAGTGATCACATAGAGCAACGTCTTTTTACACGTCTGAAGCATGAAAGACAAGAGAGGGCTAGGAGCCTGGGAAAGAATGTTGATGAGGTGATTTTCCTGAAGTAGAATGAGTGAAATCTCTTAGCCGTTCAAATGCTCATCAATAGCGTATGCGACTTAATTTACGTGGATTTGAGTCTTCTAAATTTTGAGTTTATTGTCAAGAAACAGGATTATCAACTAAGTTTCTCCTTCGTTCTAGTACTGTCATGTGAGCGGCATCATGCTAAGTAAAATCTACATACTTCTGCCCGTTGTTGTCAACTCATCACGTTGGCACTCCAAATAGGAAAAACAGCGATCTTATCTTTTATGAAAAAAAGATACTAAAATCATTTGATAGCATAACTTTTCAGTGAGCTATGGGAGATGTTGGCCATATTCAATCTTAGTGCACTGTGGAATTGTAGTTATTTTTTTATTTGTCATAATAACAAAAAGTAATGTGATATCATTGTTGGGTGGACTTTCCCTTTTTTCGGGGCACTCTATTCCTTGTATTTTGCAGCAGTCGTTGACATATTTTCATTTATGGATGTTATACCAACTTGTTTTTGTTGCTCAGAAGTGCTAAAGATCAGAGAAATACAATAGCGATTGACATCCTTATATTATGTTTGATGTTTCCCCTTCAGGTTCCAGGGGCTGAAGCTCTTGTTGTTAGAGTCGTATCATCTGTTGACAAGAAACTGGAAGTAAAGCAACGATTTTTGGACATCTTTCAGGAAGAAAATTACCCAACAGAATTTCCTTATAAGTCTAAGGTATGAATCATTTCCTTATAAGTCCAAGGTATTGAATTATAATCAGGCATCCTTTCCTTGAAGTTTTTAAACAGTGGTGCAATGAAGTATTACTAAATAGGCATTCAAAACTTTATAATTGTGAAATAACATTGAATGTCTCGAATTGTCTTCAGTTGTACTGATTATGTTTTCTCCAGGTTGTCCTGTTATTTCAGAAAATTGAAGGTGTCGAAGTTTGTCTTTTTGGCATGTATGTCCAAGAATTTGGTTCGGAATGCTCATTCCCTAATCAGCGGCGTGTTTACCTTTCATATCTGGACTCTGTCAAGTACTTCAGGCCTGAGATAAAGACAATAAATGGAGAAGCATTACGTACAGTTGTTTACCATGAAATTCTGGTACTATCATTTACCTTTTCTAAGATACACTTCGATATTGTATTTCTCAGACAAGTTCGTCTCTATGTTATTTCTACCCCATTCTTATTATGTGAGTTTTACCATTGCTTGCTGTTTTTACTTTTCATGTGAGTACTGCTTGTTCCAACTTTATATTTTTGCCATTAGGTCTTATCTACAACTTTGGTTTTTAATTGGAATTCTCATTTTTCAGATTGGTTATCTTGAATATTGCAAGAAACGGGGCTTTACTAGTTGCTATATATGGGCTTGCCCTCCTTTGAAAGGTGAAGACTATATATTATATTGCCATCCTGAAATCCAGAAGACTCCCAAGTCTGATAAACTTCGAGAATGGTGAGCCTGATAACCTTCAAATCGATTTTATCCTCGTAACTCTTCTTTCGTCTTGAGTGTCTTACTAGTTTACGTTGAATCAATTTGTTGTCCTAATTTCAGGTATCTCTCAATGTTAAGAAAGGCTATAAAGGAGAATATTGTGGTGGATCTGACTAATTTATACGACCATTTTTTTATACAAATGGGTGAGTGCAAGGCCAAAGTAACTGCTGCTCGGTTGCCATACTTCGATGGTGACTACTGGCCTGGTGCTGCGGAGGATATGATCAATCAACTTCAACAGGAAGAAGAAGATAGGAAACAACAGAAAAAAGGGAAAACTAAAAAGATAATCACCAAAAGGTCTTTGAAGGCTGCTGGTCAATCTGATTTGTCTTGCTATGCCTCAAAGGATTTTCTATTGATGCAAAAAGTAAGTAGCCTGTCTTGTCTATCAAAAGTGTGTATTATCCCAAGTGAAATTGGTTTTGCATTCCCACTGAGTAAATAGCTCCTGGATAAGATTAGCTGTCAAGAAGTAGGATTTGGTATTTCTGCTGATTTATTTTTTTTACCGTACTCTTCTTTTATTTCATATTGATGATTCATCGGGATTGGCTTGATTTGTAATTTTCATTACTCCCCATGTTAGTCCTATCTTTCTTGCAAAATGCGTAAGCTTACATAGAACCTTGAATTTCACAGCTTGGTGAAACCATCTTCCCAATGAAAGAGGATTTCATCATGGTCCACTTGCAGCATACATGCACTCATTGTTGCACATTGATGGTTTCTGGAGTCCGGTGGGTTTGCAGTCAATGCAAAAAGTTTCAACTTTGCGACAAGTAAGAACTCTCCCATCTGTTGTGTGTGTGTGAATCTGTCGTTATCTGTTTTGAAAAGTGAACCAGACTGAACTGTTCACTTGTCTTATCTATAAACTAGTTCTTGTTGCGTTGGTTTGTTGTCTGGCACGGACCTGCGAGATCCATTCAGAATCAAAGATTGAGCTTGTTTGGAATTCCGCCAATTTGGGTGCTTGGGTGCGAGTTGTTTCATATAGGATCTCTCCATCTTGATGGCGACACTGTATATTTCAATCGCTACAGGCCGTCTCATTTTCATTAATATCATATATGGTCAACAGGGGCGCAAACCCTAGGAGGATATGGAGAGGAACAAACTCAGTTCGTAGTCACATCATAGATGACTGTTATATGCGAGTACCAGGGCCACAAAATAAGGAAACGACCTAACAACAAGGAAACCTACAAACTAGGAACCGAGCCAACAAACTAGGAAACTCTCCAGCTAAGAGCCGAACTCCTTATTATATGTTCTTTCCCACATCATATGGTTCAACGTCAGTTGAAGCACCGGCCTATTAGTTATGCTGGTTTTCGAACACTGTATTGTACTTGTCCTTCTTGGTCTGTTCTTTCATTTGACACTATTTTAGGCTTCCCGTGCTACTCGGCTGTCAACTTGCTATTTCCTTACGACTTTGATACTGGTAGATGGTGAGATCGTAGTGACGCCATAAATCACAGTCAGTCCTAAAGGATTTTCGGCTTTTCTCGAATTTTCCTTTAAACTAGCTTAAATCAACCAGTGAGCACGTCTAGCATATCCTCTAAGTAAAGATGTGAAAAGCCAGCTTTTCTTTTGTCTTCAGGTTGCATTGCTTGTATACTCTTTTCCCGTGTTCATTCTTGTTAAAATGTCTTAGAGTAAGATGAATCTTGATGCCTTTAGCTGGCTTGATATGAGTTTGCTTTAGATTGAACTCTGCATTTATGGCTCTGCTCCATCAAAGGTCTTTATCCCATGACGAGGTATACAATAATGGGAAGCAGTGTACTTGTTCAAAGTGAGTTGTAAATTCATTAGTTGTCTGTATTTTCTTAACGATGAAACCCTATGTAACTCAATAGTTGATTATTTTTCTTCAATAGGAGCAATGAAATGATGGTTGTGTTTTTGCATGTGTTTTTAGAATTTGCCTTTCTTGATGAATTTGTCCTCACTGTAATATGAATCTTGGTGATGTTTATCTTTTTGCGATTACATATGAAAGACGAGTATTATTGTTTGATTCTTTTGAGAGGTCTCTGACATCAATGAACATCATACTAGGTGTCACGATGCAGAATTAAAACGTGAAGATAGAGACAGGCATCCTAGTGGCTCAAGGGAGAAGCATTTGCTTACTCGAGTGAGTGTTAGTGCATGCAAGATACAAGTTGTTTCTTTTGACATTGTAAGGTATACTCCTGACCGTATCAAATTTCAAATGTGCCATCTCTTAGCAGGCTGAAATAAATGATGTGCCAGAAGATACAAAAGATAAAGATGAGATTTTAGAAAGTGAGTTCTTTGACACTAGACAAGCTTTCCTCAGTCTTTGCCAAGGAAACCATTATCAGTACGACACCCTGCGTCGAGCAAAGCATTCTTCAATGATGGTCCTGTATCACCTCCATAATCCAACAGCACCTGCTTTTGTGACAACATGCAACGTGTGCCATCGTGACATTGAAACTGGTCAGGGTTGGCGTTGTGAAGTCTGCCCAGATTTTGATGTATGCAATAATTGTTATCAGAGAAATGGAGGTGTCGATCATCCACATAGATTAACGAATCATCCATCAATGGCTGATCGTGATGCACAGAACAAGGAAGCTCGGCAGAAAAGAGTGTTACAGGTAACAGTTGTCGCTGTATTTTTTTCTTCTACCTGTATTCTCTTTGTCTTCCCTATCATTGTGTGCTTCTTATGCTAATCATGATGAGTATCAATATCCAACTTTGTGTACCAACCAGACCTACATATTTTATCAAAGCCCATATAAGATACCATGTATGCTTCCCCACCCATCTCCTGTCTCTTCTGTGTTTCTGCAGCTACCTTTTTTTCTGTAAAAGTTTTAAAAGACATGATTTGGAAAAATATGATATATCATGTCTTGTTCCGCCAAAATAAATTATTGTGAGTAGAGATCTATGCATTGATATTCGAAATATGCATAAATAATCCCCATAATTAGAGAACGAATGAAGTGCACTGTCACCGAATATAAGAAAAAAATCCACGCATGAAATCAATGCAGTTTTCTGAAAAATTCACAATTGCCCATCTATTTTGCGAAATCTATCTAATCATGATGTTTGCCCTCAATTTTTTAATATTAACAAATTTCTGCCGGTCCACATTTTCTAGATGGTGCTTGTTGGTCACCAAGGCACTAAACTTTCCTATATGCTTTCATGTCCAATGTTGAGCCTTCATAAATTTCATCTGTTCACGGTAGCTTGTCCAAATGAGTGCCTAATTTCCCCGCTTCTATATTATTAAGTGATAGTCTGATCAGAATGATGGTCCTGAGTCACACTTGCGTGACTATTTGTCAGTTTGTTCTTTTCAAAGTGGCCCTCCTGTAGAGCTCTCGTAGGGATTCCTTAGATGAATTTTGGGTATGTTGTAGAGTAAATTATTGATTGTTCGTGCTGCAAGTACAATAAGTCAGCCTTTTTAGGGGCATAAGATTTTGGGATTGGAAAACTTCCATCTCCTTGCCAATTACAATGGCACTAGGCAGAGAAGTCCAGGCTGGTAGCCTGCTTTATGGCTTTGTAGCTTTGCCAAGATCCCCTAACCAATACTGCATTGTAGTAGTGTTGTTACTTCAAACTTCAAAGAAGCGCTAAATGGAGAGGCCTTCTTTGTGGCTTAACCAACTATCATTCAGAACCGCTCGAGACAAACATTTTAATTTACGTCTAGAACTGACTGTCCTATTGTAGGAAACCCAAGCGATTGAGTACGAGAATGCTTGATGCGAAAAAGATCCCTCCCGTCCTGTGCACAACCTGCCCAGCAGCATGTTTAACACACTAGTCTGACGCAGCGGAGCAGTACTGTGTCCACCCTTTGCTTCCTTGATGCTAGGCACTTTGTGGTCTCTTTTGGTCTCCACTGCTGATTTGATCCCCATGCTTTAAAGTGGTTTAGTATTAATTGGATGCATGACATTGTATCTGAAAGTGATTACTAGGTCAATTTAGACATGAAATTTAAATGAAATCGACAATGACTGCGACTGTTCATCGACTCAATTTCACTTCTTGGATTAATTCATTGTGGAAAAAGTCTCTTTTGTAACCGGGGACATAAAGCATTTTGCTTTCTGCGAGCTAACCTGTCCGTCAATCATTTGGTGCTGCTACATGTAGTGTCACAGAAACCTGTATCTCTTACAATAGAACATGGGATGACTGATCGTGCTGATTGATCCATTTTATTTAATTATTGGAGAAACTGGCAGTTGTTCTATAATTTTCCGTTTTCCAATACTATTTATGACGCTGTTTTCCTGGTCTTGGTAGTAAGAGTTCGTGTTTCTACCTCGAAAGATGTTTCTGTGCCGTTTTCTCATGTTCAAGTATGGCTCTGCAGCTTCGGAAGATGCTTGATCTTTTGGTGCATGCCGCTCAGTGTCGGTCACTGCACTGTCAGTATCCAAACTGCCGTAAAGTCAAGGGATTGTTCCGTCATGGCATAAACTGTAGGACACGCGCTTCAGGGGGCTGTGTACTGTGCAAGAAGATGTGGTACCTTCTTCAACTCCATGCAAGAGCCTGCAAAGAATCGAATTGTCATGTGCCACGCTGCAGGTCCGGGAGTGATTTTATTATTCGTGTTACTGTTAATGTCGGTTTCAGTTTTAAAACTTTTGCCTATCCATGGTCGTTTTGACTGCTGCCTTCCGACAGGGATTTGAGAGAACACTTGAGGAGATTGCAGCAGCAGTCTGACTCTAGGCGGAGGGCTGCGGTGATGGAGATGATGAGACAGAGAACTGCGGAAGTTTCGGGGAATGCGTGATGGCAGATTATACATGAGGCGTGTGAGGCGGAGGCTGAAGTAGAAAGGAACGTGATTCGGCTTCTTTTCTACAGCGCAGTGCACACTGCGGACCAGCGGAAGAGGAGCAAAGCGAAGCGAGTGCAGAAACCCAAGTGGCAGGCGGCGGCCGATGGCACGCCCGGACGGAAGAGACCGAGGGTCAATGGATACGCTCCGGCCGGGGCTCTCTCCTCTTGGAATAACGCCCACCACGCACGTCAGCGACGCATCAGGCCGGGCCTAGGGGTTTCTTTATTCTTTGATTCATCCTTCTGCTTCTTCAGAGAGTGCCAGCCGTCCGCCCCGTCACATCCCATCCCCCCCAAATCCTTTCCGGCTGCAAAATGTAACATAGACGTCCGTCCGTTGCCTTCTGGTTTCACCGATTTTGGTAGAAGAAACTGAGGGTCGGAGCGGGTCGTGGTTTGGGCCTTGCGATGTTTGCTACGCTTCTTCTACTTCTCCCCTCCACCATCCTATTTTTTTCTCCGTTGGCGCTGTGCTCGCCCTCCGGTGGGTGTATCGTGCATTCCCTCCGGAGTTTCGACCCGAGATAGCGACGCCATCCGGAACGTGCTCGCCCACGGCAGATAACTTTGGATTTCAGCATCATCACACCGCACGCGGGGTTAAGAACCCAACCGCCTTACTTCCTGCCGGGGACACGCGGTTGACACCCACCCTATCCTGAGGAGGAAACTTCTCTTCTTCTCGCTTCCTTCTCAATTGAGGGCCGACTGACAGATGGGCACAAAACAGCACGGTTTCTCCGCGGGCGCTGGTCAGCGAAACTGGCGATACGCCTCCGTCTCATAGCGTGTCCGCGTTTCTGTGCACGCAAAGATTTCATCGCTTCGGCATTCGATCGCCAGATGGATTTCTGGCCATCCTTGTTCGTTAACTGTTGGGGTCTGCCTCATGTCTCCCCCTCTTCTGCACGTGTAAGCCGACCGGGCGACGCGATTCGGAGGTTCATTCCGCCGATAGCAGTCGGGAACGACGATGAAATTCGAGTCTTTCCCAACCGGTGGCGGCATAATTTCCGGGTCTTCACGGAAGCGTCTCGCATAATAAATGGTCATGAATGCACAGACGGAGCGGAGCGGGTTTTACTTGGGGTCAGGCATCTCCTCGCCTCCTTCCATATACGTCAAGCGGTCCACCGTTTGTTTTCTCTTGGACCCGAATCCCACATAGGACTCACGCGCTGTCCGTCGTGGATCCGCTCAAGCCTCACGCGGTTTCGTCCGTTGACTTGGCGGCTAGGCCGCCTCCCCACCACCGCCTAAACAAGTGTGACCAGACTCGGTCCTCCCTCTATCGGAGCTGCGAACAATCTGCTCGTTGGGGCGACAACGGCCGGTCTTCGTCTGCCCATCTGCCTCGTTCTCTCTCCCACGCCCTCGGTGCTTTCTGCGCCAGGACCCTTCTCCTCCCCTTGATGCGCCGAAAGGAGTAATGCCTGGACGTCGCTGCGCTGGGGACGATTTTATGGACAAGCCACAGCAAGCCCCTTCCGCCGCCTGTTCTTCCTCTTCTTCCCCCTCCTCATCTTCCTCCACCACCACCCGCAGGAGGAACGAATTATTTAGTATGATCAAGGTATGCAACTCTGGGCTCTTCCTTCGCGAGACTGAAAATTGTCCCTGCCTTCTCTCTTCTCTTCCGGAGTTGACTTCCCCAAGACTAGCGGTAAAGCTGGCACTGGTTGTTCTGCAGCTCGCAAAATCCAACTCTCTTCCCTATCACCTTTCTTATTCTCCGTTCCTCGTCAGAAGTTAATTTTGGGGTTGCTGGCGATTCCATAGATTGATGTGTCAATAATCTTTCTCTTGCTCTGTCTCTATAGCCATCCATCCATTTATCAATATCTCTCTCTTTCTCGCTCCCGATCTTTCATCTCCCACTGACCGACCTTCTTTCCCCCGATCTTCTCTAGTCAGATGGATAGATGACCTCGTTGGCCGATCGGTGGCCGCCTCAATGTTTCTTTGCCTTTCTCTGTACGCAGTTAATTGCCATTCCTGTTGCTCATGCCATCTGTTATATGATCGTCTTGGTTTGCAACTCCTAAATGTCTCGGTTTGCAACTTACACGATTTCCATCTATCTTGCGTGGAGAAGGCTGCCGCTTGCCTCATCTCGTCATCGGCTGAGGACACCGCAGGAAAAGGGCGGAGCAAGAAGTCAAGTAACAAATGGGCACATGGTTACCACTTAGTCAAAGGTCAGTCGGGCCACGACATGGAGGATTACCACGTTGCAGAGCACCGGTACGAGAGGGGTCATGAGCTCGGCCTCTACGCCATCTTTGATGGGCACCTTGGCGACAGCGTCCCCAGTTACCTCAAGGGCAATCTCTTCACCAACATACTGAAGGAGGTCAGTGACGGATTCGCTTATTCAGCTGCTTCTTCTTGTGTAGACTTCATATCGTTGATTGCCGACTGAGGACATGTCAACTTTACTTATTTTTAGTTGCCAAGGTGGTTCACTTACTTGCCATGGTTGTTGTTTTCGGAGCAGCCAATTTTTTGGAGGGACCCTGAGGCAGCCATAAGGAATGCTTATCAGTCGACCGATCAATTCATCCTCGAAAATGCAGCAAGGTTGGGACCAGGGGGTTCGACGGCGGTCACAGCAATAGTCATCGATGGTCGAGACTTGTGGATAGCCAACGTGGGTGACTCCAGGGCTGTTGTCTGCAAGCAAGGTGCTGCCCAACAGCTCTCCGTGGATCATGAGCCGGACATGGAGCGTAAAAGGATTGAGAAGCAAGGAGGCTTTGTCACAATTCTCCCTGGTAGAGGCCTAACCACAGGACTGTATTCATATTTATTAGGATACACCAAGCCCCGTCCCTTGCTTGATGTTATTTCATTTTGGTTGTTTCACCATTTTGTTTGCTTCCTCTGGATGAACGTATTCATCACCCACATATTTTCTCCCGTGATCCCAGGGGATGTCCCTCGTGTCAACGGTCAACTTGCAGTTGCTCGTGCATTTGGTGATCAGAGTCTTAAGGCGCACTTGAGCTCAGAACCTGATGTTAAGCATGTACCGCTAGACCGGACAACGGAGTTTGTCATATTGGCAAGTGATGGCTTATGGAAGGTCTGTCTATATTTTCTTCAGTGACCTCATGTTGGGTGTTTCTCTCGTGTGGACTGTCTCTCTTAGTTGATTTTACTATCTTCGTTTCCAGATCCTGATATGCTATTTTTTCGATTCAAAAATTAGGGGAAAAAATATTTCCAATCGTCCACTGCTGTACTCTCGTTGTTTATTCATTTTCGTTTCTGCTCAGTGTCTCTGTTTATTCATGTTTTGTTTCTACTATTTTTCATTTCCAATTCCACCAAGCAGGTGAACAAGTGAAAATAAAAATTCCAACTCTCTGTTCTTTTTAGCGGTATATCCCATCCCTATTGTGAAGAGTCAACATCATGGTATTCCTCTGGTTAGTCAAGGAACTGAGAAATTAATCGATGCTTCTGTTTGAAGAGTTGAGAAAAGAGAACGAAATTTTCACACAAGGTGGTGACACAACGGTAATGCCATTCGTGATATTTCTTTGGTTACCCCGTGAGGGAATAGTGGAGGAAGAGCAATGAAGAAGTTTGTGCTGAATAATATGCTAGATATTTGAGCATCAACCCCTCCGAATTCCCGATGGATATGAGTTAAAATAGCTAATCTTGAAAAGCTGGCCGGTACATTATTTAAGTAAATGGTTTGAGGCTCTGGATCCCAACTTTGGACATGGTTGGTTTTAGATGTTATCCTCCCTTACTTGGGTGGCCAAATGAGACGGTTGAAATTAATGTGCATGAGACGAGGGAACTGCGCTCTCCACGTTATGCCCGGTTCTAGTTAATGATTGGGGAAGGAAAATCTTGAAAAAAACAAGGAATAAAGGAATTCTGAGAAGTGTTGAGGGGTGTGCTAAGGGATAGAGAGATTTTCCTGAAGTTGGTGCAGCGAATGCTGAATGAATATGCTATTTTGGAACTGTGTGTGTATCCTTTGTGTGTTGTCTCAGGTCGTGTTATCCTAATTCTTGATTATCAGCTTAAGGAGCACCTTTCCTTTCCCTTGATTATCAGGTTAAAGGCGATGCTTCTTTTTTTTTCCAGTCCTCCTTTTGTAAATGGAAAAAAGTTCTAGTGAGGTACTCTGACTAACTCCTCCTAAAGGAAAAGTTCTATTTGTCAAGTTAAAATTTTCTTTCTGCTGCAAATCTTCTCTGAACAAATTTGCTGTTTTTTACACTGGGCCATTATTTCATATCTTCCTCTCTTCTGGTTTTTTTTTCCTGCCCCCTTCCTCTGGTCAGTTGCATATACAGATGATAAATGACCAAGCATAGTCTATTTATCCTGGCCAAAATCTCCTGCTGTTAGTACCCAACAACGATGGGCATACTAGCAGCCACTAACTTCGTCTGACACTTCCAGTTTACCGACTTCTACTTTCAGCTGTTCAGCATGCTGTGTGAGTGTTTATAAAACACAGAAAAACCATTTTCAGGCAGGTGTTGTGGGATAGTTAAGATGATTCAGTACTCTGATTTGGATCCTAACTCTTTGCTGATATTCAAAAACCTAAACCATCCTGATGCTTGTTGATTTGCATTAAAAGGTGACTATGGTGTACATCAACACTCCGATGGTTAACACGATGGTTGACCAACGACTCTCCACCAAATTCGAAAGCTACTTACTTACTATAAACGATCATCCCGAGAACACCATAGACCTGATCGGGCCCAACAGACCCTCCTGAACCAATCTAAGCCACGGCATCTGATTTGAGCCTGCTGTATTTTCAAAAGTGAAGGTGTGTTGGAAGAGAGATGTGCCGATGATCATGGATCTTATTTCCCATCCATTAATGTGTCACCATCGAAGTCCAACCGTTGCAAGTGTACATGCATTTTGGAATGGGATCCTCTTATTTTGCTTCCACCAATATATGTGGTGTGCTCTCGGTCATTGATTACCGGAGGTTTTGTTTTGGAATCCCTTTGGAGTAAAATTTATTTGATATTATTCTATTATCGTTCTTCTAATGTTGTTTTTCTGCCAAGATATTGCACTTTATGGATAACTGCTGCCCTTAACTTCCAAAACCTTTGATATTTCTAAACTACTGCCATTGCAGGCGTCGCATTAGCTATAGCAACCAGATTCTTCTTGATGGGTTGTTGTAGAGTTAGCCAAGCCTTTTCGTGCTTTCAATTCGAACGAGTCTCCTTTTAGAGACGGTCCTGAAACAAGAGTTGTAGGCACCTTGTGCGACAACTAATGAAACAAAGGTTGCGGCAAGCTTGCTTGCTGATGTTATCATCAAATCAGGCTGATGTGCATGTCTGGAGAAGTAGTGTTGTCTATGCAGAGATATCTGAGGAAAGAAGTACGGATGAGTGCTCAAATATGTCCCCTACCCCAGTAGGCTACTAATGTAGGCTCGCCTGGCTAGATGAAATCGTCCGTTTTTCTCCTTTTTCCAGGACGAACGGGAATTTCAAGCGCTCTGATTTCGCCGTCATATCCTCCTGATTTATGACAACATTTGTGCCTGTGCTATAGTTATTGGTCACTGAAGGGGACTGCATGTGACGGCGTAAGGGTGCTCCTTTTGTTTGGCAGGTTATGAAGAACCAGGAAGCTGTTGATATAGTGAAATCCGTCAAGGATCCACGAGCCGCGGCCAAGCGCTTGACCACGGAGGCATTGGCAAGGAAGAGCAAGGACGACATCTCTTGTATCGTCATTCGCTTCCGGTAGACGGAGTGAATAATAGTCTGCCACAAGTCTCGTAGCCTGAAAGAGTGCTTTCTGGCGCCGTTCTGTTGGACGGGCTTGGGGCTTCTCATCTGCCATCTCGGAGGGATGTTATGCGGGGTCTGTGGAGGGAGACTGTATAGTTTGGGCGGGGAGGGGCGGCATCTCGCTGCGCAACACCCAGTGTATTTATGTGCACGATTGATCCGGTAGCTCCGCGGGATTGATTCTGTGTGGGGTAGTCAGTATGGTTGCATGTGTGTACATATGAACATATATATACATGTACGTATCTCCGGTTGTCGACAGACGTAAGGAATAACGGCGGAGATTTTCTTCGTCTTCATCTTCATCTTCGTCTTCGTCTTTGTCTCCGTTTCCGTCATCTTGTCGGCGGCGATGGTAGTATGCACACGGATGCCCCGGGGAGAAAACGGCTCAGTTTGTCTTCTCCCGGCGGCCCTGGATGCACGGATGTGGATGACGAGCTGGTTTCCCCTCCTGAGTTTCGTTTTCCCTGTGACTTCTCAATTCATTGATGGATCGATGAAGGCAGGCCAACAAGCGGATGCCCCCTGCTGTTTCCGCCTGGTTTGAGCTGCAGCGAGCTGATGAATCCTGCTACTCCAGGGACTACACTCATTACGTGTGATTCGAGGGTCCATCCGTCATCTGGTGCTTCTCGGTTGCCGCCTCTCCTTCACGCTCTCGCTCTCACTCTGCTACGTCTAAGGCGCAGTTTGTCTGTAACCACGTGTCACCGGGGATTGCATTGTTTCGCAAGGCGCTCTTTTGCGGCCAAGAGTAATGGAGGGCCAGGGAGGGAGGTGGGAGAGAACGGAAGCCGGGTCGGTTTGGGGACGAATTGTTGAACTTAAGACGGGTATCACACGAGAGAGAGAGAGAGAGAGAGAGAGAGATAAAGAGGAACGCTCCGCAGAGGAATCTTCCTTGAGACAGGCCACTTCGAGATCACCAGTCCCCTTCTCTCCACTTGGGGTAAAGATCATATTCAGGACTGACTCCCTTGGGAGGACAAAAGTTTCTTCTAATAGCTGCAGGGTTTGATGGTCATCTTTTAATAGTCGGGATATACCCTCCTTTCGACCGCCTCTACATCCCCTCCTCCTCCAATCTTAACGGGCTGTTGCCTTCTGTTTGAACTGTGGTCTCTTGCCAACTGCCCATATCTTTTCCACGTGGTGTCTGGGATCGTTGCTAACGTGAATGAGAGGAGAATTTGAATATCTCAACAATACTCCTCCCTATAAGTCTCATCTTTTTTCGCAAAGTGAAAATCATGGCGCTGCTGGTGACTGGTTCAGGTTGACTCTCACACGGCCTCGGAGTTAGGTAACTTCTTCCATTTGATTAAAACTTTAATCTTGAGTGGCTCATGTCCGATGATAAGGCCAACTTAAGGTCTTCATCCAACATTAGTGGGTTAAAAGAGCCTAAGGAGCTTGAGTCCTTAGGAGGTTAGTGGATACTTGTAGTGGTAGAAGGTTTAACTAGTAGACCACAGGCCCAATGCATTCAAGGATCCTAAATAGACCAAAGTAACATGGGGCAAGTTTTTCATAGGACCTGCCATGCGAGGGACTCATAGGGATATGGTGGTCTTAGTAAAAGATAGATGAGGTCCCTTTCTGCGAACTCAAGATTGCAATGTTTGCAGTCAACGTAGGCTTTCATTTGAAGTTGAGCTCTTCCCAAATGTTTCTAGAGTTGGTCAGGGGCTACATCTCTTTATTGAAGCACTTGGTCGAGTTCTCACGGTGAATGAGACTCTTATCAGAGAAGGGTTGTTGGTACATAACCGATCTTGAATGGTGAAGTGTTTACAAAAGAATAGAAATATGTGTTGTATCAAAATTTGGCTCATGCCAACCATTTTCTTTATTGGCGTGAGCGGCCGCTGAGAAATTAGCAAACATACGTTTATAGTCCTTGATCAACTACTGTGGATTGTCATATATGTGGGGATGGTATGAACTAGTCTAACAAAGAATTATCTAATAGAACTTGAACAATTCTTTCTAGAAAATGCTCATGAGGATACAACACGGTTGGGGATGATTGACAATGGAAATCCTTTTAACAGAACGATGTCCTTAATGAAGATTTTTGTTATCCTATGATGTAAATGAATGTTGGAGAGCGAAATGGGAATTTTTGCTCAACTAGTGCATCATGACCAGGATCACACTAAACCAATCAAATTTGGGCAATCTTTCGACAAAGTCCAAGCTTATGTTATCTTAGACTCTCTAGAATCTATAGGGGATGTAGAAGAATGACATGGGAAGAGGGACTTATATTTACTTTTCTAACAAATGGATTGGGCAGGTATTTATATGTCATAATACAATTATTCATGCCAATCTACTGCACTTTGTACCTGACTAAAGGATTTTCGTAAAAATCTTAAGCTACCATCAATAATTGAGTTGAATTTTTATTTCAAGAGGTTGGAAATCATCACAAAGCCATTTGAGAACATTAGTCACTCACGATGGAACAAGTGGCCATATTATAGTAAGTAATTGAGTCATTTCTGTAGATTGTATAGAAGTCATCTAATAATATGTGTGGCTAAAGGTCTACCTGATTTTCCTATAAGACTTGATCCATACGAATTAATTTAGGTCGAGATAACTCAAGTTTGCGAGTAAGTTTGATCTGGGATTCGTGATGAGGGATCAATAGTTTTATTGTCTACTCTAGTCTTCTATCCTCATCTTAAAATTAAAAATAATAATTTTTAAGAGCTGTTTCTAATAGTCTAGAAAAACTTGTCATTATTCAACAATTAATTTCAAGTTTTATTGATCTGTAAAAATGATAACTATATTGTATTTATGTAAAACTCTATGTAAAAGTTTTCTCCCAAACAAGTGATATTTCTATTTTAGATGATAAAGATGATGACCTTAAGGTCCCTCTTATAAATAATGTTGAATTTGCTGATAGAAGATGGAGCTTGGTTCAAGGACCTGATTGATCTCTTATGTTGCATGAATACTTTCAATTCAAAGTTTAGAGATAAAGTAAGGAGGTTCAATACAAAAGTTGAAGTCATAACAATCTTTATACGCTAAAAAATCCTTAAACTTTCAAGTCCCAACTGAAAGCATTTTACTTGAACTATTATGTAAGGGGCCATGCGACAGACTCCTACCCAGCGATGAAGCACCGATGGCATCCAATTATTTGTAAAATCCCTGGAGTTCGTAGAGGTTAGAGTGACAAGGCTGTCGTTGAACTACTTCCGCCTTATCTTAGGCCATGAAAACCCTTTCTATATATACTCAACGGCCCATGTAATATGTGACTATTTGATAGAGCACTTCTTCAGATTGACATATAACTAGTAAATTTGGAGGACATTGAAGACCAATACCCGTCATTCATGCACCTTCAAGTCACTGCTGTAAATAAAATGTCTTAGATGAATATTAGTATGAACTTCTAAAGAAACTCGCTGAATATTATATTTATTAGTGCCTGGAAGGTAGTCAGTGATATTCAAGAAGCCCAAAGACATGGCTAAAGATTTCACCAAAAATACTTTGTCCCATGCAATTCATCTAGTAGTTCCTTCAGCCAAAATTAGTGTCTTCTGCTTAGATTCAAATCTGGTGATAATCAAATCAGAAGTTCTGTTTATAAAATATCTGTCCCATGCAAAAAAAAAGCTAGTAGTTCCTTCACAATTGAAATCAAGAACTGATTCAAGATAGGTACCTTTTTGAGGGTGTGGTAGTCCACACAAAACCTTCACAAGTCATGGCTTGTTTTTTTAGGAGAGTGGAGTTTGAGAACATATTATTTGAGTATTGAATGTTCCTGCTTCTAGCATTTCGTAGACCAATTTTTATAGCTCTTTTTTTCAAAGTATAATTATCTTAATGGCTTGATATTAATCGATTTTAAGTTTGGTTCCAAGGAAATGATGTGACTCACATCTCGACTTGGGAGTAACCCTCAAATCTTTACAAAGGCATCAGAGAATTCGGTTTTGAATTGGATTTCGAGTGACGTTGATTTACCGTTGAAATCTTATATTGTCAGTTGGTAGAACTCGCAACAAATTTCCCTCATCTTTATAATGCTACATAGGGACTTGGGGGAGATCTCTGGCCAGTGTTTCGAACGTTCTGTTTTGAGGGTGGCCCGTTATGTTCCCACCTTGAAGGATGATAAGGTCATTTGCTTAAAAGTCTAGCTCAATTTTCTTCATTGCTTAGATTCGTTACAGTTCAAAGATTGTTGCATTCTCGCTTCGAAGTTCTTTTTCGTTTGCCTTTGTGTGTGGTGGTGTTTTGCTGGGTATCCCACCATAAGTCTTCCAGTTATTTCTCGATTATCACTATTTTAACGATGCTTTAGCTTGGGAGGTATAACTTTAATACCAAATGATGAAATCATATAGACGGAGGTGAGAGAGATCGGAAGCCTAGTCAGTTAGGTGACGAATGGTTCTACTTGAAATAAAACCGGAAGACGTGGGAATCACGAGAGAGAGAGAGAGAGAGAGAGAGAGAGAGAGAGAGAGAGAGAGGGGAGCCTCCGCAAAGAAATATTCGAGAATAGGTGGCCGCTTCGAGATGGCCAATCTCCGCTAGGGGATACAACCGGACTCGGGACTGCCTCACTTGGAGGACAAGGTTTTCTACTTATAGCCGCTGGGGCTGAGGATCCATCATCACACGTGCCCGACTTCCGACCGCCGACATCAACAGATGATCCTAATCGTCCTCGCTGCGAAGCGCACTCGCTATCCTCCGCCGCTCCTCTTCCTGCTTCCGCCTCTACACGTCGCGGTGATCTCGCCGAGAGGGGAGAAGGCCGAAATGGCAGTTATGAAACAGCACGCCACGGCTCAATGGGCCGAAAGTGGAGGCCGCAGTGAATGGGCCATCTCGACCGCGGAAGCGCCGGGTGTCTGCGAACAAAACCGGCCAAGGAGGGGGGGAAGGTAAGGGGGGTCGGGACTCAGTTGTGGCTGTGGAGAGACGATCCAGGATGACGCTCCTCGTCCAGCCGCGCAGCCACGCGCTGCTGCCTCGTTTCCTTGCCTTCCCTCGCCGCCGGCGCCTCTCTTGGCGCCTTGGCCACCACATCCTTGCGGGCATGGCGTCCTCTTTCTCCTCCTCCTTCCCCTACGTCTCTGCGGGCGTAAGGCGAGGGCCGAGCCCCATCGAGGCATGCAGATGGCTGCCGGGCCTGCTAGCGACGGCGGTTGTGCTCTCCTCCTCCTCCGGCCCCCCGGAGTCTTCGCAATTACCGGACGATGCCACCTTTGCCGACGTGCCTCAGACGCTCTCTGGTTAGTCTAGTCGGTCGGTCCGCACCTTTGCAAAGTGTTTCGTCGCACATCGGGGAATTGGGAATTAGGGATATGGGGGAGTGTTTGTGACCAAGCGGAGGTCTCAGGTGGCGGAGGGGAGCGCAAGAGAATCCAGAAGCCCAAGTCGAGGCAGGCGGAGTCGTGCACCGTCAAGTGCCTCGGAACCTGCATCCGCGGCGGCGCCGGCTCCCCCGGCGAGGGCCCCTTCAACGTCCGGAGGTGGTAAAAATAACAAATTGTTGGGGTGAGGAGTAACACAAGGAGAACAGTGCATTGACTGACTGACTCCCTCCCTGGTTGATGAATGCAGGCCCCTCGTGGTTTTCAAGTCGGGCTTCCGCACCCGCAACTACTGGCAAGTCCTTCCTGCTCACTCTTTCTTCCCAAACAACCCAACCCTTTCACGCCACAACGCCCTCGCCCTGCCCCCTGACATCGGCCGACCCTGACCGTGGCAGCTTGGTGGAGTGCTCGGACATTTGCAACCTCATCAAGGACGGCGACGACGGGCCCTAGCAACAAGCAGATGGGGGGGTTTTCCTGACCCCTCCTGACCTTCGAGCGAGACTGGCCGCACGGGGGTCGCCCTGTGTTGCAGCTAGCTTATGATTTCCTTCCTTCTTGTAATTGCCCGCTCGTCAAAGGGATCAGAGGAAGGAAGGGGCGGGGGCGGGGGCGAGTCTCTCGCTCAAGGTGCCTCCTTTTTCTGACCGGTCCCGAGTAGTCTGGTCTTCCCACCCAACAAATTACAGGGCGGCTTCATATCGTCAAAGCACACATTGGTGTCCCGCTGACAATATCATTCATGTCAACAGTAGAAGGAAAAACCATTCTACATGTCCATAGTAGAAGGAAATACCATTCTGCATGTCCACAGTAGAAGAAAATACCATTCGACATGTCCATAGTAGAAGAAAATACCATTCTGCATGTCCGCAGTAGAAGAAAATATCATTCGGCATTTCCACATTAGAAGAAAACACCATCCTGCACGCCCCAATGTTACTGCGCGCGCACGCAGGGACAGGGTGCGGGCGAACCTCGACAGAGAGCAGGACGCAGCGGGCATGCGCTGCGAGGCCGCTGCTTCTCACAAATTGACAATCCAAACGTATAATGCACACGGAAATGGGCAACAAGCAGGTCTCAAGAACAGAAGAGAGAACAGGCGAGGATGTCAGAAGCTCCGAGGAATGGTTGGTCCGAGGCGGGCCATCCGCACCAACTGCTCCGGAGGCTCTCCTCACTTCTCGGAGGTTTCAGCGTCGGCATGGGCTGGGTGAAAGCACACATCGTCGCAAGATAAGGTCAGCCATGAAAGCTTCGGCGCTGCAGCGCCCGTCAAAGAGCCCAAAAAGAAGAAACGAAGACCCCACATCCGCTCTGGGTTAGGACACATGTTGCCGCCCCATGTGTGTTCTACGGATGCGCATGTTCTGAAATCGATAATGAGCTCGAATAGAGCGCATAAAGAATGAGTGCGAGGAGCTGATCAAGCAGAAGGAATCTACCTCGAAGGAGCCGTTCAAAGGCCTCCAACTGCTGAATGAACCCGTGATTTGGGGATATCTGGGGTCGTTTGATTTTGACCTGGGTCAGCGCCTCGTAAACGCTCATATGGTGCTTCTTCATCAGATAGGCAGCCACAATCGTCACACTGCAGCAGATCATAGCAGAGGATCGTCAAACCATCCGAGACATCGTCAAAGCCTAAACTCGTATCAGGGTCCACATTTCCCAGTTCGAGAGAGAGAACCTATGCTGCCAAATTTACGACACCTGTTCGTGGCATGCTTTATCAGCAAGCCTAGGATCTCGCGCAACTCTCTCAGGACCCAGCTCGACATCAGGGAGAACCGCAAAGGATCGCAAGGAAGGGAACCTACCCACCCCTCCTACCTCTTATTGAGCCACTTGGGCTCGAACACGACTTTTTGCGATTCGTCTTGAGGAGTTAGCTTTAAATGGGGAACTGCCCGAGCCATTGAACGCTCGATCTGATGGCAGAGATCGACACGACAGCTGGAAAATAGCATCCCAGGGGACAGTTGCGCGCGGCCGAGTCAACAAGGGGGGGCGGGGCGGGCATTAGGATTTTGGACAGGTTTACGCAGCATCTTCTCTAATAACAAAGTTGCAGGTTCCTGCGCTGTCTTTTCGAAGCAAGCTCTAAAAAGCGTAAGCAAAGGAAGCATAGAGAAGGGGACAGGAAATACCTTCTTGATCTTCCCGCAAAGCAGTGAACGAGCACAGCGCCGCCCTCTCTCCTAGCCTCGTCGATGAACTCAATGCATGCATCAAAATGCTGCGCTAAATCCATGTAAGGACTGTCGAGCACTGAGTCCATCAGCACGGCACCAAATTGTCAAAACAGCATCACCATTGTAGTCAATCCCCGCGTCATCTTTTTTTGTGAGGAAAAAACATGAATCGCCCAAAACGAGGCACCGGGCCTAAAACGAAATCGACAATGGTGGAATGCGGGATGCTAAAGTCAAGGATGGTTTTTGTGCAATTCGGAATATAAGCCGGCTTCACGTGGATATGCGTTGCAGAGTGTCTGCAATGTGGACTGGACAAGTAAGTCTCACCTTCGATCTTCTTGTATACGAAATCATTGGGAAATGCAGGCTCCAAAGACTTAGCCACAGTCAAGATATGAGTCACATTCAATTCTTTTAGCGCATCTCTCCTGAATGCCGCTCCAACAGAACCCAAGAACAGGCCCTGAAATGTTTCAGAGTAATACCGAAAGATTATTATCCTCTGATTAGATAGAGACAGATATTCTATTATTCTTAAGAGAAGGAGCTCTCCACTTTTCCGAATTTCTCTTGCATTCCACGCTGAGAAGTGATTGCAGGGTGGGTTCACTCTTTCATGAAGTGGCTACCGGAGATATCTATGGAACTGGCGTCCGTACAAGTAGAGTAGACTGGCCGAAGGACAAGACGGCCTGCTCTGAGGTCTAATGATCTTCTCCATGTACAACCTCCATACCACGTGAACCCTCTCATCGGACAACACAGAGGCTCATATCACATTGGATTCAGCTCAAGTATGGCGCAGGTAGGCGTTGGACCAGCGATGGGAACATGAAGAAACAGAGATGACGAGCAACAGACGGGGGGCCTGAAACGATAGAATTCCTACCTCTTCGATTAGGCAAGGGGTGTTGTCCCTCCTCGCATATTCCGCTGCGTATAATCCTCGAAGAAGAGCATCCATCTTGTATCTATCATCTGAAGGCATTTTGAGAGCATAATCACCTTCTTTCGATGAGACAGAGGGTAGCTGCCAGTGGCCTCTTCATGCTGCAGTCTACGTCAATATGAACCAAAAAGGAGGCCACTAAAGGGTTACAACGAACCGATGGAACAGGGAGACCTAATCCTATTTACTACGTATCACAGTCATCAGTGAATCTGGTCGGAAAAAAAGCATGGAAAGAGCCACAACAAAGCGATTCAGCATGAAACAGATTCGAAACTTCTACGACGGCACAGAGTTCCGATCAACATAGCTATTTGATATGTGGAGGAAATCTGAAATGCATGAGCCATGTCGTCAAATTTCCTCATCTGGGCTCAGCTGATCGAAATGACAACTCGGCGCAATATCTTATTTCATCGGAGAAACAATTGTTCAGAGAATTCCTGGCTATGCATCGCCTGTCCCTCTACCAGTAATCGACTGTATTGAAAATGTTGACTTGGATGGCTGTGCCCAAGAACTTGTTCCCCAATTGCCCTCCTCAAATAAGATGTCCAAAAACAAAGAGCCCGGCTACTCTCTGATGAGCAACAATACAGCGAAGATGGCGAGAACATATACGGCTGGAAACTGTGTTCGCAAAAGGTTTGAAATCATCCATATCATTCGCAGTAAAATCCGTGAATTCTTTTCTGGAGAATCTACGTCGTGAAGGTTATACTTCTTAATCCAAATCCTATGAAAATTGGAAATTCCACGATGTTATTGCTAGACATTTTGCGTGATGAAGAGGTGTACTCGTTGGATTCCTTCAGCCTGACGTCACAAATAAATTGGGCAACAAAAAAAAAGATCCTACTGTGATCAATTTGATTCCCTTCATCTAGACTTCAATCGAATGAGAATTCACAACCCCCTGTTGTGCAGTGCAGTGATATTTGCACCGACTTTCGATCACAGATCCTTGATGGGTTATTGCAAACATGCGTTCTTTTACCACCGAGTATGCAATTTTGAAATGGCAAGCCAACGAGGAATATGCTCCATGCAGCGAACTTAATGAGATGATGCACGCGGGCTAGTGTTGCCTCTCCAGGCGGAGCAAGCCACAGGTCAACCATCAGGGATGAAAGTGCAGGGAGGCTGGCTGAGAAAAGGCAAAGTAGAGAGGGAATCGGATAAGAGAAACCCATATGAACGCTAGGTGAAGTTGCCTCCTCCAGGGGAGACTTCACTTTGACGAAGCTACGCGATCGCCCGGGCAAAGGGGGGTTAGCACGAACGAAGCAGCGTACTGCGCGATCTAGTTTTTATGCACCGTTCCAATCGTGATGCCCGTGAAAAGAGAACAGCAGGAAATCCACACACGGAACATTGCAACATCATCAGTACGTGAAGAAAATTTATATTGAATTGATAATTGCATAAAAGCAAGAGCAATACGATGAATAATGGGAAAAGTTTTCCTACGATGAACAAGTTTGGAAATCAAAATGAGATGAATAATTAGTCAATTAAATTAAAAGATCGCACCTTCAAAGAGAAGGGAGCCGGAGAGAGCGAGAGGAGAAGGGAGGGAAGCCGGGGAGAAGGGGAGGGGAGGATGATCGTGGGGCGGGATCCCGGAGAGGGAGAGGACGATCGTGCAGTGAGAGGCTGGAGACAAGGAGACGGAGAGGACGATAGCGGGGCGAGAGGCCGGAGAGCGAGAGAGGATGATCGTGGGGCGGGATGCCGGAGAGGATGAGAGGAGGATCGCGGGTTGGGAGACCGAAGACCCGGGGGGGGGGGGGGTAGGTGAGCGCGAGAGCGCAGCAATTCTTACACTGGAGACGGGGAAGAAGGCTACGACCGGGAGCGAAATAAACAAAAAAATAAATTTTGACGAGTCCCCGAAGGTCGATCGGGGCCGCGCGTTGATTAATAAGAAAAATAGGTGGTACGAATATGGACATCACGATGGTTTTCTAGTCCCCATAAAACGAGAGGGCCATATGCATCGCGGAAAGGGGCAGTGTAGATAGAGAGAGAGAGAGAGAGAGAGAGAGAGACCAAAAAATAAAAGCAGCTCCGACGGTGGCCCGTCTATTATTCGCCTGAACAGCCCCTCGCCGGCACTGATAAGAAGGGGGATTGCAGCTACTGCTGTTGCGGTGGCGGCGCCCCGGTCCTTCCATTTGTCTTTTCTTCTTCGTGTGTATGCCGCCAGCATTCGTTCAGGGTTGTTGGCGATGCTGGCAGAGGGACTCGTAAATCGTCTTCCTTTTCTGGAGGCTCGATGCGGCGGGATATGTCGCTGCGGCGCCAGTGGGCTCCTTTCCTTTCATAGGACCAGCATCAGAAGGTGAACTTTCCTCCCTCCGACCTCCGAATTCCTCTCATATCAGCTTACATCGCTTCCCCCGAGGTCCCCCGCCGCATCGTTGCGTTGACAAGAGGCATACTCCCGCGGACTGCAACCCGGGGCCTCAGAACAACGATCTCTGTGCCGATGGTCTCTTTGACTATTAGGCCAAATTGAATGATGCTGGTCTCTCACCACGAAGGCCATGACCCCCGCCTCCATCCCCACCCAGGCTGAAGGATCCTTATTTGTATGCTGCTCCAGTGAGACTCTGGGCGATGCGCTTACATGTTTTCATTCCATGAGAAGTAATGGGAGACTCAGGGCGCCAAGGTCTGAGATCCCGGGGCCGAACGGGAAGAAGGTGGCCAACCTTTCTGCCAAGCACAAGGAGAGCATTAAGTTGCCCGAGTACACCGACGGTAACGGCAAGTCCTTCCCAATCAGCGAATTCATCAACCACCCATCAGGCGTGGAGTCAATTCTAAACACCAGAGCGTTGCAGAGCATAGAACGCCTGGAAACGAGCACATACAGGTTCACCTCGCACCAGAGCTTCACCTCGCACATTTTTACTGCAGCTACTCCTCAAAATTTTCGCCCATTTCTGTAACTGTGGGTGGCAAGATGATCGGGCGCCGCCGTTCCGACAGCTGCCTCGAACTTGTGCGAAGCTCTAAATGTCCAATGAGAAACCTCGGCTGCACACTTCCAGACGTCGAATTTGGCCTCACTCCAGGAGCCGACGCCTATTCGATTGCTTGGTTTGACACTCCCGTCGATTGTATTATCCCCACTCCTCTTCTTTTTCCCGGCCTCTCCCTCTTGTTGGATCGTGTGTCCCAGCCATAAACCTGACTCTATAGAGTAATCCGCGATCAACCCGATTGTCAGCGTAAACATTTCTCACTGCAAGGGGGGGGAGTTGCGGGGTCGTGTGAGCTGAGCTTTCGGTCGTCGGAGTTTATCTGAAGCCCGTCTTTGACTGGCGCAGGTGCACTTTACCGACAATAAACTTCTTGAACTTTGAGGTGGTGCCGGTGATCGTCCTGCGTGTGACCTCAACAAGTGATGACTGCATGGTCGAAATGCTGTCTTGCAAGGTAAACGGAGCCCAACTTTCCTGCAGATTCTGAAACCTATTAAGAGAAGCTTTATCGTTCCCACTCGAATTGAATCTTATCAGCATGCATGGTATCCAACACTAGCTACTAGTAGCCAGATCTAGCGTTTTTTTTTTTCCTTTTTATTGGTAGCAAAATGAATTAAAGAATAGCAAAGTTTTCGCATGAATTCAACCCAGAGGAGTAGAACATGTTGTATAAGCTAGGGATTCTCGCTCGTCGTACCGATGATTTCGGTGCTTGCACCAAGCGGCTGGCGATTCCGCTCTTTTCATCGTGATGACACTGATTCTTCTTGCCTTTCAGTTTGAGGGCTCACAAATTCTGGAGCAGCAGAGTCATCGATTTTCAGGTTGGCCGCCTGGCACTTTGAACTACTCTCCAATCCGCCGGCCAGTCGTGAATAAGACGGCCTATGCGTTCAATCCATAATTTTCAGAGAATTCTCGGGTTTATCTGGTATCTTGTGGTGGCTTCTCTACCGGCCTTGTTTCTTTCTGGCTGTTGTGCGTGCGCCTGCCTTCTCATTTTCGTTTCCGGTCGCCCTGCTCTTCCTGACGTCGGGCTTACTCGTGCAGCGGCGATGAGGAATCATATAACCTGGGGCGAGGACTCTGTGGAACCTTCCTTGAGCTTCGACGTGAATTTAAGTGTTGCCCTCGAGGTTATGCGTCACTCTCCTTCCCCCTTTCCCGCGAGAGATCTCTCCAGAAATTTTCTCATTTAAAGAGTCCGTTCCATGCTCGATCTCCGAGCAATATTATTCCGGGTCTTCTTGCCATCCGTTCCCCTGTTGGATTGTAATCTAATCACGCCAGGCCCGCCTCCTTGGTTGGGCGTAGCAAGCAAGCAATGTTGCCGCTTGCTTCTCTGAATGGCGCGGAGAAGAATATGAATACGCTCACTCTGGTATCGTTGCCTCTGATTATGGTTCACGACGTGTCATGTCGCAGGTTTACACGAAGCCGTTCACGTTGCTCCCAGTATCCGCGGTGGAGACCCCAGGGAACCTGTGAGTAGCTAGCCATCCCGAGCAAGTCCCCTGTCTGGGCAGCGTTGGGCTGTCGTCCCGTCTTTAGTAACTCAGAGTTTGTTTATTTCTTACGTCTGTCGTCTCACCTCAAATTCCTCCCCCAACCCGGGCCCCCCCGCTGTGCGCAGGATCATGCAAGGCTTGATCGACAGACTCGTTCCCCAGCTCGTGGAGCAGCTGCTCGAAGATTATCGGAGCTGGGTCGAGGAGAGGGTGAATGTCTGCTAACCCCGGAGCTCGCAGACGAGGAGAGGCACATCAGTTCTTTCCCACTGAACGAGTGTGAAAATATTAAGGAAATGCTCGCCCAACCGCTGTGACGCCGAACCAGTCTCCGAAACAACGATGGCCGGAGCATCAGCGGGGCGTCGTAGGATTTCGGCGTCGACTGCTGCCTGTTCTTCACCTCTCTTGTGGTTCTGGTGACTGTTCCTTCCCCAACTGGTTCATCACATGAGCAGTGAACGACGAGTGTGTTGGGAGAGGGCCAATGAGAAGGGCCCTAGTTCTTCTCCCACGATAAAGCATGTCATCTTGATCGCACACGCAAACAATTCAAAGATTGAATGCGACGAGAAGAAGGTCCCGAGTTCTTCTGCGCCGATGCCACACCGGCTGATAAAATATATGTCATCTTGAATGCGCACCCAATCGTTGAGTTGGAAGGCGATCGTCCCTCACCGCGTTTCCAAAACGAAACGAACCGGGAGCCCATCCGTTGGCGGAGCTGAGATTCAGGGTTTGCCGGTGAGCAGCCTACGGATCATACGCGCACCGGCGAGCGGAAAGCAACATGACTGCCTAATCGGGCGGCCACAGGATAATTTCGCGAACGGGTTGAGGAAGCTCTATCTAAAACACTTTCATGCGGATTCAAAGAGCGGAGTAAGACGTGCGATTGAGATTAAATGAAACTTATCATCGCCCGAATATATGTGTACGACGCAGACGCCTCGCGGTAAGAAAAAGCTCCAAGAGATCTTCAGAATGTCAGTGCGCGAAGCTAATGAGATCCAGAACGGAATTCCAGTGGAAGAAGTTGGATCCCCGTAGCTCCCGCAATGGAGTGATTTTGGTGAGCTTACTGACCATTCACACAAAGAGGGCATCCAACCTGAATTGGATGCTGCTGTATGACTGGCTAATTGGCCACCATTTATGTGTGCCTCTCTGTATGGCTGTATGTATGTGCGTCTACACGTCGAACAACCATCGACGGGAATGGATTAAAAGAGGAAAACTTTGCCCGAAAAAAGTTGAGGAACCTTGAGAGAGCGCTGGGTAGAATCGGCGAGCTTGGCTAGGCAAATATAAACCACCCCCCCTCCCCCCCAAAGACTGATGGGGGCAGAAGAGCCTGCCCAGACAAAGCCCTACGTTCTCCCTGGAGCCTCTCGCGAACAGGGTGATCGGAGCGAGCCTTCCCCAGATCTAACCCCTCCCTGAAGCCAGCTCCAGCCATGTACGGCAGCGGCACGGCTAGCAGAAGTCTATCTAATAAAGGAGCCGCGGAAAACCCACCCCCCACCCCCTCAAATGCCCTAATGGCTGCCGGAAAGGAAGAAGAGAGGGAAGACGCGGCGACAATGAAAAACAAGGGATGAATCTGCCTAGGCACCGTCGTGGCCAGCGGCTGTCGAAGTGTTCGAGCGCCGACCAAGAGCTCCCGCGCCGCCTTACCGTGCTGCACTCCGACGACCTCTTCGATGACTGAGGAGCTGAATTTATATAGGCGAGAGGAAACGGAGGGGCGGGTGCTAGGGTAAGCTCAATCGGTCGAATCCAAGCTCAATTACTCATGAAATATGGCTACATCATTTATTTATCATCCGACAGATGATTGAATCACGCTGGCATTATATCTCGCCCAAAAACAATGCTGGTTTGATATCTGTGCTCAGGCTATACGACATGGCCTTGACGAACAATGATTTTTTGGTGCTATAAATTTTGGAATGCTGGGATATGATGCATTATATATATATATATATACACATATATAAATCAACTTCTCATAGTGAAAATTTCACATCGAAATAAAAGAGTTTTATATTTAATTCTTTTAGTATGAATTCCATATACATTAAAAAGTCTAACACTAGACATTGAGACATTATACTTTATATGTTGTGATATTGCGTTAAATATTCTCATGGGCTGAAATATTGTTCTCGACGCATTAAATTGTTTCTAGAGTTTGATACTTGTGTTCTAAAACATAGTTCCCACATACTAATATATTAAGATTGGAAAGGTTTCTAGTCTATGACATAATACGTATGGGATGATATACAATTTTTGACACGCATTTTAGTCCAATGAAGCATGTGGACAATGAAGTTTCTCATACTACATTTGTGGCAAAGCTAAATGAGTCAGCATGATGCAACTATCCAAAAATATAGTAAGGCCTAGAAATAAATAAATAAATAAAATACACATTTTTTTTATGCTTCAGCTCTCTACAAGATCTTCATCGAAAAAAGTTTTTATATCTTTGGAAAGAGGCAAAACCGAAATGTTTCCTTTTGTAGACATATCAATAGTACGATTATTCACTCTAAAACGATTATTTGCATAGAGGGCGAGAGAGGTAGTCATTTGACTTATTACTACTACATCTTTTTCTTTTTTATTTTATGTGCAACTATAATTTGACTGAGAGAAAATATCAAACCATGGCCCAATTTAATTTATAGTATCATTGATTTGTGAGCCAATAATTGTTTACTAAAAAAGGTACTCTCAAGAGAAACTATCATTTGACGTCATTATCTCATCATTATGCTCATAATGTGGTTAAAAATACTATTTTATTTACTCTCTTAACAAAGTCTTATAGAAATTCATGATCAAATGCATATAGTTTTCAAGAAAGAGTCGCTCCTCTCTCCCCCCCCTTTTGATCCTTTTTATAGCCCGCTCAAGGCCGCTATTGATAATTATGGTGCTTCCAATCAAGAACTGGGCAACGTATAGAAGCAGCATTAACAACTAAATGAGTGCATAAATAAGCGAAATAAAATATCACTAGTTAACATTCCTGAGTGAAATGTAATGTGAGTAAAATGGTCTGCACCCGATTCAAAATCCTTTTTCGGGCTTAGATTGCAGGAATCTAACCACGACACCAAAAAATTATGAACGTGCTTGTCACAGTGCTCCCGAAATCAAAGCATGAGTCCAGCTTTTAAACTGAAATCAGTGAGCCCACCACCCACCAGCACCTTCACCTCCACCTCCATCCTAGTCCTCACACAGGAAGCTTCATGGTTCAATGGTCGGACATCCTCGGCGCCACCCCCACCCCCCCAATCTTGCTCATTTCTCCGGGTGCATTTAACCTGCCATACGACGAGCAGATGGACACATAATGGATAACCCATCGGATGTATCGAGCTCCATCACGATCGTAATTCTACGAATTTCAACGTTAATGTCTTGCGATTCTGGCGACAAAAAGAGTGCTTCTTCAATCCCCGAGTATTATTTTTTGAAAAATGGCGCCGACCTGGGTATCCATCGCAATCGTTGATGGAGAAGAAAGGATTCGAGTGAAACGTGGAGGGGGACGGGGGGACGCGGGGGAAAAATGAGTGGCACAGGTGAGACGCAGCGGATGTGAAACAGACCAGGCAGCATGGATCGAGCCCTGAGAGCTAGTGGAAGACAGGCGGAGGATTTAACAGGAATTCGCTGTTGCAGCTGCCTGTTGCCACGATACGAACTTACGTTGGGAAGAAACAGTCCCAACTTGTTGAGGCGAGCTGAGGAAAAGAGAGAGAGAGAGAGAGAGCCTCTCTGTACGTTTAATCACTGCCTTATCATCATCACATGAAACAAATAGTGCATATACCTGCGGATGCTAGAGCCGCGACTGCGGGGAGAGCTTCTCTGCAGAACCTTATTCACAGGAGGGAGGGGAGGGGGAAGAGGGAGAAAAGAGGAGTAAATAAAGAATTATTTTCTTCTCCGCGGGATTTGTTCAGCCAGCATATATTTGGTTGAAAAAAAAAAATCAACATTTTGAATAAAATCATTTGAAGAAAAGATCAAAAAGGGGAGGAAGTTAGTCAGCACCCGATAGATTAGAGGAAAAATTATCAAAACAGGAAGCGGCCACTCTCTCTGATCTCGGTCTCCTTTCTCTACACCTTGTCGTCGGGCTCCCCGGAATCCGAGAGAGCTCCATGTTTCTGCGATTTGTCACTGGTGAATGAGTAGCTTCGGCGCTCCTTCCCGCCGGGCTTGGCCGAGGCGTTGCCATACCAGACCATCCCCATGACCGCTAGGAGCATGCCCAGCACCACGTGCAGGTTCAGGCCCTCCTTTCCGAAGAAGATGAACCCCATGATAAGGACGAGGATGGTCTTCATGTGGCCCAGCACTTGGAACGACACGGCCGTGAACCGCCCGATACATATGAACTGGCTCAGATTGGTTCCCACCGCGATCGTGCAGGACAGGAGGATCAAGAACTGCACCACCATACAGCAGGCATCTCCCGACCGTCACCCATTGAAAGCGCGCATCAACCGGATACAAAGATACAACGTACGAGGGAAGCATGGGTCAAAGTGAGAATAAGTCGTCACACTTACCACGGTAGTGGGGGAGTAGTCAAACGCATCGACCCTCTTAGCAGTCAGCCAATAGTCCACAAAGGGGCCCAACAAAAGCAACGATCCTGCCTGGACGGGAGCAGTATGGCCAAGGAGATTGAAGGAGCCTAGTGAATATTTCCGCTGCAGATAATGGACGTACTGCAAAACAAGAAGAAATATGCAATCAGGAATCATTAGTGTGCGCCCGTAAAATTTACTTGTTTGACAAAGCAAACACCCTTTCACAGAAGAGCAGACGGTCGAGTGCTCACTTTCAATCGAAGACGAAGATGTCATATAAAGCACTCAAAACAAGCAATTTGAATACATTAAAAATAATCCCCTGTATTCTCCGCGGAACTACCAAAAGGCACCCACGAGAAAAGTGCCTCACAAGTTTCAAACTTCAACGCGAGTAAATACACCAAATGAAACAAAAACATGTTCACACGTGCATACGAACATGAAGACATGGCTATGTCGATTCTAGATACATATATGTATATATATGGGGGGGGTGTCTGTGTATGTGTGCGCGCGTAAGAGAGAGAGAGGGGGGGACTTGATCAGCCGACTTACATATTGTTGCAAGGAAGTGCTCCAAACAGCTATTATGGCAGCAATCAGACCCTTAGCATTTACACTCACATCAGTAACCGTACAAACAGCAACCCCAGTAAGAACAATAAGTATGCTAAGTTTCGTGTCCCTTGAGTATCGGATCTTATCCAAGATGACCTCCAGCAGGCAGGAAACTGGGATCATGCATAACTTTGCAATCTGGAAAGCGCACCAAAATAAAAAATGTAACCATTATTCTTATTAATAGCCATCGATGCCAAAATAGGGGAAATTCTGTTGCTCGACTGACCTGATAGAATCCCACGGAGTTCCACATCAGACTTACATTCATCCCGACAATTGATAAGTTTGCAAAGAGAACAAACTTCAAAAGCTCAGCTATCGGCAAATATGTATTCTGAACATATCCAAGCCACCGAAGAACTACTGTCATGAGAGTTGTCGTGACAAAATGGAGACCAGTCAAAGTTGTGGCTGCAAAACCATCAAGAATAAGTCAAGTTGAAGCTCGATCCAGAATGTAAGGATAATCAAATTGAGAAGTGCTAAAAGAAATAACCCTATGCACTGCATAGAAAAAACCAGTTCCAGATAAACGCAAGATTCACCTTTTGAACCCTCTATCACAGTTATTCACATCCCACAAACTGTCTGGTACATGGAAATCCGGATGACATTAAACTTTTATGGAGCATCACTGAAAGAAAACCCAGGTCGAATTGAGCCAACAAAAGCCAGCTAGAGTATTATAGTGGTCAGTTATGCAATATGACACTATTTCACAGCGGAGTGGTAGGGTTCATAGGTGATCCAATCTTTAGCCTACTCTGACCATACTTAGCTGAAGAAAAATTCTAATGGGGTCAGAAGTTGGAAAGTCCTAACTTCAATCTAACTCATATAATCAGATCAAACCACCAAGCACAACACGTGAGCATACAGGAGAACACAAGAGTCTAAAATCTGAGAACTAGATGGGATGGCATCAACCTGTATATTTTATTCAACATGACATGCCTAGTAGAGCATGTTCAAGACAAGATATTACTAATTCTAGGACTGATGCAATTTGACGGATTAAGTCTATTCCATGGGTGGACACAGGAATAGAGGATGACCTCTCTTCGCACTAATTTCTATGGTCCAAGTCGTACCTCTACGAGATCGACAATGTTCTTCACTTCACCAATAAGTCACAACGTTATTTTCCATTTGGGATAAAATACAAACCGAATCGTCTCCAACGAATATTTTCCATTTGAGGAACTGTAGTTGTACTGCTTTAGACACATACCCACATGCAATATATGCATGATATTCATAATATAATAACCAATTATTTTAGTGTTATTGTTGTTTTCAAAAAAGTTATATTACTCCTCCCTGGCAATTGCGAGCCCCTACTGTCCAATTAACAACACATATTATCAATACTTTTATAACATACTAATTTTACAACCTGCAATGATTGCTGTACATCTCCCTTTGAATAGCATTGCCTTCAATACAATGATGACATGCAGACGGGTGATAAAGATAATAGTAGAATTTATTTCACATTGATTCTTTAGAAAATCATTATCACCATTTTCAACCAAAAAATATAGAACACGTGTTAGTGACGTTCCACTGCTTAACTACGAAGGTTGGTGTGAATTATCTTATTATATAGAAATACAATGTTTATTCCTATGAACATTAATGAAACAGTTACAACGTTCAGTCACACTAAGATACATGAAGTGTGTCTTCTGTTAAATTGTGGCTTTTGTGTGTTCATTTTTCACATTTTAGTCCACAAAAGGAGGAAGAGTAAAGTGTCATACCCATTTAACTCCTCGCTACCTAAGCTCTGCAACATATTATGAGGTTAGAATAAAGGAGACTAATATGCTTAGGGTTGCTGAGGCTTCTTGAAACATTTTAGGCATAAAGCATGAGAAACTGTAGTACATCAGTTTTGGTAAACACTGAAAATTGTACGATATAGCATTAAATATAACATATATAATCACAGGGAAAAAATAGTAATCATCTTAGGAAATTAACGCAAACAAATCTTGATGCTAAAAAGGAAATGTGGACAATAAACCAAATCCGCGGAATCTGGCTGAGTATTTTAAATTGATGTATTGTCTTTCCAAGAAGTCAGAAGAGATAACAGTTTTGGACCTTTGAGTTACGATTCACAGCGCTCCTATTCCTATCTTATTGACCAAGTGCGATACAAAGCATGACATCAACCTGCACTAGCAGGTCCCCAATGCAAGCTATTCCTTCTTCAAGAAAAATAAAGGACATACCAATCCAAAAAGCAAGACCATATACAACTGAAATTTTACAAGCTGTTGATTAGTTTCTGAATATGTCCATTCGCTAGGGTCTTCTTATCCCAGGATTCATTCCTATTGGACAGGATTCCCATTATTCACTGATGGCAGTTATGCTAGATACCTGTCCACACCCTGAGAGAATAGGCCAGATTCCATTCAAGATCAAACAGCATTTAAAGAGTTCTGCCCGATAGGAATGAATCACGGTGACGAAGACCTCAGCGAATGGAGATCTGTACATTAAAAACCTAATCAACAGCTTGTGAAATTTTCAGTTGTATATGGCCTTGCTTTTTTTAGATGTGGGATCAGAGTCGACTTTATCAAATGTGAAATCTCTTCCACATTGAGTAAACATTAACTGACAATTTAAAATAGTTCTCCCCATTTATTCTCCAGGGTCGTCACCATAATCTATGCTTTACTGAGCACTGCAATTTCCCACATGAAGATATGTATCATGGCTCCTTTCCTATGAAATGAAAAGTAACCCTCTCGGTTTCACAGACGGCATTGTGGAGAAGATTATCTGTAACAGAGAAGTTTCCTGTACAGCCGCAAACACTGGCAGGTAAAGTGGATAAGAGATGTGGAAGGGCGTGTAACCAAGACATTCCTGCTTCAAACCCTCACACTGTTGTAACCCAATCTAACATGCTCACTGGGGCTTCCTTGACTAATCATCAATTTATTCTTGAGTGTCACAATAACATCCAATTAAACCTACTATATTGCACGAATTTTTTTTTGTAGATCCCTTCCAGAAATAGAAACCAACCTTTATGCCACGGATTCCTGCTCTATAAGCATTGCAGAACCGCATTCATCTTCCTGTTCAGAAATTTGAGTTTGCAAAATGCGAAAACATCACTTTTTCTACCCTCCATTTACCTTTACTATCCTATCAATGGAACATTGAAATACTAGTAAGAAAAATCTTAGCCCGACCCTTTAATTTTTCCGCCACTTCTCCCCTCCTTGTGCAGTTTGGGTACCTAATGGTCGTCTCGGGAGGCAGATATCAAAGAGAGAATGCCACGAATGTGAAAGGTTGGATATCCATTGGATCCTCATTATCAGTTGACATTAACACACCTACGTTTGGTGTCCCCTCTCTCTCACTTCCTCGTCAGATCCTGGTCCCAAAGGGCAACATAGGTTTTCATAATTTCAGTGGCCGGGCTAGCTCCTGGATCAGCTCTGATAGTGGGGAAATCAGAGTCAAGTTAGACGGTTTAATAATTTTTTTGACCAGGTGGATTTCGGCCAGATCTAGAAAGATAGCTGAAAATAATTTTTAATTTTATGATCCAATAGTTTTCTTTCCATGTAGAGAACAGGTGTACGTCTTTATTCACGTATGTGTGCACCCAGTCGTGCATGCATCACCAAAAAAATTTAGAGCCAAACTAAAATATTTACCTTAACTGAAAATATCAAGAACAACAGATACATATATACGCAAATATATACATACACATCACACCGACTCCTATTACAGACGAGCAATTTTAGGTGCAAACGGACAAAGTGTAAACATCAAGGGATGTGCGCAAATACATTAGCGAAACTGTTATAAAATCTATAGAATAAAAATGTTCCTACCAAAGCTGAAGCCATACGTAGCCATTAACGCTTTGTTGGCCATGATGATCGCAACAGAAGTCACAACGTTGAACATCCATGAGGCAATATCTAGTGCTGCTTTCCTGTCTGCTTTACCTACTGGCGCCATTTTTCCCCTCTTTAATTGCTATATATTCCCGTTTACCTCATATATATCCGCATTCTGTCCCTTGGATGGACTCTTGGCTCCTACAGAAGACGTCAAACATTATATTTCATTGCACAGAAAACAACAAGCCAACAACTTGTTGAAAATGTCGACAAGCAAAAACCACTGCAAGATGTCAACATAGCCAGGCAAATCTGTCAAAACTGAGGTAAGACGACGAACAACACAACCTGCCATGTCAATAAATACATAACTAAATAGATCGGCATGGAAAGGAAGTGCAAATATTGGTGGATGGGGGAATGAATCGCCTAGAATGCGTCCACATGGTAAAAAAAAAACCGACCTCCACTTTGAAAGGCCGTAGGTCGAAGCAGGAGGAGAGATTCGGTCTGGGGCGGGATCGAGGGAGTGGGGATCGTGTAGCATACGGATCGTATGATCGTTCAAACGATCGACTCTCTCGCGAGTTAAACATTCACAAGAAAATTACTTGGGAAATCAAAATCGAGCCAGCAAGAAAAGAGTCGACAGGTCGGACGCCATTCTACATCCATGTAGGGTCTCGATCGGATTGATAACGGTCCTCTTTCCGACCACGGAACGAGAGAAGAACACCGAGCCGGCGCTTCCACTTGCTGCGACGATCTATTTTGCACCAGGAGATTCACGCTACCTTGCAACCCGCTACGGACAGTGGGATGGTGGTGTCTGGGAGAAGGAGCGGACCGGCTATTGGAAGACGATTTCGCGTTCCAACTGCTCATCCGTGGAGTTGGAGGGGGGAGGGAGGAGCGGGTAGCGTGAACCGCCAGGAGAGGATGGAACGTGTCAAATGCAGAGGAGGACTCTGAGCATAACTTGTTCGTACAGGGCCCCGCTAGTCCATCGCCGAGCAACGCCCAGATTTGACCCCTTTTTCGTCGGCTGGGTTGAGTCGGGAGGGGGGTAGAGATCTCGGGGAGACGGAAAGCGGCGGCCCAGAGAATTCCCGGAGAAAGAGGAGAGGGGTGGCGAAGAAGAAGAGAGAAAACGCGAAGGGGATGAAGGAACGGAGGAAGGGAGACGGGCGAGGAGCTTTGCAAACCTTGCGAGGGCCATCCCGTCCAGTCGACGGCGGGAGGAGCTGTCCAAAACGCGATGGCGAGATGAGGTGGTGGTGGTGGTACGGGGATGGTGCGGGGGTGGGAGCGGTCGTCACGGATCCGTCTTCGGGGTGGGGATCCCCACGGGGAGGAGAGAGGAGGAGAAGAAGACGAGTCCTTGGTCCGGCCGGACGAACAACACAAACGAGTAGAATCTGCTCTCCCCTCTCTCCCTCTAATCAGATCTGGTTTGGACTTTTTCGGTCCTCCTGGTTACTTGGGAACAGGGACGGGGCCCACACGTAGGGGAGGGCTCTATGTGGGCCCTCTATCTCTGTCTCTCTCTTCTTGTGTTTCTCTCTCCCCCAACCGACGTGGCACGTGTTAATTGGGGCTGCCTTTCGACTGCGCCAGGCTGGCTGCCCACGAGAGGGTGCCGGTTCGGAGCTCCCGCTCTGAATTGACGGCCACCGGCCCCGCGCCGACGGCCGGACCGCGTGCGCCTAAAAGTGGCGGTGGCGGTAGTTGATCTCCCCACGGCAGAGAGATTGAGAAAGACAAGAGAGAGAGAGAGACTGAGAGAGAGAGGGAGGGAGAGCGGACCCATTCATTCGCAAGAACGGCAACGTCTCACGGCCGAGGCTGCTGCGAGGGGAACATTATTCATATGATGTCATCTCATTCTCATGCGAGGCCGCCCTCGTCTGGTTCAGAAAGCCAGGCATGAGAGAGAGAGGAAGATGTCTGTCGTTCTGAGAGGCCTGGATTTCTCCTGGTGGCAGAGACGATCCGAACCAGGTAACACTCGGATGTCCGCACTGCGCATGAACTTGCGCCGTCGACAGAAGGACTCCTCTTGGTGGCAGGAATGGCAGATGTCGACGGTGTGCCCTCTTGATGCCGAGAATGGTGAAGGATGGCTCAGCACTGAGGCAATCGGGGGAGGTGGGCAGGCGGTCTGCAGAAGTCTGCGTCTTCACCATGAATTCCCCTCTCCTCGAGATTGAACACGATGACGTACGGCCAGGAACACGTTTCGTCGGGTCGGTCAGAAGGATGTAGACTGGTAGGCGAGAACAAGCAATCGCGAGGATGACGGATTCACGGAGAGAAGGGCAGATGATTCCGGGAGGCGAGGAGGAGGTTGGGTCTCGGGTAAGTGGGACACGAGACGCGGCCACCAACGTCTGTCTCACTTTGACCAGCAGAGTCGCATTCCCTGGAGGAAGAAGAAACGCAGGAGTAGGCTAACATCGCGGGGAGAATAACTGGGCTCGGCGTTTGCGGCATCGCGGATAACATCATTTGTATAGGAGAAGAATAGGCCTGTCTGCTTGTCTTCGTCGAGCACACCAAGAGATAAGATGACAGTGGCCATCTCCACACTCCGACGGAACGCCATGGGGAAGGCTGCCGTCGAATTCCCGGCGGAAGCATCGCAGTGCCGCCGTCAACGAAAGGGACTGAAAGATCAGTGAAGTGACGACTGCAACCGAAACAGGAGGCCAGCGCGAGCACTACCATCACCTGCGACGAGCCTGCCTGGAGCCGTCTGTAATCATCGACTAGGGGTCTGATGGAGAAGAGTTTGGAGCTTGCCAGAAGGGTAGGGTGGGGGGGGAGGCAGAGCGAGTGGCGCTGGGCCGACGATGGGAAGGCATGCTAGAAAAAAGGAGAGAGAGAGAGCGCAGGGCCTCGCTGATCCGCCCCTCGTGAAGGTGTCAGAAGAAGGTCCGAGCATCGGCCGGGGAATGAGGGGCTGCTGCCGCTGCCGCTGCCGCTGTCGGCGTGGGACGATCCCTTGCGTTTTAGATAGACGGAAGCAGCTTACTTACTTTCGAAGGCGACGGCACGCGCCGTTGGATTCTCATTTCCCGCGTCTCGACGGTCGGCCTTCCATCATACCCGCTCGCCGTCGGTATCGATTCATTTGATCGCTCAATTAATCCACGGCCATGGTTCCTTCCACCGACCGTTCGTTCCAGAAGACGGACGCGCGGCTCGCCCATATCAAAGACGGCTACTTTTGTCGATAATCCCAGCTGTTATGCTCCAGGTGCCCCACGGAACTCCGCTCAGTCAGAGAGAGACCGCCGGAGACCATTGACCCCGAATAATTAGTGAGTGGGGGGGTGAAAGATAAAGGGCGGCAGAACTTGGCGGACGCTGAAGAGAGAAATCGTACGTGGATTAGCAGAGCGGCCCCCGGCCCCTCCGCGTTCCACCTGAAGAAGGCGGAAACCCTGCGGACCGGACCCCACCCAGGTCATATCGCCTTCGGCAGTAAGACTCGCTTGGGTTGGCCGGGATGGCGTTGCCGCCGTACTCGTTTGTGGTGTCCTGGGCGGGTCTCTGTCGCTTCCGAATCTTTTCTTCCTGCTGCCCATCTCCCTCCCTCCCTCCTTTCCCATTCCCCAGTTCACCGCTTTACTCATAAATCTCTTCTCTTCCCTCCGCGTCGCTGTCAAACTTCTGGTGGGTCTTATTATAAGAATCCATATCCTTTTCCTCAACCTCTCTGCTTCTCCGGCCGAGGGAGTGAGGAGGGTCGGGGTTGGGGACAACCCTTGATTTCGCCTCTGTTGGGAACGAAATCGAGCGAAGAAGGAATCCCACATCGCTAGCCCCTCCCTCTTCTCTTGCTCCCTCCCACATCGTTTGTGCTCGGCATCGGCTACCCTTTGTGAGATCAGGGGAAACCCCAGCTCAATCTTCACTATCCGAGCTGTAGTCGCCCATTCTTGGGCCGCCTGGCTTTTCATCTGCCGTCTTGACTGCTAGGGCTCGGCCCTGTGAGGGCTGTTTCTAATCGTCGTCAGCCGCTCGCGGCCGCTGACGACTCCGGCAAGCGAAGCTCCAACAGCTCTTCACAACATCTTCTTCCTCTCGAGATCGTCTGTTTCTCGGTTGAGATCATCCACTACACTCTGAGCATAGATCGGCTGAGAGAGGGGGAAGGAAGGGGGGGCGAAATGGGGCGGCGGTCCCACTCGGTGGTGCTGGGGCTATCTATTTGGGTTTGTCTCGTGACGGCGGGGAGTGGGATTGGGGCCAACTGGGGGACGCAGACGAGCCATCCCCTCCCGGCCGACGTGGTGGTGCGACTGCTCAAGGACAACGGGTTCCAGAAGGTGAAGCTGTTCGATGCCGACAGTGCGAGCATGAATGCCCTAAAGAAGAGCGGTCTGGAGGTGATGGTGGGCATCCCAAACGACATGCTGTCCTCCCTCGCTTCCAATGTCAAGAACGCCGAGGAGTGGGTCTCCAAGAACGTCTCCTCGTACATCGATAACGGTGTCCTCATCAGGTCCTGTTTCCCCACCCATTCCTGTCTAGAATCGTTTCTTTTCGGGCAAACACATCAGAAGTTTTAGTTTTTCCTCGCCCATTCAACTTCCCTATTTATTGGATGATATGGCATTGATCCTGTGGTGGCCATGGCGCCATTTTGTTGGCCGCGTATGCTGGACATGTTTGAACGGAGGTAGAGGGGGATGCGGTCCGGAGAGAGAGACGGCACCAATGGGAAGTGGGGACATTGTTGGGGATGGCCTCTCTTAAGATATGGGGGGCTCCCAATTAGGCTGAAGACCACGGACGGAAATTTGGGAAGGCCAGAGACCAAGAAGACCCGCCATGGAGGTCGTCGGGGTCGACGTGGATCGATAGCATTCTGAGTAGTTTAGCGGCTCGATTGATGTCTTCTGCGAGTATCAATCGCGACGTGGATTCAGAGACCCGTTAATAAGATGGAGCTTTGAAAGAAGGCGCCGCTGTACTCTGTTTACCATGCGGCTTCTTTCCTTCGTCCTCTGCTAGTTCGCCCTCCATCTCAGCCGATTAGGAGTTTGTTTCTCTCTCCTCTCCCTGCCATGCTCAGCTGATAGAAGAATATTTGATAGATAGAGAGGGGCCTGTGACGAAACGCGCGTGTGCTTGCCTGTGTCTGCTGTTCTATATCATCCATCATCTATCGCGGCAGGAATACACAAGTAGGTAGGTAGATGGATGCCCCTCTCGGCGTGGTTGGTTGGTATGCTCGGCTCTTCTCTCTCTCAGTATAGTGTTCGTCGAGAGGTTGAAGATGATGGTGGTTGTGCTCCTCTCTGTGTTGTGTTGATGAACATTGTGTTGTTGTTGCTGTTGTTGTCGTCGTTGTTAATGATGATGATGATGCGTCCTGTGCTGTGTTCCTCCTTGCGGGTTTGCAGGTATGTAGCGGTGGGGAACGAGCCCTTTCTGGAGACGTACAACAACAGCTTTATCGGGACGACGTTTCCGGCGCTGCAGAACGTGCAGAGCGCGCTGATAAAGGCCGGGTTGAGCAGCCGGGTGAAGGTGACGATCCCCCTGAACGCCGACGTGTACCAGTCCCCCACGGAGCGGCCCTCGGACGGCGACTTCCGCGCCGACATCCGCGACCTCATTATCAACATCGTGAAGTTCCTCAGCGACAACGGGGGGGTCTTCACCGTCAACATCTACCCCTTCATCAGCCTCTACATCGACCCTAACTTTCCCCCGGCGTACGCATTCTTCGACGGCGGCTCCTCGGTGGCGGACGGCGCCATCACCTACACCAACGTCTTCGAGGCCAACCACGACACCCTCGTCAGCGCCCTCGCCAGGAATGGCTACGGCACCCTTCCCATCATCATCGGGGAGATCGGCTGGCCCACCGACGGGAACGTGAACGCCAACCCGGCCAACGCACAGAAGTTCAACCAGGGCTTCATGACCTGGCTGCTCTCCGGGAAGGGCACTGCCTTGCGCCCCGGCCCAATGGACACGTACCTGTTCAGCCTGATCGACGAGGACGAGAAGAGCATCCAGCCGGGGAACTTCGAGCGGCACTGGGGCATCTTCGCCTACGACGGGACGCCCAAGTACGCGCTGAACCTCGGAACCAGCAACTCGGGGACGCTGGTGAAGGCCAGAGGGATCAGCTACCTGGAAAGGAAGTGGTGCGTGCTCAAAGCCTCGGCGTCGCTGAGCGACAAGGAGCTGCCGCCGAGCATCACCTATGCCTGCGAGAACGCCGACTGCACCAGCCTGGGGTACATGACCTCCTGTGGGGGGCTGGATGTCAGGGGCAACGTCTCCTACGCCTTCAACAGCTATTACCAGAAGAACGACCAGGAAGAACAGGCCTGCCGCTTCCCGGGGCTCTCTGTCACCACGACCACGGACCCCTCCACTTCCACTTGCAAGTTCAACATCATGATCGACACCTTCGGCGCCGCGCCACCGAAGTCCTCCCTCTTCCCGGGGAAGCTGTTCCCCGCTTCTTCGGTGCTGCTCTTCTTCTTCTACTACTGCTTCTTCTCGTGTCCCTCTTTTCTCCTCGCGTTGTTTTGATGTTTGTTCGTGCTGCTTAGCAGCTGCTCTGCATTTTACTTGTTCTTCATTCTGTGGAATGGGATGAGATTTGCTTTCTTGCGCTCTGTTTGTGTGTGTGTGTGTGTGTGTGTGTGTGTGTGTCTGTCTGTCTGTCTGTCTGCCTCTCTCTCTCTCTCTCTGTGGCTGCTCAGCCCCCCCTCCCTCTTCCCACAAAGAAAATTGACGAGGAAAAGAGAAGGCATATCGATATCGGGCGCGTAGCACCGAAGAAGAAAAAAAGAAAAGGTTCCGTTGAGAGCCGAGTATCCTAACCAACTAGACTACACTCTGATAATCACTGATCTTCATCTTATATCGCTCTGCCAGACGAGCCAGTGATCCATCCTGCACGATGCCTTCTATTATCTCGTGCTTCTCGTAGTTCTGCTTGAGCACCTCCTGCTGCTGCTCCGCCAGCTTCTCCTCCTCCTCCAACTGATACTGCACAGACGGCACGGGCTGTTCATTGACAATTCAACCCTCCTGTCTCTCCCAAAAAACGAACGAGAGGAAGAGAAGCAGCCATGGCTGGGGGGGTTGGAGGGGAGAGGAAGGGGGCACCACCATCACCTGAAGCAGCCCTCCAGATTCCATGTCGTGTTTGCTGACGAGCTGCTTCATCCTCTGGCCGGCTTCGAACTGCTCCGCGTCGGAGGGATCCACCCAATGCGCCTTCATCCTCCTCCGGTCGGGGTTTCTGGGTCTGTCGCAGAACATCTCCTCCCTCGCCAGCTGCGCCCTGACGGGCCTCGGCATGCCGGATATCATGAAGGGCAGCGCACTCATCTCGGAGACGACGCACCTCGCCTGCGTCTCGCTCTCCATCTCCACTAGGGCGCACTGCGGGACCTCCCCCTGCTCCAGCCAGTTGGGGATCAAGTGCACCCCGAGAACGTTGCCGAACTGCCCGATCGCCGTCTTCAGAATCGGCACCGTCACCATCGGCGAGAGGTAGTCGATGAAAACCGTCCTCTTCACCTTCTCCATAAACTCCTTGTACGCCTTCCGGTCGCCCTCCTCCCCGCTCCCCATTGCAAGTCCCTGCCACGAACGTCCCCGCCATACATCAAAAAACACAGCCATCATAACGGCATTGCTGCTGCAAGAAGGAGAACTGCTACTAGTAGTTGCTACGCAACACCAGCTCGCGCATTGCGGAGGAGGCAATGAGGGTGACCAGGAGGAATGAAAGGATTCTTCGCACCAGGAGGAAGACCAGGGGATGCTAGACTCAAAACTGGCTGGATTCTGTTCATGAGAGAAGGGGGGAAGGTAAAGTTCTTCATAATTAAATATTTTAGATAAAAATGCATTCAATGGGCTGCGAGCAACCGATGGGTGGGGGGGAGTGGTTATAAATGGAGGCGGCGACAATGGCGTTCCGAGCAACTGGGCCTTCCAACCGTACAATGCCAGAAACATGCAGGCAATTGGCCGTCGAACGAGTTTAGTTGCATGATCTGTAATCAATCATTTACCGAACCTTGCTCTCACGCAATGAAATCACATGGTCAACGCCGCATCTAACTAGGCCAAGAAACAGGCAAGTTGGATCCAGATGGAAAAAGGGCTCGATTGGCAAATTCTGATCCCAACTGGAGGGTAAATTTTCCTTTTAAAGAACATAACCAAACAACGAATGGGTCGGGAAGATGACCAAAGCACGGAGAGGATGGCGTTGACCCAGCCCAGAAAAAGAGAAGCTTCAGGAGCCCTTCTGGCCATCCGACCAAAGCACGGAGGATGCTTGGGTGAAACCAAGGGGGCACAAGCAGTTTGGACAGACATTTTGGAGATGGAAAACACATGTCAGACCCCGAATTTTATCATGACGGACCCACTTGATGCCAAGAACACGAAACCGCATGCAGCTGACATTCTGGTATCCACACAGGATGGAAACCCTAGTTGCAACAGGAACGCTGAGAGGGAAACTCTGAATGTGGTTCTAATCAAGCAATGACGAGACATCTGAGTGTCCGAAGCAGACAGATCAATCAGGGTATTGTACCGAGCAAAAGCCCTGCAGCTAAAGCGGCGGGGAGGAACCTACATGCACTGAAACGCATCCAACGCACAGAGAAAACGATTGAACCAGTCAAAGGGCGATCCTGAATGCGAGAAGAGAATGACTGTAAACCCGGCTCGGACGATCCACCGGTCGCCCTGGCGTAAAATTTCTGACCGAAGCGGAGAGTGCCCATGGATTTGTCTGAGCGTAAAGAGAGCAAAAATCAACAAGTAAACCACGGAAATAGAACATATTTTTGCACAACAACAGACCTACGCGTGCACGCACGAGGTCGGCCGGGGAGGAGTAGACCACAGCGGCGTGTGGAATTTATTGACGCTCGGTGAAGAAAGACGGAAAACCTACAAGGGCTTGGCGGCAGCAAGTTGCAGATCTGCACGGAGAAGCCCTGGTAGCTATGTTAAGAGCCCCTCGAGAAGGGGAAGGGGAACGGGTCCGGTTCAGAGCCCGACAGACGAGGCCCCTCGGCTCGCTCTCCCGGCACCTGAGTTCTCTACACAGCGGTGGCTCCGGGCTCTAGGGCCGGGGCAGTGTCGAAGGTGGAAGGCGACGAACGCCAAGAGGGCTGTAGGGAGGTCCGGCGGCGGAGAATCGAGGCGAGGAACGTCGGAGGGGAGGAGGCCCCCCAAAGCCGTTACCCACTCAAACAAAAGGGCCCGGTCGGTGGGCTAACATAGAGAGGAGGAAGCGATCAAGTTTTAGGCAAAGAAGTTACAGAAAATACCAAAAACAGTTTTTGTTGCTTTCTCCCTTCTTTATCGAATATTCGGTTGTTCGCGTGGCTGGTAAGAGGACAACAACGCAAGGGCCGTGAGGGGAGGGGGTTGAGAGCTTCCGCCGGTTGGAAGGGCGACGACCCATCACTACCCGATGGGGGCTTGAGGAGAGGGAGGGGGGGGGGGGATTTTATCCATTGGCCTTTTTTTCTTGCGGGCTGCGGATACCGTTATCCTCCTCGCCACTGCTTCCCCCCTCGCACGGCCTCCTCTCTTTCTCCCGCCTCCTTCCGCACTTCTATTGCCGTTTTCGCCTTGGAGAAGGACAAATGGTGGCGACGAGTACGATTGTGTCGGGCCCGAGAAGCAGGAGGGGAGAGTTGGCCTGAGGTCGTAACCCCTATGCATTCCTCGTTCTGTATACGCTTCGAGAGAAGAAGGGCTGCTCTGTGCCCCCTGCTAATCTTGTAGGACAATGTTGTTGGTGCCTAATGCCGTGATGGGAGGGGGAGTCGACCCCTTCTGACCTTAGCATTCTTCACTACGTTGCATGGATCGGGCAGTCTCGATGATAGAGTTTTTTGAAAGTTTAAGGTGGAATTCGGTAGTTGTGGGATATATCCAGGCGAGAATCCAGACCCAAGGATTCTGAGAGAGGTTTCAAGGGTGCGAAAGATGTGGCACCTGATCTATGTTCTTAATGAGCACTTCGTTAACCTTGTCTAGGGGTTTTGTCCATCTTGGTCTTCTTGTTCGGGAAGAACACTTCCTTCGTGGCTCGACCATTCCCAGGCATTCCATTGTCTTCAAGAGGCGGCGGCGTCTCAGATTAGTTCCAAATGCAAGGTGGAGCGGGGGCTCTGACAGGAAAACGTGGTGGCAGAAGCTCTTCTTTGACGAGGATGCTGAGAGCTGGTTTGGTGTAACTGAGGACGATGCGCTGGGGGATATCAATGGAGAGTCGGATAGCGAGGCATCTGAGGAGGAAAAGTTTGAGGCTTGGAAGAAGAGGGCCGAGGTGATTACAGAGCTGAGAGAGGCGCAAGAAGATGCTAGGAACTCCGATGGCCAGGTTTGGGAGGACTGGCTTTTGGAAAGTCCGCCTGGTACCGGCACATCCTCAAGGTATCACGAATGGGACGATGCAGTCAAGCAGGAAGAGGCGGATATAGCCGGTGATTCAGGCAAGGCGGACCCTGGAGAACATTTTGTAGGGGCCGTCAAGGATTTCTTATTTAGGAGTTATGACGACGACCTTCTGTTTGAAGACAAGGTCTTCCGTTATGCTTCAGTCAACTCGGTACGTTCAATGTTAAACTGTACCTAGCTTGCATTGCCATCTATTCCCGATCTTACTTTGCCGTTGGAACTCTAAGTTTAGTATGTTTGTTTGAGCCTTCTGCCATTCACGCTACAGGAGCAGTTCTAATGATCACGGTTGCCCTTCCTGAAATTATTCATTGATTTCTCGACAAATATTGAACCACCTGATTCTCTGCTGATCCTGGTCAATCCGCTAGTTTCTGGATCGATTAACTGTCTGCTTCTAGCGGGGTTAGCTGTTACTGCAAGCCATCAGTTGTATTTTCCTAATGCGTTGTTGAACTGTGGCTGATTGGTTGCCTTCCTAAAAGATGCGTCAGTCTAGGGAAACCCTCCTCTAACCAGCAGAAGAAAGCATATTTCAATTACACGGATGCTTTGTAGCCTATGATTAATGCACTAGATATTTCAACTCCGTTGACGATTTAAGATATTCTTCACATTAGAGAATCGGGATGCGTGGAATGGCCGAAACCTGCATAATGTCAACATTTGAGATAAAACACAGAATTTCCCGCAAAGTTAACAACTCAGAGCTTCGATCCTCTGATGCTAGTGTTGTTTAGTGCAAGTGTATGATCTTTTCTATTTGCTCTTGTGTGATGACGGGGTGAGCTTCAAGTTTGTTGTCACCACGAAGAATTTTTATTCTTTGATATTGATGTTGGGATCTTACGAGGATACGTACCGTCTTGGTGTAGACCGCGAGATTATGATATTGAGGTGTTTTTGAGGGATCATTGATAATATACTTTGTATTTCTCTCTATCCTTTTTTTTTTTTTTGAAGAATAAGTGGCAAGGCCAACTTTCCCCAAGAAAAGAACAGAACGCACAATTCTCTTTAGCATCCAATATGGCCATTTATGGTTGAAAAAAATGATATTTTCTTCTCTCAGAGACGAAGACGTTCTCTTGCATTACAAGTTATGAATTCATGAATCCCAAGTCCTTGGATCTTGATTTAATCTAAACAGGTTCAAAAATTGGAAAGCATCGTCATCTACCTGTATATAATGCAATGGATTATATGCATACTATCATTCTCTTATGCAGAACTTATTTTTTTATTTCTCCGTCATGCCTTTTTGGTATTTTGGGAAAACGAATATCAGAAAGATGTATTATTCGCAAATATTAAAAAAGTCCAATGCTGCAATGTAAGCAGGAAGTTATGGAACTTCCAATTTGGCGCATTTGCTCATTACAGCGGCATGCCTTTGCTCATTTCCGGGGCCCAAATGATCATATTTTTAGATCATCTAGGTATTATTTTGTGCTCTCTTTTCAAAATTTCCGGGCAAGAAAAATCATGCGTAATGTATGCTTGGAAATCCAGAAAAATCTCCAGACGATAACGCTGCAATAGTAAATCCAAAGGTGTGAAACATGGGTTTTTGCCTTGTATGGCTCCTCCGTGGGACTTCAAGGAATCTTTCTGCCACTCTGTACACCTTTTCTTTCTTAGAAAAAGAAAAATGCAAGGAGCATAATCACTTTAAAATTTTTGAGGGTGTAAAAAGACTTTTTCGAGGCAGGCTTTGAAATAGACAAAGATTGTTCTTGTTTGGCTAATTCATAATCCCTCTGTGGTGTCTTGTCTATCTGTGAATTCCACACTTTTATTTTTACTTTTCCAGCCTCATTTTTTATTTTATTTTTTTGGTTACGTGTAATCGTCAGATTAGTATAGCCGGTGTGTTTATGGTGTCCCCTGAAATTTATTTTTATTCTCAGAGGTAAAAAAAAATAAATGTTTTTATTCCCGGAATTCCTCACATTGACAACATTTCCAGGCAAAATTTTTGGCGTTATTGGTGCTCGTGCCCTGGGCTGTAGACTTTGCCGTTCATGACTACGTTCTCATGCCGTTCTTAGACAGGTAAATTCTTGCGAATCCTGCCCGTCTCTTTGGCGGGCGTTTCTATCTGTTTCGATTTCCCCAGTGGGATAGTAGACTGGAGCGCTGAAAGGTGGATAGAACAAATCTGTCTGTCTGTCTGTCTGTCTGTCTCCCTTGTTTAGATATGTCAAGACTGTACCCCTTGCTGCGGAAGCATTTGATGTGAGAAGAAACCAAAAGCTTGAGATGATCAAGGCTCTGAAGGTGGAAAAGGCGAGATACCGGTTTGAAGTGGAGATTGGCAAAGCTCCGCCCCTTTCGGAGGAAGAGGTCTGGCTGGAACTGCAGCACAAAGCGTAAGATAGGATGACTTTATTTTCATTTTCCTTTTTCTTTTCTTTTTTTGTGGCTGCAAGATTGGATTTTTATTTTCATTTCAAGTACCATTTAGATTTCGTGATTCGAATTGCTTCTCGTTTATGTTTGTCGATAGTAAATAAGTTTAGAGCTTTACCAGAACGTTTCTTAAAAGAAATAAAAGTTGCGCACTGTGACTTGCATGAGTCAATAACCAGAAATCAGCAAGCAATTCCCCTGGAAGCGACTCCCATGCTTTGAGCCATGGGTTGCGCTAGCCATGAGAAAGATCGCGGAAAACAAGACAGTTTGACCTCCTTCCTTACCCACAACTCTGAAGAAGGTAGATTCAGTCATGGGGGATCTGCAGCTTGCTTTTCTGTTTGAATCAAAACTCCCCCTTCTCCCTCTGTCTAGCGATTTTCATTCACTCGCAACCGCAGAGGACAAAATAGTTTCCCCTTGGTTGATTTCTGGCGCTTTCTTTTTAGCTCTCGAAGAAAGAACGTCTTTGACCGGCATGCTTTCCCCCTGATGTTGCTCCCCTTGTGCTGTCCCCCCTGCCATCAGAAGAGAACTGAGAGATGAATGGAGGTTGGAGAACCGAAAGTCATTTGCCAACATCTGGTCCGATATGACGTACGGCATCACCTTATTCCTCCTGATGTACTTCAACCAGAGCAAAGTGAGTAGTCTCCGCCTGATCTTCTTTCCGTGCTCTTCTTACCGTGCCGGGTATCGACTTCTCGACGCGTTAACTTCTTCGTGTGGACATATACATGTCTTGCTCAATGATGGATGCTCTGTCCCGTCCTTTTTCCGAGCTCTGTGCGACGATCCCCAAGGGCTCTGTTTTTTTCCCCACCGGCCCTGAGTAGAGAGGCTCGAGCTATGGGGTGGTGCGTCGTTGCCTCAGGGTTTGACTTTGGCGTGATGTGGTTCTTGGCGTTCTTGTGCAGGTGGCTTTGCTGAGGTTTACAGGATACAAGTTAATAAATAACATTTCGGATACGGGGAAGGCATTCCTCATTATTCTTATCACCGACATTTTTTTGGGGTAAGCCCTCCTCCCCCTCTCCCACCCACCCACCCACCCACCTCTGAGCTTGACCATCCTGCATGGGAGAGAGCGTTGACATCTCTCATGCAGCAGTCTGGGCTTCGTCCTCTTCCAAGACCGGATTTTGGCCCCTGGTTCTCTGGTCCCTGAGATTTTTGGTCTGGGGAAGTGATAGGGTGGATGATCTGATTCATGCCTCCGGCTCGATCTTTTTCCTGGCTCTCTGCTTGCGCGGCCTGGCAGGTACCACTCCGAGTCGGGCTGGGAGGCTCTGGTGGAGGCGATCCTCGAGCACTACGGATTGGACATTGACGAGGCCGCCATTACCGTCTTCGTCTGCTTCGTTCCCGTCGTCATCGACGCTTGCGTGAAGCTCTGGGTGGGCCTCCTCCACCCCCCCTCCCGCCGCCTTCCTGGACTGCTTCTCGATCCCTCAGGAGTCAGAGGCTCTGATTTTGGCGCTGACCGATGTCTGTGTGTGCGTGTGCCGCAGCTCTTCAAGATCCTCCCGAGGCTGTCGCCCAACGTGGCGAATATCTTCCGGGAAATGAAGCGGCACTGAGAAGAGTCGAGCAGCGACGTCGTTGGAGGATCTGGCACCGCCGGGAAGCTCTTGGGCGGGTTTTTTTTTTTCTTTTTATTCTTATGCATTGGACGGCCCGACGGGCGCGCCCGCCCCGCGCCATTGCGGGCGCCACAGAGTTGAACAGCGCCAGAGAAGAGGGCCAAGGGACAAGCGGGGAGTTCTCTCTGTGATGAGGAGGCTTCTCCCACCGGTGATTTGAGAGCCGGGCACTAATAAAGAAGACCCGAGAGAAAAGACTGTTCCTGTAAAGCAGCCGCCCACCCGCCCGTCCGCCCGCCCGCTTGCTCGCTCCCTGTGGGTATGGGATTGATTCCGAGAATAAAATCAATCCCTCCGGTTGGCCCCCAGTCACACAGATTGCACGTCACCAGCCCTCTCCTACCTCCTCCGATCACACTTTCGGAGGGAAGAAGAAGATGAGGAAGAAGAAGCGCAGTAGGACGTGATTGGCTCGAGCTGTGCAATAAATATGACGATCGACTAGGCGAGGGATCAACCACAGTAGGGACGACGATCGACGCACCATTGGAATTGGTCAGAGCGCTGCAGGAGGACGAGAGACGAGACCATCCAGTCCATTCCCTCGTTCGAGAATCCCCATGGCAGCAGCCAAAGCAAGCAAGCAAATCAGCGGAGGTCCAGATCCAGATGATGAGGAGGGGGGGGGAGAACAGGGGCGAGTGGCAAAAATCCCACGTTTTCTCGGCAGAATAGAATAAAGATCATCTGTGGAGCTTAACTTAATACAGCATGGTTTTTTCCTCGACAGCAAGCGAACTAAAAAGCGACACTCAAAGCAGCTACTACATACACAAACAGAGCCGGCGAGGACAGACATCATCCACCTTTCCCTTTTTCTTTCTTCTCCACAACCCACCCTCCTTCTCCCCCTCTCCTCCTCCTTCCCTCTCCAGGCCAGGGTAAGCAAGACACACGAGCACAAGTTTCAATCCATGGTCATGGGTTGGGAGATGCAGCACCTGAAGCGGGCCTTCCTGACCGTCGTCAAGATCTCCAACTCTGCTTGCTCGAGCATGCTGACGACCTCCGCGAAGGTGGGGCGTACGTCGGGGTCAACGTGCCAGCAGCGCGACATGATCTCCCCCAGCACGGGGAGGCAATCCGAGGGGATGCCCGGCCGCACGTTCCTGTTGACCACGGCGAAGGCCGCCTGGACGGCCGCCATGTTCTGGAAGGGAAGCATACCTGTGATCAGCTCCCACAGGACGATCCCGAAGCTGTACACGTCCACCTTGTGGTTGTACGGCCTGTGCTGGATCATCTCCCTGCGGAGCGTCGCATGCCCAAGCAGTCTCAGCCCCGTGAGTTTCAGTAGAATTGTAACAGACGTAGAAACAAAAGAAATTGTAACAGGCGTAGTAGAAACAGAGGCGACAAAGATGCCCGCTCGATCAATAATTGCAGAATCGCAGTCAACCTAGAAACAACAATGGAGTAAAATAGTACTAGTACTAGTGATGGGAAGCGATTTGCTTCACAAAGAATGACCGTAAATTCGAAACTCTGCCACAACAAGGCTATGTATATGCATCTAGCAAAAGATCAGACGTGAGGAAAAGTCAGAAACTCGAAGCAGTTCAGATGAGGCATATATATCCAGCCCATGTTGTAGTTTCTACCAAGAGAATACATAATAGTAGCTTAGTAGAAATCAAATAAACTTCACAGCATCTGATTGAAAATCATGCAGACACTAGGCGGTGATGCAGCATTTGAGGTAAGGGCTGAAAACTAGCTGATTGATCACGATGGCAGTGGTCATAGTGGTGAATATAGAGGTGGTAGGCAATGTTGTGCCAACTCACGAATTTAAAACCTGTCAAATGTTGGGGAATAATTGTTGTATAATCGACGGTGAATGGATCAACTTTTATGTACCATCTTCGGTTCTTCCCTCTCCACGCCTATCGTCTACTTCATAATCTGCCATATAATTTCCCCACACGTGTTTCCATGTACATCATCATTTCAACACTCTTTCAGTTTATCAAAGGGATTCTTACAGTGATCATCATCTGTACAGCAATATCAACTGAAACAGCAATGCATTTACAGTTTTGAGTAATGCATCAGATCTACGAGTTACGGCAAACAGAGAACCTATACAGAATAAACAGAAAATCCAAATTTTATGATATGAATATAGAATTAGTGAATCTCAGCTAATGCTGACATCATTTTACAACTAACTACATGTTGGAAAACTTTTCATCGACAGCTGTCTTGATGCAGGAAGGTGGTAACGAAAATATTATTAATAACAGCCTACCGTTTATGAGAAAATGAGATCACAACTAAATTCTCAAGTATCTAAATAAAGGCAATATGGGAAAATAGATTCTGGTGGAAACACACTGGAAAAAATATGGTTTTCCGGTTTTGAATGTTGTAATTAACCTTCATTTAAAAAGTACAATGTAAAAACTAAATTCTTCAGCTAACAATGTCCCAAAGCCGTATTTTCAGAACTTGGATTCATTTTCCACGGGCTTGACTACTTAGTAAAGACCAAAGCAGCAGACTGGCCATGCAATTTTATCGATTAGATACCAGAAGAATGAATGTCGGATTTTATACGCTCATTGATATGGTTGACATAAAAAAAACTATAGTAGACAAGAAAAACATGAGCAACTTTTGGACACAATTAACTGTTGTTCGGGAATCGACTTATTGTTTCGAACTTTAGATTAGTATCTTTCCAAGATTAATCAACCACAACTTTTAGAAGTATAGGGAAATTTAAAGGCGATTGAGAGACCTAAATAGGAGTTACGAAACACCAAATAATCAATAAAACACTATTAAATAATAGTGAATCCTTAATTTGAAATCTCGTCAATGGAAACAAACGGACAAAGAAAACAATTCACATAACATCACACTAATAAAAAAAAAATCAACAAAAGAGAACATGAAAGGAAACCTAATCACATTAATGCAAAACCACGTTCCTAAAGAGACACCATATGCATCAGATCAAAACAAAGTAATCACATTAATTCATGTTGTTGAATAAGTCGGACAGAAATGGAACAAAAAGAACATTACAATATGATACAATCTAAAGTCCATAAAAACACGTCCCTTGGCATGACAAAAAAACGTCCATCCAAGAAGTTATCTGAAGACAAATTATCATTTTAGATGAACAACTAAAGATAATTTAAGGCAACGATCTAGGAGTAATTAAAGATATGAGGCAGGATGACAGGTAGCAGAGAACAAGTAATCGACACTTCACTTACGGAGCCATCCAACGGTAGGTTCCAGTCTCTGGAGTCATGCCCTCAGTCTGCACCTCGATCCGAGCCACTCCAAAGTCGGCAATTTTAATTGACTTATCCCCAAATATCAGGAGATTGTCTGACTTCAAGTCCCGATGAATGAATCCCAGCTCATGGACATAGGCCATGCCCCTTGCAACATCGAGCGCCTGTTTCACAGCCAGCTTGAGCGGTACCGACCGGTTCTGTCTTCTATTCAAGAACTGCCTAACTGAACCACCCTTGGCATACTCTGTGACGATGCACCATACCATTGGCTTCCTGCACCCACCAATAAACCGGACCACATTTGGATGCTTCAATGTGGCGAGCATCATAACTTCCTGGGCAAACTGCTGCTCCATCAACTGCGCCCTCTCAGGATTGTTCTCCGGCCGCTCCAGCAATTTAATTGCAACATCTTCTCCATTATAAGAACCCCTGTAGAGCTTCCCGAAGGCCCCCTGCGCGAACGGCATCCCCATGTTCAACTTCCTGAGATCGATAGTCCACTCATCGTAGTTTTCCAACCCTTCGGTCGGGAAACGGCTATCCAATAAGGCCTGCGCCAGGGCATCGTCACTGAGAACGTGGGACACCCTGCCAGTGCGGAGAATACTGTGCCCCACGGGGTAGTTATTGGTGTGAACGGAAGGGAGGCCGCGGTGCGGGAGAATGAGGGCGTGCGAGTTGTTGGACCCGATGCTCTCCACGGACATTGACACCGAGCCGCCGCCGGTCGTCGTCTGGAGACTCCCGATGCTGTCTATGGACATGTTGGAGCCCTCTCCGAGCTTCTGGTAAGACGCGAGGTCAACAAAGTTGCCTCCAAGTTCGTGGCCGCCGCTGCCCATGATTCCCAAGAATTTGGGACTCTCAGCAATTTAACTCGAGCCAACTTCACAGACCCGGGGGAGAGGATCCTCGTTGATATCCCTCTCTCGCCCAAGACAATATGGAAGGAGAAACCCTCTGAAAATAAACCCTGCAGACGGTATTCAGTCCAACAAAGCCGATTGAAGGCGCTGTCCAAAAATTCAACAAAACAAAAGAGGCCTCCGAGACACCGATCTCCAAGAGATTTCAAGGATGAAACCCTAATCCTCCCTCTGTTTGGCGGCAAATAGCAGCAATTCGGAACCCCTCCTGCCGTCAAAAATCTCCGCGTAATTTCTCGAGCGGGGATAGCGAAGGCAGAAACCCTAGGACGACCAATCGACGGCGTTCAATCGCAAAAGGCATCCATCCACCAACCAGCTTCATCAGACAGCAATTCCCCCTCCGAGACCAAACAATTCCCGACCACGAGGACGGCGGCAACCGGGGAACCGGGGAGGCGGCGGAACGGAGAGCACGATCCCGAGAGAGAACCCTCTGATCCGGCCTGTGGTGGCCCGCTAGCCAATTCGGACGATCCTTATCTCGACGGGAAGCCCCGCGACATGGCAGCCACCGTCGCCATGACCGAATGAGAGCTCCCTCTGGCGGTGCAATCCGGCGAGCTCGGCCCTTCCTGGCCTGGCCTGGCCTCGCCTAGCCTGTTCTGCCCTTCTCTCTCTCTCTCTCTCTCTCTCTCCCTGATGTGCCTGCCTTCCGCCTCGCGGATGACTGGAAGAGACGACCAGTGAGAGGAGAGCAGCAGAAGTCGAGTCGCCACCCGCCCTCCGCGACACGCTTCTCGTCACCCCCCATTTATTGTTTTCACTATATATTTATTAATTTTATCGGTCAGTAATCATCTCTCTCAAGCCACGTACACCCAATTTGTCGCCGCCGCTACGACACCACCCCGTTTTCTCGCGTCCCTCTCCACCAATCGCCCCTCTTTCCTCTCTCCTCTTTGGTCGAGCACGCTACCCCGTGGGCAGCGCTGCGCCCTAGGGCTGTCCAGGTGAGTTCCCCTGCGGCACAAGCCTGACGTCATAATCAAAAAAGGCTTTTCCACTCGGAGCATAAAAGCGCTAGACTGGGGACTCCCACGGGACACCAACGTCATTATAGACAAATAAATAAATAATTTATAATCTTATTTTATTGTGAACTAATACTATTATTATGACTGTGGTAGTTGTATTATTATTATCGGGTCTTATCTTCAACCGGGTCTGCGTTGACTCCTTCGAGAGTGGACTCGCACGTACCGCTGGCGAGTGAGTGCGTGCGCGTGTATGTATGCACGTATTATTATTATTATTGGTGGTCGTGGTGGTGTTCGACGAAATGCCGGCCAGGCGACGCCGTTTACACTACTCCCCGCGTGCACGTGACATCCATTGAATGCGTGGCGACGGGGAGGGGGGCCGGGGAGGTGGGCTATGGGTGGGGGTGTCTAATTAGGTCGCCGTTGGCGGCTCGATCGACGAAACACGCTATTAATTTACTGCCCCCACCGGGCCCGGGCTAGGCCCGAGACCGCGACGTCCATGCGGCCCCGTTCCGCCCTCCATTTATATGTAAAATATAATTAACTCCCCGGAAAAATAGGAGGCAGTCAATATGGGGCAGGGACCTTTGTCCCTCTCTCTCTCTCTCTCTCTCTACAATCCTCGGATTTGTTTTCATCATTTTAAATTAAATTAATTAACGGCGGGGAAACGTAGAGAGGAAGAAAGGGCGGGCGGGTAACTACTGAGGCGGTGACCGTATGCTGAATCCGGATCATCTCGAACACCAACACGTTGTGATCTGTCACGAGGGCTTTGAGCTAAATCGTTTCTTTCTTCTTTGTAAAGAATGGCGCCTTTATTTTTATTTTTTTATAAATATAGTGTTATAAAGAGATTAATGATATTTGTGAGGTCTAAATGTAAATTCCAACCGAGCCAGAGTACCCACGACGAAGCAAAACACCTCCTCTTCTTCCTCTGGTGGTCCAGATCTCCGAGCGACGCTCGAAAACCCTCGCAGCCACCGGCGCCGCCCCCCCTCCTTCCCTTCCCTCCTCCGCTTCTTCCCCGAGAGATGGAGCCACCGACCGACGCTGTCTCCTCTTTGGAGATCAAGCTCGATGAGCCGGACGCAAGAACGGATGAATCCAAGGCTGCCGTCAGCAAGAAGGTGGCGAAGAAGGAGGCGGCCAAGGCGGAGAAGCAGCGTCGTCAGCAGGAGGCGGCGGCCGCCGCCGCCGCCGCGGCGGTCGCCGATGAGGTGGATCCTCTCGGTGCAAATTACGGGGACGTTCCGCTCATAGAGCTCCAGTCCAAGGCTGTGTCCGGGCGGACGTGGACCTCGATCGGGCAGCTCGAGGCCGAGTTAAAGGACCAGAGCATCCTTGTTAGAGGGCGGCTTCACACCAGCCGGGCCGTCAGCAAGAACATGTCGTTCGTCGTGCTCAGGGAGAAGGGTTATACGGTGCAGTGCATCTTATCGGTGAAGGCGGATTTGGTAAGTAAGCAGATGGTGAAATTCGCCTCGGGGCTGAGCAGAGAGTCCATTGTGGATGTGGAGGGGATAATCACCGTACCGGAAAATCCCATAACGGGTGCGACGCAGCAGGTAAGATTTCAGCAGCTCCTCTTGCCTCACTGGCTAGAAATCCTTTTGTAGTATGACATTGTTCGTTGAATTACGTTATCGGCATTGGGACATCATTTTTCCTAGGAAGTGAAGTAGTAGTCGTTTGAAGTAGCTGCGAATGTAGTTAGGAGTTTGAAATGGTTCTGATGGCCATTTGTCCGAGTACCTGCTGATAGCCTCACAGGAAGTTCACAGATGTTAATCATATTTCAAAAGTAGCTTGAGTGCTTTTGAAAACTGCTTTCAATTATGTAAAATGCATAAATGACACTCGGAAATATTAATTTTATCCTCTTCAACCTTGTTGAGTGTATTTTTTGGTGTTCTGCTGGTGTACTCGGCACATTACATCGATGCCAATTTGCATTCTCCTCTGATTGTCTTCCTGCAGAATGATAATGACGGGTATTCGACCTTTTCTCAGAAAAAAAGGTTCCGGATTGGGACTTTATGTAGGATGCTACAGAGTTTTTTTTTCGTCGGTTTTGCTCGTAACGTTTTCATGCGGGATGGTATTCATCCTTGTCGTTCACAAACATGAACCCTGTTATATGCTATGGATAATTTTATGACTGTTAACCATGTGTATTTGGTCATCACTCTCCCACGTAGGTCGAGATTCCCACCTCTGATAGTCATATCTCGAAGACCTTTGAATGGAGAACGAAATTGTTATTGCTGAAGCTTATATTATATAACAAGGAGTCCCTTCTACGATTACATGTATTTTGGAAATCTTATCTCCCATGACAAGCTAGGAACATGACGATCAGGCTGGACTGTAGACATTGTCTGTAAAAGATCCTTGTCTATAAGCGATGCATCAGTCTATACCAAAAGTCAGACATAATTCAGGTGGTAATAAACATTTCGTTGGCAAAAAACCCATTTAGTTCGTCACCATTGAAATTCCATTGGATAATATTGTTGAGAGTCCCATTTCAATTATAGTAGCTAACAAGAATTTCATTAATATATTTAGCACATTTTAAGATTTTATGAATATATTATAATCAATTATGTGTTTTAATAATTGTGAACAGTTCAAAAAAAAAATTCTTCCTCAATTTGATGCAGTATCATGTGAAATATGGTCAGGTCCTTTATTGGGCACTTTTGGGGTAAAATACGTTGTGTGGTTAATTAGGATCACTCAATCTATTGTTGGTATTTTTTTTATCCCCTGTAGGTTGAATTGCAAGTGAGAAAAATTTATTGCATCAGCAGAGCACTGGCCATCTTGCCAATAAGTATCGAGGATGCTGCAAGAAGTGAAGCAGAGTTTGAGAGAGCTGAACAGGTATGTACAGTAGGACAATTGAGAAAGTTTTGCGATCTCCTCTCCTAACGATAACTATCCATCATTTTTTTCTCATTTTGAGGAAATGGTCTTTTAACCCCTGGACTGCCATCCACGTAAACAGGGCGTTATTTTCCGAGTCTAATTGCCTTCATTTATAACCTTGGAGAAGCATTTAACAGAAAGTGTATGTCTTGTTCACCATTGTCATTCCTGTAACCGTCTACTTTTTTGATTTTTTTCAGACTGGAGAGAAACTAGTTCGTGTTGGACAGGATACACGCCTCAACTACAGAGTTATTGACATTCGCACCCCTGCCAACCTGGGCATCTTCCGCATTCAGTGCCAAGTTTCAAATGTGTGTATTCCCTCTGAAAGTATTTTCTTTACTCGTTACGAGCGTTTATTGATTCTTTTATCCATCACATTTTCGGCAGAAATTTAAGGAATTTTTGCTATCAGAGGATTTTGTGGAAATCCACACTCCAAAATTGATAGCAGGATCAAGTGAAGGTGGTTCAGCTGTGTTCAAGCTGGATTACAAAGGGCAGCCGGCATGTTTGGCACAATCGCCTCAGCTTTACAAGCAAATGGCTATATGCGGTGACTTTGGACGGGTATTTGAAGTCGGTCCTGTCTTCAGAGCTGAGGACTCCTATACACATAGGCATTTGTGTGAGTTTACTGGGCTTGATGTTGAAATGGAAATTAAGGAGCACTACTCTGAGGTGAGGACCGAAGGAAATATATCGCTTTGCATAATGCTGCATGGAAGTTGTACTTATTGATGCCGTGGATGTTTTTTTTGTAGGTGATGGATATTGTGGATCGTCTATTTGTTCAATTGTTTGACCATTTGAACCAGACTTGTAAGAAGGAGCTTGAAGCAATAAGAAAACAGTATCCATTTGAACCTCTAAAGGCAAGCCTTCTAGACTGGATTATTGTATTGAACTTACACAACGTTTGTGTGCCTAGTGTCACTTTTGAGGTGCTCGTCTGCTTCAACTCTCATTGCGTTTTATATTTCTTGTCTCACAGTACCTGCCAAAGACTTTGCGGCTTACTTTCCAGGAGGGCATTCAGATGCTTCAGGTGCGCCAATTTGGCTATCTCCTCTGTGTCCATTGTAATCCCATTTATTTCTTATTTCCGAGTGAAAAGGTCTAGTATGATCTTTTTGCGTGGGGGGGGCGAGGGCTCTTTTGTGGATCTCCTGCAGGAACATTTTGATAAACAACTCTGTGGATCTTGAATGCATCGTGCACTGAGTAGGATGAAGTAAATCTAGAAGATCTTTTCCACATACTCGGACAGTATCCGCATCAATTTGGTTTGAAGGTGTTGTAAGGTTCTATTGCTTCGAGTACAGCCTCCCAGAATTCTTATGAAGCATTTGACCGTGTTTCTTGAGATGCGTAATGATAGAATGCCTTAGAACTGGAATCCAGACATTTCATCCAGCATTGTCAATAAGGTCTTATTTCTCCCCGTATAGATTTGTGCCAGTTCTCAGGAGTTTGGTGACGTTCTTTATAAGCCCGTAAGTGCCTTGGTCCAAACTATAAAATTTTGGACATAGTTCCAAGTAAGACATATCTTCATTGGGGAATTCACAACGGTCACGCTACCTTCGTTTCCTGCAATCTTACCAGCTTCACAGAAAACTGGCCTTTTACATGGTTTATGCACATTCGTCCGGTCTGTGGAAACATTTTAGATGCAGCTCTCTGCCTCCAAATGCTGGAATCAAGTTGACTTCCAATGACTCGCTCTGCGAAATCATTTGAGATCTGAAATCAGATTCTTGCCAATGGCTAGCATATCCCATCAGGGACGATCATGGAGTATCACGTGATATTTCCGTTTTATTGTTTTTTTTTATATTACGAATACTTGAGCGCACAATCGGCCCACAACTGTTTTGTATTTACGAATTTTTTTCCTTTTGGTCTTTGACGGTTCGTGCCTGACTTTGTTCTCTTAGGAAGCGGGAGTAGACATTGACCCGCTTGGGGATCTAAACACAGAATCGGAGAGGAAATTGGGCCAGCTTGTTCTACAGAAGTAGGTGTCACGTCATCCCCTCCCTTTTTGTTCTAATGCCATGTAGACGAGAAGACTCACGGTTTCTACTGCCCGATCTCTCGACGCAGGTACAACACAGAGTTTTATATACTCCACCGGTACCCCTTGGCAGTGAGGCCGTTCTACACCATGCCGTGCTTCGACGATCCGGCATACAGTAACTCCTTCGACGTGTTCATTCGAGGTGAGAAACAGAGCTCTCGTTCGTCGTTCGAATTGCTCCCTCGGCGAGCAGTTCTTCGCTTCTTTTTTTTTTTGTTGGGAGTGTTGAAACCCACCCTGATTTTTGTACAAGAACATGCCCGGCGGCTGACTGTGTTTTTGGTCATTTCCGAAGGTGAGGAGATCATCTCCGGGGCGCAGAGAGTCCATGTGCCCGATTTCCTGTCCACCCGGGCGGAGGCGTGCGGCATCAGCGTCGGCACCATATCATCCTACATCGATTCCTTCCGGTACGCCGCCAGAGCCTCTCATCTCTTGCTCCTTCTCTTCTCGACTTGGATTCTCAATCAGGCCGTCGCGTGGGGGTGTCTTTCTCAATTGGCTTCGGTTCCGCCCAGGTACGGAGCGCCGCCGCACGGGGGGTTCGGGGTGGGGCTAGAGAGGGTGGTGATGCTGTTCTGCGCCCTGAACAACATCCGCAAGACCTCCCTCTTCCCCCGCGACCCGCAGAGACTCACCCCCTGAACCCAGATTGCCCCCGACCCTCCCCCTCCACCTTTTGACTTTTCATTCCCCCCCACCCTTGTTGGCGGCGAAGGGACGCTGACTATTTAATTCCCCAAGATTGCTGGTTTTGGGTTTTTGTCAATTCTGCTGGTATTTGGTCGTCTTCTTCGTTTTGTTTGGGGGCCGGGCCGTGTGTTCTTCTAGCCCGGATGATCCGACAGAGACGACGGAATGAAGAGGGGAATCTACGACGATTTCAATGCTTTTCAAACACCCAAAGATCAAGTGCGACGCCGTTCGTCGATTTTGACTAACGCGAGCAAAAACACAAACATTCCCTGTTCATCCACGAGCGGGAGAGAATTATTGCCGATTGATCCACTGCGACAGACTCCAGGAACGCTCACTCCTTCTTCCCGATCCCGTGGGACATGTTGTAGATGCCCCGCCCCTACGCATGGTACGTGGAAACACATGTTCAGAAGAGAGGGAGAGAGAGAGAGAGAGAGAGAGTGTTAGCGGCTCACAATGAGTGCCAGAGAGGAGATGGTCAGCGCGAGGGGGATGGCGACCGAGGTGATCTTGTCGTAGCGCCCTTTCAAGAAAGTGTGCTTCTGAATGCCCTGAAAGTGCTCCTGGTACTTCTTCAGCCTCTCCCTCGGCACAAACGGCGGCTCCGACATCCTGCAAGACGAGCAGAGGACGGGCGGCGTTGATGCGGTGAGATCCAGAGCCCATCCAGAAACACCACGGATTTTTATACGGGTAGAACAAATTCCCGGCTTTTCACTTTTGAGCAGGGCTAAGGAGAACGCGAGAGCCCTGCCATCACCGTCATTTTTCTTTTCAGTCTTTGAGAAAAGAAGCATTGGACAGAGAGAATATGTCAGCAGCCCGGTAGAAAGTTGGGCTGCATGGTCGGTCAAAAAAATCTTAGTAAAATTGAAGGAGAGCTAGCTTGGACATCATCTGCGAGGAAGACCAACGCGAAAATCCACAGAAATATGCATCTGTTCAAATAGACCCGTAATCTACCAAGCAACAAGAAATGCATCAAATTTAGATGTCAAGGTCACTTCCTCAAGCGATTTCTTCATCCTGAAGGCAGAAGAAAATCATATCATCCCTGCAGTCTTGATGCAGCCTTAATCAGTTCGGCTATCATCAAACCAGCTTGAAAAGATTTAACGCATCTCAGAGGAAGCTTTACTCTGGACCCTGGAGAGCCCCGAGGTGTTGTCGTCAGTACATCATCTTTCGTCCACCCCCCAGTGCCACTTACATTGCCAGAAACAAAAGCTTCGGTGGAGAAAAAAAAAAAGGCATCATGAACTTTGCCAACCTTCACATATTATATCTGACTTATCAATTCAGGAGTAACCCAACACATTGACATCGGAAGGCACTGGCTGCAATGAAAAGATATATTGACCTGAAAGAGAACTTCCACGCTGTATCCCGTATCGTGTACCGATGTTATCTATCCATGAATGGACCCATGAGCACCTCTACATTGCCAAAAATGCTCTAATTAAGTAAACCTAGAAACCTGTCCACGCAACCAAGTCCATTAACTACAGCAGGATAGAGCAGCCTTGCAAAACCGTTGAAGGTCGAGAAAAGTACTGGACCTTTACACCTCGCATTTGTCCATAGCCTGACCCTTGAGTCTGCTAGTACAAAGAACGCATCTCCCCCACAATGCCTCTCAGAATCTAGTACAGCTTAGCTGAATATGAGTAGTTGTGTCCCATATCCAACTCCTATATTTCCTATACAGAATATTTCTTTAAACTTCATCCTTGAGAAGCATGAGATGCGCACTGGATCTAAAGGTACTCAGAAACAAATGGCAAATTCACACCGTACATACTTCTACAGTTTTTCTCTATTGATATATTATTCCCATCTTACTGTATCTGTGCTTGCTATAATACAGAAATCCTCCTATGAACTACATTGAAGCGACAATAAAAAACAGAAAGTTTGCCACTGCTCTCAAGTTGCTACACGACCACAGACAAATCCCCTGCACGCACATTGTGGCCCGACCCAATAGAAGATTGAATCGGGCAATTAGAAACTTAGGACTTTGTGAGGGGAATGCCAACCCAAATCCATGGCTGTGAATCTTCTCTACCAAACTTGGATATCATATTGCGTGGCAAAATTTGACTTAAAACGGGGAATCTACAACATTTCCAAAAGCAGGTTCCACACATGAGCCCTCATTGGAGAAGAGGATTAATTTATCGGTACAAGTGATGAATCTAAGGGATGAATCTTGCATGCTAAAATATTTTAGCAACCCGCCTAAGAAGTACAAGGATTCTACAATTGTAAAATGGTGAGATCTTAACGACGACAGATAAGCACAGATCCTTACCGACCAACGCACGGTGCAAATCCAATTGTAGTTAACAATCTTCGGCAAATTAAAGATTATCGTTCCAAACTATGTTTAATTTTTCTCTTCCCCTGCTGTTATCGACATCGACGACGGACTACCGGTAGACAACAATCCAGCCATCTCCCCGGGATAAAAGAAAAAGCTTTCATGAGTCGTGGAGGAGCGGGGGGGTGGGCGGGCTGGCGTTAAACACCCACCAGAAAGCGGAACCGACGGCAAAAAGAGGAAACAGGAGGCAATGGTAAGACGAGATATAACGCAATCGAACGATTTGCGTTACATCCCGCAGGCAAGACCTAAATATCCAATCAAAAATAACTTCCGAGGCACCAAATCTCCGGCACCGGAGAAAGGACAGCCCCGGGTGAATTCACTACCCACGCACTGGAACCAAATATCCATAGAAACGAGCGAAAACCTCGATCACCTGAAGAATGGAGACGAGATGGACGACCCAGGAAGAAGGAAGCCGACGGATCTCTCGACGGCTGGAGACGACTGCCGAGCCCCCTCTCCCCGAGACCCAGAATTAAATAGAAATTTCAGGTCGCGTGTTTCCATGGTTAACCCCCTTTTAATTTTAATTGTACTTTCACTTCTTAATGTTTCCATAAACCACGTTGATCATACATATTTTTTAACTTTGTTCTTTAATCCTTGGAAACCTTCTAAACCTTTTGATAATTTCAGTTTATGCGAAAAAAAATAATTATAGCATATTATTTCTAAGGCAAAAATATTAGAATAGGAGCTTCACTTGATGTGCAACAAAATGAATATTGTTTTACAAATATTACCTGGGTCGTGGTATTTTATTATAAGAAATCCATCGAATTATACAGTTTAGCTATTTATTTATTTATTTTAATAATCTTAAAATGCACTTATCTCTGTTTTTGGTTCTGGGGACCCTTTTTTCTTTAATAAAAAAACGTTTTTTTGTTGGATATAAATTATCTATAATGTCGCAACTAATTAATTAATTAATCAACATGTTATCATTCATTTTCTGGCATTCAAAAATAATAAACTATATTTTACCCAAATAATTATATAAAAATATTTCCTCATAATCAATTAGATGGGATTAATCATGGAGTCACATAGCGTGTGGTGACGTAGAGGATGGAATGAGAGAGAGAGAGAGAGAGAGAGAGAGAGAGAGAGAGAGAGAGAGAGAGAGAGAGAGAGAGAGAGAGAGAGAGAGAGGGTGGGAAGATTATTCGAGAAATGCTTCCTTCCCCCCCAGTTAATTAATATATTTGTTTTAAAATAATTCAGTACGGGGATTGGAAATAAGGGGTATGCACGTAATTCAGGACAAGATTTGGGGGAAGCGAAAGAAGAGGCCCAATAGGCCCACGGCCACTATCGCAGCCATGCCCTTCGTTCGTTCCTCTCGTACGGCGCCTCCGGGAAGTGGGGTAGGAGGCGGCGCCGCCTCCTTGCATGTCGATTAGAACCGGCGGGGCGGGGATCCCCTTCTCCTTCCTCTGGCCCCGCTGCAGGGTCCGCCGCCTCCCGGGGCTGCTTCCGATTGTCGCTGCTGGGACGGCCCGTGGCTGCGCTGGCGTGATGGAGGATCGGCGTATCGAGGAGCACCACGTTCACTACAACCACACGGATCCCTGCAGCCATCTCCGGTGGACGGCGAGGTACCCGTTCTGTTGGTCTTCTTCTCGCACTGGTCCTGGATCTGCTACTCAATGGCAACGTGGTGACGATGTTTATGCCCGCTGGTAGGGAGTGCTATGAGTTCATGTACGAGCGCCCATGGCAGAGGGTTTCGAACTTTTTCGCCGACGTCGTTTGCGGAAAGTCGTCGCTGCGTAGCTTGTTCCCTGGTGTCCCCGTCGCCTCTGCCGCAGTGGTGTTAAATAGCGATGACGGAATTTCTGGTGTTGGCGTTTCTGAGACCGCTGATGGAAGCGTCGGTGATACGGACACTGTGTCTGCAGATTTTGCCTCTAGAAAGGAGAGAACGGGCAGGTGGGTGAGGTCGACGTTCAAGATCGACCTCGGGTACCATGGCGGTTCCTTCGAGGGGTGGCAGAAGCAGCCCGATCTCAACACTGTCCAAGGGTGATTATTGGGGGAGATAATACTTTGAGATTGAGGGATCCCCTCTCCCACATTCCCTATTTATCTTTTATGAAACTTCGGTAAAAATTTCTGCTATTTCAGAGTGGTGGAGATGGCTCTAGGAGAGTTTGTCGACGAGAAGAAGGCTCAGCAGCTGAAGGACAGGTCATTGCCGGTGGAAGGCTGTGCTAGTGTTGCAGGGCGCACTGACAAGGGAGTGTCTGCTCTGCATCAAGTCTGTTCATTCTGTAAGTTGGATGAAAACCTAGTAGTAATTGTTGGTGTTACTGTTATGGCTGTGGGTTCTAGCTATTGGAGTAGATTCGGTAGAAGGAATTCCTTCTTCCCTTGTTTGATGCTGGCTGCTGTGTACTTAGGTCAGACTGAGTTATTTGATTCTTGGCCTGAAGAAGAGGGCTGTAGATGGTTTGCATCATCTTGAAAGTTCATCAACGAGTTTAGATATAAAGGATGAAGGATTGAGCATGCCTGCATTGCTTTGCTTGCCATTATCATCTGGGCTCCTATTCTGTGGGAAAAATCCTTGCAATTTTGGATTATATCCGTTTTTACTCTTTTTCTATCAGCGTTCTTCCCGTATTCTTTGACATCACTCTCGAGGTCCTATATTCACTCTATTTTAGTTTTTTTTATATAATTAGAAACGGTGTTCATCCGCTAAACGTTCTGCCGAAACATGGCGATGTGTATTTGTTATTTAGGCACATTTCCATTTCAGAATTATATTTGATTAAGATCGGGCTTTCACAGTTGCCTATCGTGACCCATAGATACTTGGAATAAGTCAGTCAAAGCTTGCGATATCAAGGATGCAATCAATCGTGCAGCTCCTGGAAAGCTAAGAGCTCTGTCTGTAGCTGAGGTTGGTTTCATTTCGTTTAGCAAATGCTTCAGTTATTGATTCCCTTTAGCAATAGAATTCATGTGGCTCGTCTCGCTGACGCAAGAGGAAGAGGCAGCTATCTATGATCGGTTTCACTGACCACATTGATAGATAAATAGATGTATGAGACATGTACATACAAGGAACATATAGGAGAAAGAAATGTGCGAACTCACTCTCGTGTATAGCTGTAGTCAAGGGGCAGAATGGCTTTAGCTTAAAATACTGTGGTGCCATCAGCATGCTGCATGTCTAATGGAGTATTATACTTGGTTAACGGTCAACTTATTGACTTGTGTTCTCTCTCCTGTATTGATGCACATATTCTCCTGTATTGGCAGGTGTCACGGGTTTTTCATCCAAATTTTTCTGCGAAATGGAGGCGATACTTCTACATCTTCCCCCTAGATGGTCGGTGCAAGCACCAACTTAACAACTGTGAAAGAAGTGATTCTGCTTATGCCGATGAAATGGCTGACAATCGCACGAAACTGCTGACTGAGTTTGACCATGGGAATGACAGATACTTGTCTGCGTCTCCCGAGGGTGATCACGAAGCTCCCGTTGCCAATGCAGTGAAGAATGACAGCTTTAGTGTAAGCAGGGTGAACCAAATTCTACTTCAGCTAGAAGGGAAATCCTTGTCCTACAAGATGTTTGCTCGTGATACAAAAGCCTCCAGAAGCATGTAAGTCATGTGCTATCCGATAAATATGCAAAAAATAAGCTATTTGGGGAACTCAACTGTTCTGTGTGTAATTGGTTTGATTCTTTGCTAAAAAAATGTACTTAACGATAATGGTGTACATAAGTTTTCTGTAAAGGTTACTATTGCGATACATATGCGCCATCCTTGGATGCATAGAGTATCCGTTGTGTGTGACCACTCTCTTGTTCTCCAATGAATCTGCATACTAATTAGAGACCAGAGACAAATTTATGATAAACTCCGTCATTACTCAATCGCACCTATGATTCTTATGTAACAAAAACATCCCTGGTTTTAATAATTTTATTAAACGTAGTGGACTGTGGATGACTAGAGCTATCAATTCTGTGAAGATATCTTATGCTGCTGTGCAAAGTTGGAGAGGGAACTTGTTGGAATCGGATGTATGAGCTCGAGCTATGCTTCTGTCTCTTGTGTATTAAATCGGATTAGAATTAGCTAATGCAGGAGCATTGGGTTAGAAGTTTGTCCCCCAACCATGGTGCTGTGTCCACAGGCATCTATTTCGAGGTACCCTCCATGTCTGACTTATATCCAGGATCAACGTTTTTGTCGAGTATTATTTTTCTTACTCGAATGGGTTCTAGCTGGAATATTTTCTGAAAACATATCAGTTTGAGCTAAATATAGGTGTTCATGCCTTGAATTTTTTTTATTGTATTAAATATTATTAGCCTTCAGCTCGTGAATAGAAATGTTGGACACCCATTACCCACCCCACTATTTTTCTAGCAATCCTAGCTTAATTTAATATAATCTGTTTATATCGTATTATTTTAAAAACTAAACAAATGCTCAGTTTGTACTGAAAACTCATCTTTAATCCTTTCTTAGTGGTCCGCCGACAGAGTGCTATGTTTTCCATGCTCGAGCTGCGGAGGCCAGGTTACCTTGCGACGACCAGGTGAGTCCTTTTCATATTCCATTTATGAAATATCTTGTCACAACCTTGACACTCTCGATTTAGACATCCTTCTAGTGGAATATATGCTCTCTGATTGTACATCCCTGGGCTCCCTGCGTGGATTTAATGATGATTGATTTCGTTATCAGGATGGGGAAGGACTGAGAGTGATGTGCGTAGAACTAGTCGCCAATCGCTTCCTACGCCGGGTAATGAGGATTAATTGAAGAACGATGACCTCCCTGAACTCCATTACTCAATTTATTTTTTTTTCTTCTAGTTTCACTTCGTTCTTCTCCAAAGAATCAGGTAGAGAGAATGAAACTGCTCAAGACGAGGTCTGATTTCTGGCCTTGCAGATGGTTCGGGTGCTGGTCGCAACATCCATTAGAGAAGCGGCTGCTGGCAACGGCGACGATGCTCTGTTGAAGCTGATGGACGCTACCTGCAGGCGCGCAACTGCACCTCCGGCGCCACCCGAGGGGCTCTGTCTTGCCGACGTCGGCTACGAGGAGTTCAGCAGGGAGCGTTGTCTGATATCCTAATTCAGGTGCCCAGTTCACCCAATCTGACGCAGAATTATGGGGCGCCATTCGCCCATTTTATTTCTACTTCTGAAGGAAGAAATGCCCTCGCGGGGTGGATTGTTTTCTCTTCTTATCATCTTTTGATCGTTAGAGGAGCCCAGCTTTTGTTTTCGTTCATCTGTCTCCGGAAAGGTACTACGTTAGTCGTCGAGAGAGAGAGAGAGAGAGCCCCCACGTCAACGTCAACGCATTCCCGTTGGGTCGACTTGTCGTCTTCTTCACCATTCTCCTGTTCATAGGCCATGTCTCTGGGCCTCTGCTTGCAAACCTTGTGTTTAGACGCTTCTACGTGCTAAGTTCCCCCCCGCCGGTGCAACTCCCTTGCCACCATTCTGGGTGGCAATGCCCGGCGAGATCTCACCTCCGCTGCCGTGCATGAGGCGCTGAGAAGCTCCAACTTCAATAACAACAGCTTCGAGAGGCCGATCCTCTCCACACTGGCAAGCTCGGGCCTCCCCCCTGCTGGCCTGCTACTACAGGAACGCGGAGACGCTCTTCGACGAGAGCTTCCTAGACGGTGGGGACGATGAAGCCGCCGCAGGTCGGTTAGCCTAGGGAGCCATGAGGGCGACGTGGAGCGGCGCTGGGACGTGGCGGAGGCGGCGGGGAAGACGACTTCTCCTCCATCTTCGGGGAGGAGATCTCTCGGTCTTGCTCCTTCACTGCGTGCCCTCCTAGTTTTTCTTTAATGGCATAACGGAATGTCCTTTAACTACCTTTTATATGTATCCGTTTACTGGTGCGGGCCCCGGTTGGCTTTTGAGTTGAGACTCCCCAAGGGGTATAAATACGGCGGTGGCCGCTTGTGCCCCGATTAGGGTTTGTATCGTCGAGGCGGCGTTTTCTATCAGACTAGCGCCCGCTGTTGCCCGCCGCTGCCCGCCATGGTGAGCTCTCCTCTTCCGATCGCGTTCCTGAGAACGAGTTGTATTTGCGCGTTTCTTCTCTGCTCTTTGGTTTCCATCGCCGCCGAAATGGGCCGGCCAGGGGAGTCGCACCCTCCTTCGGCGTCTCCTGCGTTGCATTCGTCGTTGCGGCCATCCAGCCACCGTCCTCTGGCTGAAGTGGCAGAAGGAGGTTTAACTAAGGAACAAGGAAAAAAATAAGAAAAAACCACAGCACCGCCATCCTGGAGCCGCGTTTCGCTGCTCATCGCGCCTGCTTGAAGTCGCGGCCAAAAGCCGCGGATCGGCTTTCGCCGCACACGCGACCAACTGGGGAGGGACGGTTTTTTGAAGTTATATCGATTACAACCGTGAATTATTAAGTTACTTTGCAATCTCATTTACTAGATTTAGTCGTACGTGAACCACATTTGTATTTGGATGATTATCCGATTCGGGACTTCCCATTTCTCGGTCGACCCGAGTTTGGCCATCCTGCGCGTGATGTCATTAGCGCTGAACCTTAGAAGTTAACGCGATTCTCACAAGCCTTGATGGGTGCGGCGAAAAAAAAATGCCCACTGTCCCATGTCTTCTCTATTATGTGTTGGACATGCTTAACTTTATGCAGTATTTGCTTTTTTTTGGTTCAAATGTTTTTATTTGCCAAGTAGGGAAGATTCTGAAGGTTGATCTTTTATTGACCTTTTCCTCCGGTTTGCTTCAATCCAGGCTCGTGGACTCAAGAAACATTTGAAAAGGCTCAATGCACCAAGACATTGGATGCTTGACAAGCTTGGCGGCGCCTTTGTAAGTATTAGGCAAAGCAGAAATTGCTTCAATGACCCTTCTTGTATTTCTTCTCATCAGTTCCAGGATTGGTTCTCATTTTTAACCATACTTGTTTTTGTTTCATTGTTTCAGGCCCCCAAGCCATCATCTGGGCCACACAAGGCTCGAGAATGCCTTCCCTTGATCCTTATTCTAAGGAACAAGCTCAAATACGCTCTTACATACAGAGATGTCATTGCTATATTGATGCAGAGGCAGGTCCTGGTTGATGCGAAGGTCAGGACAGACAAGACGTATCCTGCTGGTTTCATGGGTACGAGCACTGGAAGACGTCCCGACACTCTTTTCTTCTTTCGAATGATCTCTTTTTTTCGCACCACTTCAAAATAGGAGTTGATATGATACTTTGATTCGTCGCAGATGTCATATCAATTCCAAAGACTAATGAGAACTTCCGCCTTCTATATGACACCAAGGGGCGTTTCCGCCTCCACCGCATCAAGGATGAAGAGGCAAAGGTAAAACTAATTGTCTTAATGTACCTGTGATTTTATGCGATTATATATATATCTTGAAAACATGCGTCCTCTTACCCTGGAATTCATGCAGACTCAGAAATTTCTTTCATGGTGATGGAGTAACGGTGTCTTTACACGTTATTAACATTATTCAGGATATTATATCCCAGTTTTCCTGTCTTTCCTGTGATGTACTTTCTTGTTCATGATCTCACGCGCACTGGTCTTTCCTTTATTTTCTTCGAGAGTTTCTTTGTGCATGCTTCCTGTACCAGTTGTTTTGTCATTTAATCAGACCTAACCCTAAGTCTTCCCCTAACCAGACCAAATCTCAAGCTAGTCCTTCATGAACTATTTTCTCGCAATTTCCTTTATTCCTGCGAGTTTAGCGGTCACAAAATGGAAGAAGAATTGAGGGCATTTTCGCTCTGACTATTTGGTTCGAGTGGTGGTTAATGGATTCCTGACCTGAATCACACACCCTATCTCTACCCCTCTCCTCTGTTACGATCGGCTCTGAACATATGTCAGTTGCAGGCCCTGTATAATCTTGACTGCATTTTCACAGAGCTGGATATGGTCGTTCCATTGTTTCTGTCACCGTGTGAATCTCTTCCGAGTACAAGTTTAATTTCTTTTTTCAGACTGTGATTCGAGCGAGGGATTTCTATCTATCTAAGCCGATTGTTGTTCCCTGCTACGCAGTTCAAGCTCTGCAAGGTCCGCTCGGTTCAGTTTGGGGAAAAGGGGATCCCCTACCTCAACACCTACGACGGCCGCACGATCCGGTACCCAGATCCCCTGATTAAGGCGAACGACACCATCAAGCTGGACCTGGAGAACAACAAGATCGTTGACTTCATTAAGTTCGACGTCGGGAACGTTGTGATGGTCACCGGCGGCAGGAACACCGGTCGGGTCGGCCTGATCAAGAACAGGGAGAAGCACAAGGGGAGCTTTGAGACCGTCCACATTCAGGACGCCACCGGGCACGAGTTCGCCACCCGGCTGGGGAACGTCTTCACCATCGGCAAGGGGTCAAAGCCCTGGGTCTCCCTCCCCAAGGGCAAGGGGGTCAAGCAGTCCATCATCGAGGAGGCCAGGAAGAGGGCCGCCGCGGCGGCGGCCGCCGCCACCGCCTAGTTGGTTCTTGTGGCCACCCCGAGTGTCTGTCTGTCTCTGCTAGTTTCCATTCTTAAAAAAGCTTGTCTTCGGCGAGAGCGTTAGGCGATGCGGTTTCTCTGGACTATGTTTCTGAACATTTTTTGCCCAGTTGTCATTTCTCCTCTTTCATCATAAGCAACAAGTATCATTAGGTTACGGCGCTGCGCCCCGCTGGCTGTTCAACGAGTACAGCTCGAGGTTGTTCTATTGTGCGCTGTTCAACAACTTCGTGGTCCTGATCGATTGACACCAAGTTTCTAATGTGTTTTCTTCGATTCTGCAAGTGTTGTTGAACAAAAAAAGATGGTTTTTTTTCTTCCATATAAGGTTAGATATGCGTCTCATGTATCATAGATGGATTGCGAGGAGCTACGGGAGGGGAATAATTGCTCAGAAAAATAATTGGATTCAGTCAACACGCGGGGTGCTTGGGTTATTCGATGGGAGGACGTCGGTCAAGGGTCAAATTATGAACCCACCTGAGAAACTTGGGGTGGAGATGAACTTCCGGCTCCGGTGGATAGAGAATCATCTTCAGGATGTGAGGAACAGAGAGGGAAGAGCGGCTTAAATTTAGGTTACCCGCCATAGGAGGCACGGGAGAGAGATAGAGAAAGAGAGGAACCCGGAAAACCCACGACTTTGACCGGACCAGGAGGGGGGGGAGGGGGCTTCTTCCTATTCCATCCTGGTTTCTCCTTCACTGGAGTTCCCACGTGGGTCGTCCAGAGGGAGAGAAAGATAGAGAGAGTGCAGGATGATGTGGTTCCGGCACGCGCATGGCCACGGGCACGGTCACGGCAACGGGCAAGACCACGCCCACGGCCATAGCAACGGACACGACCACGGCCACGGCCACGGTCACAGCAACGGGCACGACCACGGCCACGGCCATGGCCATAGCAACGGGCACGACAACAGCCACAGTCATAGCAGCGGCTACGATCACGACCACGGCCATGGCCATAGCAACGGGCATGGTCACGGCAACGGCCACGGGAACAACCACGGCCACGGCAACAACCACAGTCATAGCCTCGGGCAGAGCCTCAGAGATCACGATCACGGCCACGGCCACGGCCACGGACACGGCCACAGAGATCACGACCACGGCCATGGCCACAGCCATAGCCACCACGAGCAGCACGGCCATGGCCACGGGCACAGCCACAGAGATCACGATCACGGCCACAGCCATAGCCTCTACGAGCAGCACGGCCATGGCCACGGGCACAGTCATAGTCACGACCACGACCATGGGCACAGGCACAGCCATAGCCACCACGAGCACGGCCATGGCCACGGGGGGAATAGCTATACCCACCACGAGAACGGCCATGGCTACGGGCACAGCATACATGGGACGGAGGATGGTGCGGCGGCGGCGGTGGCGCCACCGCAGCCTCTGGTGGCGGTGGCCATCGACAAGGACAAGGGAAGCCAGAACGCCCTCAAGTGGACCATAGAAAACCTCGTCACCCGCGGGCAGACCCTCATGCTGGTCCACGTCGTGCACAAGTCTGCGACGCCGCCGCCGCCACCCACGTCCTCCGCCTCGTCGCACCACTCCGGTATTCTTCCTATCTATCTATGTTTCCTCGTTCTCTGGACGGAGCGCGAGAGTCCAGAGCTGGGGAGAGGCAGCAGCTATCTGATGACTGATGGTGGAGGAAGGAAGACTCACAAACAGGATTCCTCTGTCTTTCCGCAGGAGTCCACCACGATGATCACCACGCTAAGGAGCTGTTCCTCCCCTTCCGCTGCTTCTGCACGAGAAAAGACGTCGGTGACATGAGTTTACATCCCCCGTCACTCCCTCCCCCGCTCAGCCGCCTCTGGCTCAAAACACCTTCCACCTTCGTCCAGCGAGTGCCCATCTATCCTTAACCAGAGACAACAACCGTTCTTTCTTCTCTCACCCTGTGAATCCGATGGCAGGTGCACTGCGAGGACGTGATACTGGAGGACCACGACGTCGCCAAGGCGATCATCGAGTTCATCGCGCAGTCCGCCATCGAGAAGCTGGTCGTCGGCCACCCATCAAAAAATGGGTTCGTCAGGTGATCTATCTGAGAACCTCTTGAGGAGATGACATGTTTTCCGCCGTGTTTCAGTTTGCTTAACAGCGATGCGCTTCCTGATAGAAGATTCAAGAGCACGGACGTAGCTTCCAGTATCTCCAAGGGGGCGCCGGACTTCTGTACCGTCTACATCATCAACAAGGGAAAGGTCTCTTCGGTGCGGCAGGCCGTCCGCCAGGCCCCCGCAGTCTCTCAGCTCCGGCAGCAGATTCACAGCCAGAACAGCCTCCGGCAGAAGACGAGTGAGACTCTTACTCACGGGCACCCAAACCCGAGAGGTTCTCTCTTATCAGTCCGCCTTATCTTCTCCATGCCCGCTCTTCTTCAAAGCGAACGCTCAACCCATCAGTTTTCTCTTCCATGGCAGCCGATTCCCCATTCCACAGGCATCACAATCACCATCACCTGCACGACGATGACGACAAGGAGACGATCAAGTGAGTGAGAGTCTCTTAACGACCGCAGTGGCGTACGTCTGGAGGAACCTGAAAGATGATATTGATCCTCTGATCTCTTCCTGCCCTCCTGAAAACAGGTCCCCATTTACCAGAGGCTTCAGGGGAGGGACGGCGACGAGATCCTACGGCGAGATGCCGATGCCGGAGTCGGACATATCCTTCGTCAGCTCCGGCAGACCCAGCGTCGACCGGATGTACCCTCCTCTCCATGATCATTCCGACAGCAGCTGGCCCTCGCGGCTGTCCGGTGGCTCCAGCGCCCTGGACCGGAGCTTCGAGGCCGTACGCACGCCCAAACACAGTAGGTCGATGGAAGGGAACACGGCGGCGCACGAGTACTCGTTCTCGCACCACAGCGATTCCTCCTGGTCCTCGCAGACGATGGTCAGTCGTCCCATTCTCAATCGTCCTTTTTATTCTCGTCATCTGGAGATTGAAGAGGAGGCCGATTCTGAGAAGACTCTCGCTGGAGATGTATCAGGAGGAAGTAGAGGCGGAGATGAGGCGGCTGAAGCTGGAGCTCAAGCAGACCATGGACATGTACAGCACTGCCTGCAAAGAAGCTCTCACGGCGAAACAGAAGGTACTGTGGCCTTGTCGATGGCGCATTCGATTGGGTGGGGGCTATGGTGGTGATGATCTCGAATCTGGCTGGCTGGTTCTCCAGGCTCTGGATCTTCACCGGTGGAAGCTGGAGGAGGAGCAGAGACTGCAGGAAGCCCGGCTTGCCGAGGAGGCAGCCCTAGCCATAGCAGAGAAGGAGAAGGCCAAATGCAGGGTGGCGATGGAGGCAGCAGAAGCCGCTCAGAGGATTGCAGAGCTGGAAGCACAGAAGAGAATAAACGCAGAGATGAAGGCGCTCAAGGAGGCGGAGGAGAAGAACAAAGCGCTGGACGCTCTCGCCCACAGCGATCTGCGGTACAGGAAGTACCCCATCGAAGAAATCGAAGTGGCGACGGAGTACTTTTCCGAGAACCGCAAGATCGGAGAAGGCGGCTATGGCCCGGTCTACAAGTGTTACCTCGATCACACACCCGTCGCCATCAAGGTCCTCCGCCCCGACGCCGCCCAGGGAAGATCCCAGTTCCAGCAGGAGGTGCTGACCCCGAAAAACCCCCGTCCCTGTTTCCCCCGTGAAGAACCAACCAACCAACCAACCAACCAACCAACCAATCTGAGATTCTTATCAATGGGTCGTCTTCTTTTGGTTGCAGGTGGAAGTGCTGAGCTGTATAAGGCACCCGAACATGGTGCTCTTGCTGGGAGCCTGCCCGGAGTACGGGTGCCTGGTCTACGAGTACATGGCCAACGGGAGCCTGGACGATCGGCTCTTCCGGCGAGGGAACACCCCGGTCCTCCCGTGGCAGCTCCGGTTCAGGATCGCCGCCGAGATCGGCACGGGGCTCCTCTTCCTCCACCAGACGAAACCGGAGCCGCTCGTCCACCGGGACCTGAAACCAGGGAACATCCTCCTCGACCACAACTACGTGAGCAAGATCAGTGACGTGGGACTGGCGAGGCTCGTCCCTCCGACGGTGGCCGACACCGTCACCCAGTACAGGATAACCTCCACGGCGGGGACCTTCTGCTACATCGACCCGGAATACCAGCAGACGGGCATGCTGGGGATCAAGTCGGACATCTACTCCCTCGGGATCATGCTGCTGCAGCTCATCACGGCAAAGCCCCCCATGGGGCTCACCCACCACGTCGAGAGGGCGATCGAGAAGGGAAACTTCAAGGAGATGCTCGATCCGGCGGTGCCCGACTGGCCTGTCGAGGAGGTGCTCGTCTTCGCCAAGATGTCGCTCAAATGCGCCGAGCTGCGGCGGAGGGACCGGCCGGACCTCGCCACCGCCATCCTTCCGGAGCTCAACCGGCTGAGGGCCCTCGCCGAGGACCACATGCACCACGGCGTACTCGGCTGCATGAGCCCCCACGGTGGCAGTCACAGCCACATCTCCATTACCCATGTAAGCTCGGCTCTCCCATGACGTCCATCGACGCGCCCCCCGAAAACCCTAGTTTCAAAGGAATTGATAGCTCCTTTCTATACATATAAAATGCAGGATATAATGAGTGACCCGTTGATGCAGTCCTCATACGAGAGCTCCAAAAGCCGATCGACGAGCGCATCGTCAGGCAGAAGAGCGAGCCTCGCGTGAAGGGAGGGCAACGATCGCCTAGAGCTCCAAGTAGGAGTTTTAGGCCCTTTTTTCCCCCCTATCATCTAATCGTAAGGAGGAAGAACCCGACAGATCTTCCTCCGGCCGGAGAATAGCAAAGCAGGATTCCTTTGCCTCTCCCCCACTTTTCTGTGGAGAGTGACTTCAACAAGCTTGACGGGCGTATCCCTCAACTATGTTCTAGTCATTATTTCTCATCTCATCTTACTGTTCAAGGCCGGAAAGGGAAGAATGTCGTGTGATTCATCAACTGTCCCCTGAACCCTAGATACCCAGCATTCTTCATGGGGGAGAACTTGCCAAAAGGAGGTAAAGAGATCACTTACACGTGCGCATTTGTTGCCACCATTCTCCATCTTAAGAACTTGAGAATGGCTACATTTTTCATTAAGTACGGCCCGAATTAAGTACAGTCCTCGTTGCGGCCGGAGGAGCACGACCGTAGGGCTTTCCTTCAGCTCGTTAGTAGAATCCACGGAAGAAACTGATGTAGAAGAGAATAACCGAGCGAAGCCATAGGACATCCTCATGCGGTGCCTAATTTCCATTTATACAGACAAACAAGATCTGTTGATACGAAGATTGTATCGCATATGACGCCGGAGATAGAACATCACGTTCACAGATGCAACGGGAAGACCATGTCGAATCGCAAGGTATGATGTTCAAGGGGATGATCCCAGCACACTGTGGAGACAGCAGCGAGTTTCTTCTCCTGTTAATAAATAGATGAGCTTGGTTCTTTGGATGAGAGCAAATACCCACTTTTGCCATGCCGCCCAGTATGTTTTTCCAGGCAAAGTTTTTGCTTGCTGAAGAAGGAGACCTCTGCTGATGTGAATCGCCAGCCGGATACATGATATAGCTGAGGATCTCCAGGACAATGTGGTCGATGCATGGGCATTCAGGAATTTGTACACTAGGGCTCACACCTCGTTCAACAGCGAGGGACACTGTGACTGCCATTTTAACGGGTGCTTAATTGAGATGTTCAAAAAACATCTATAGTAGGAGATGGTGAAGGCTTTTTGAAAATGATTACTTTTTCATTCAGACGATATTAAGGTGTAAACTCAAGAGGCTAACAACTTTTTACATTGGAGAGCACTACAATAGAGAGTATAATGAATACATTATGAGTACTTTTTCATAATTTTTACTAAAAGAAAAAACATGACGTGACTTAGTCATTGTATAATAAATTATGTAAATTTAAAAATTATAAAATTAGAAAATATTAATTTTTAGGTTTTTATAAATATTTTAGAATAAATAAATTAATTCTAATCTGATAAAAAGTTCTAAAAATAGTGAAAAATTTCCAAGTCGATCATAGAGATGTAAAATAATATTGGGTAATATTTTTTATAATTTATCTAAAATAATATAATTTTTATAATTTTTAGATTAAACAATGAATGTAAAATATATTTACAAATTTATATATATAAAAATAAGAGTGCAACATAGCATGTTTCGACCTAGAGAATACTGGTTATGTGGAGAACTCAATTATTTTTAAGCTATGTACCCCTCCCTCCAATGTAAGGCCACATCTCGTGCTAAAATTGTAACTAGTTCAGCCTTGGATGCCATGTTAAGCTTGTTGTTATATCCATAGATTTTGTTAATTTGTCACCATTTAGAGTGTGTGGCATTGATTTCTCCCCTTTTGTGACTTTTCAATAACTTCTCATATACACTTTAGATTTGTTGTTGTATAAGTCTCAAGTTCAAGTCTTGCTGAAGACATTGATACTTTCATTTTTTCATATATTTCTTTGCTCAACTTTCTAGTGAGCATCACTTCTTGGAAAATGAACATATTGACTGGTTAAATTAAATAACAAAAATATTAAAAAGTATAAAAACTTTCAGCAAGTAGACAAGGATATAAAAATACATGCAATTAACTAAGCAAATTGAGCCACCATGGGGAACCACTATAGTGAGCCTTTGATACAGGAATAATAGATGATACCGTACTTGTGGATCTTTACATATCACAGATATCTTCGAACCCACAAGTCGCAATAATGCCAAAATGATTTTTACCATCTTCATATAGCTCAATCATTTACAGATGTAACAAAACATAATGAAACCACTGAAACATGGTTCATTTGCTCAAGTTTTGTCAAGGACTATACTCAAATCTATGGCATTGATTACTTAAAGATTTTTACTCTGATTTCAAAAATGAATATCATCAGAATCTTGTTGTTATTAATGACTAATTATGACGGAAAGCTTTAGGGCATACTTCTAAAGATTTGCCTCCTTAGGTGTAAGCCGAAGACTAGTGCCTCGACGAACACGAATTAGGTGGAAATAGAGTTTTACTTGATGATTTTTATGTTAGTGATTACATATGATTTAATAGGTCAAATTAATTTTTTTAAAAGCTAAAAGAATTATAATTTAATGAAGAATAGTTTTAAAACTTAAAATCACATGAAGTATCACTAAATTAAATAAAAACTATGTTGAAAGTAAGAAAGATAGAGTTCTAACCTCACGATAATGATCGTTGGAATTCTGTGTTCTAGATGGTTATTGTGTAATGTCTACATCCTCAAGGGCTTTTCTTAAAAATATATGACTTAAAAATTTGTTGGATCTCTTTTCAAACTCTAGAAAATGATGATAGAAATTCTATTAATTAAAAATAATAAAATAGAATTCTGACATTGGGTGTCGATACATCGAAATCTTGAAAGTCTAAGATGACTATCAAAATAATGTCCCTGGCCTCAAAGTCTCTCCTTGAATATAGATAATGTGAGTAATCTCTAAATCTTCTTGTGAAGTTTAGAAATTAATAAAATAAGTTATCAAATCATCTTTGACAATTGTCACTCAACAAAAAAAAAAATGACAACTTTGTGACTCTTGAATAATTGTCACCTGACATAGATGAGCTAGATAGAGGTGAGCCATATTTTAGGGAGCTTTATCTTTAAGTTTGCATAGTAAAATGAGGCTCTTCATCATATCTAATATGTTTTTAGGAGATAATGACTCGTCTCTTGGTAAATCATCTTTCTCTTGACCACAACTTGTTCGTTGGTCAATCATAAATGATTTAATTGATGGATTCATGATCTCTTTATCTATAATTATTTAATAATTTTAATAACAATATTTTTTAAATCATGTTGATGAGATTTTTGTCGATAATTAAGTGATTTTGGCAACTTAATTGTTCACCGGCAATCTGTAGAAAATTTATAATTTCATCAAATAAAAATGTGAGTTTTGGCTATGGTAGTATTCAAACCTTCACTAGTCGCCTACTTGAATGAAAGGGAGAAAAATAAATACTTGAATACTCTATTAATGTAACATTATAAGGAGTATTTCATTCTTATAAAAAAAGAAATTTTATGTATTAAAATAATTGTAAACCTTTGGGAAGCCAATTTAATCTAACATCATTTATTTTACGAGTTTTGAGATATATAGATAATAACAAAAGATTTAATGATTAATAAGTTCTATCTCATATGTCTACAACCACTACTTTTCTGATACTTGGCTGGCCACTAGTGACATGGAAGGAGAGTGACACACATGTGTCCCTTATCACATCTATCTTTGGCCATTCGAGCCCCTTGGTCATAGCTCTACCTAATTGTGTTTTCGACTTGCTTGTGGGTTTGACTAGTTGATGGGTTCTCCTCTTTTTTAATCTATTTATTTTATTTTATTTTATTATTTATTTTAAAAATAGAATTATATAAATTCAAATATAAATATAAGTCTATTATCATGAGTTAAAGTTACAATTATATTATTAATTAATTATTAACATATGATAATAAAGACTTATTAGAACATCAAGGAAGATGTATGTCTAGAACCATCTATTTTGTTTCTTTTATCATAGGTGTAACAAAGCTAAAGTATTTTTTTTAGTCAAACAAGATGAAGCTCATATCTTGAAACATAAATGAGCATAACATGAGTGATCAAAAGGTTATTGTGACAAATATTTTACACATCTAAAATAAAAGATTGATTAATGAATGAAAAAAAAATCATTAGAATTTAACATAAGTAACAATAGGGTTCTCCTCTATAAACATTTTTAGATTTAACTTCACAAAAAAACCAAACAACTAACTTCTAAATAACATCCAAAGTAGATAAAAAATAAGCAAAGTGAACTATTATGTAAATCATTATTAATGAAAAAAGCTCAAAAAATAGTAAATGAAGAAAAAAATAAATTAAAGAAATAATGTTGAGGAAAATTACTTCTATGGGTTGATTTTAATAAATGGTAGATTAATGGCTCCTATTGTCTTAGGGTCACTTAAATTACTAAGCTAAAAACTAGAAACAATGATAAAATTATAAATGTTATGAATGATTAGAAGTCAACAATTACAATATGAGGGGAACTAGTTGTAGGTGTGACAAGATTGAGTCTAATACCAAGTGCACAATTCAGCTATACGTAGTGGGGCTAAAGGCCTATTAAGTGTACATGTATAAAAACCTTGAGGGGGTTGTAAGTGAGATACTTTTGAAAAAAAGTCAAAGGGAGAGTTGAAGTCACTCTCAAACTTGTCTTTGGACTAATTTTAGAGTTTCTTTAGAAGTTTTATCTATCTTTTCCCTCAATTTCCATATTATTTTTTTCCCTTGATTTTTCACTACTTTATAAAAATTCCACTTTGTCTTGACCAATTGTCTTTAGAACTTACCATTTAATATTAGAGTCATGATGTCCATGAATAGTACTACACTATTTGAGATTTTGGAGAAGGATGTTAAGTAACTGAAAGAAGAACTCCACTGACTTCTTTGATGGTGGTCAAAATCTTGAACATCTCATCCATAAATAGTATAATGAAGGAGATCTCTCAAGTAATGATTAACACAACATAGTTGCAAGGGATGGTAAGATTCAAGTTTGAATCTATAAACTCAAAACTTAGAGAAGAAACTAAGTCTTCAATCAAAAGAGCTGG